TACTGGCCACTCCATGGCCCCCCCAGGGATGTCGCTTTCTTTTAATTATTCATATTCAATTGTGCACAAATCATAAATTCTTCCTTTAACCAAGTTAAAAATCAACTGAAAATATAATTAAATAAAAATGGCTATCGTCATTCGAAAACAATGTGTCTACATCACTGATGCTCATCGTCATTTCCTAAGTATAAATCTCTACAGTTTTAGTGAAGATAAAAGTGTTTTAGAGTTCTTAACATGTTTAAATAACATTTAAAATCAAATGTTTGTATTTGTCAAAACTGAACTAAATGGGTTTAATGCATACGGTTTTCAATTATCAATGCACAGCTAAACAATCACCAAAAGGACTGATTTGGTCTTCCAGCCCAAATGTTTCCTCTGGTCCATTTATTAACATTATTTAGTGCATTATTAAGCATTAATAAACTACTACATGCACACACACGCACACATGTCCAAGAAGGAGGGGAATCACCCAAACTTCATGTCCTGCTCAGAATAAAACTGAGACTAAAGCTCACAGAGCTATTTTTAGCTTCTGCTGTTTCTATAATAAACCGTACATCAGTCACGTCTGCATGAGACGTTCTGAATATCTCAAAACAGACATTACTCACCCAAATGGAACAAATGCATCTGGAATATTCGGCTTATGTGAGGGATTCTAGTCCGTGTCTTTTCCTTCATCATCCAAAGAAGGACATGGACTTGATGTCAGACTGATAGGTATTCACGTCTCGTCCAAGCAGCATTCCCGTAATATCTCATTTTGACCGAGTTTTATTTCCTTCAGACAAACTTTCATTCCTGACTAAAGATGGATTTGTGTTGGAGAGGAAAGTCAAAGAGAGTCAGCGAAAACAAAGAACAGATGAAGAAAGAGAGCGAGTCAGTGTGTTTGCATCATAGACTCTCTGAGTCTCTGGCAGAGGTGGAAAGTAACAAAGTACATTTACTCACGTTACTTTGAGTAGCTTTTTTGTATATTTATACTTTTTAAGTCGTTTTTAAAAGCTGTACTTTTACTTTTACTTGAGTACATTTTTAAAAGATTTGTAATTCGCTACATTTAAAATCATTTCCGTTACTGAGTAAAAATAAATTGTAGGCTTAATAAATTAAAAATATTACATGTAGCAGCGTCGGAACAGAGAGACACCTGCATGAGCGCCGCCTCTAAACCGGGGGGGTACACTTTAGATAATGAGGACAAACAGCCATTTTTACATTTTTACCGCAGTTGTGCTCAGAAACATCAGTTCAGTCCCCGATGTTTACCTCCTCTCTCCCTCTCCTGTGGGTTGGAACCGCACCTTCGCGCACCGGTGTGATGTCATCAGAATTCTGCTCGGTTCGGTAGCCAGACTCGGTTCTGTGTTAGAAATGTGTTTCTCTGCCGCTCCACACGGAAACAGCAAAATAACGTTTAGCGCTCCGGATTATCAGCGCTATGCTCATAAATCAGAAGACCTGCAGGCCTCTGTGAGTTAAAACATCCTGATACTGTTCAGGTGTAAACATTGTGCTCCATCCCTGTGTTTGAACTCAGAAGATGTTTCTTGATGCCACAGATATGTGATGATTTAGCTTGTTTCTTTATTTTACTCCAGAATAAGAGATTAAATTATTACTAAAGCAGTTCAGTGTAGTTAAATTATTCTTGATGTACGTGTGTGTGTGTGTGTGTGTGTGTGTGGCCCGGAGGACAGGAGAACGTGCAGCTAAATAATTAAATAATTTGGTTCTGTACCTTTCTCTTCAGCACAGCCGACAAAGGTTTATGATGGGTCAGTCCTCCTGCATGCTCAGATCATTCCCTTCCCTTGCTTGAAAAATTGTTTCAAAATGAAAGTTGAACCCGCATCTTTTTTATCTGTGAATTCAATGCCGTTCAGCGAGTCTCAAATAAAAATTTGGGCATCTTACTGTAAAAAAATATACCATTAATGTAAAAAAGAAACTCTGAATAAACTATGTTCGTGTGCAGAATCAAACCCAGATCCTCTGCACGAAAGTCCAACATCATACTAAGCGAGCTAAAGCGCCAGTGACATCCTCTGCACCTGTAACATATCCTTAATATTAAGTGAAACAACGTTCAAAGAACAGTTTGGAGGAATATGCCTGAGCGTGAACGCACATGAAGCAGCCTGCTCGACCCGAGCATCACAGTAAAAATGCCAGGCTCATTCTACAGGACCAGGGCATTGCAGGAGAATGTATGAAGAAGACATTTATTATTTCTATGCATGTTTTGGCTGTCAAACTTCCATAATGCCCCTTTAAAGAGGAAATTTTAGTACTCTTTCCACCTCTGGTCTCTGGTGGTTTATTTTAAACTTGTTAACTTGATCATATTTTTTCAACACAGAACACCAAAACCCATATATGCATTTTTCTAAGTTTGTATTAGTATACATTCAGGTTCAAAACAAATTAAACTTTATCTTAGAACTTTTTTTTAATAGTTTCATTTAATTCCATGTTAAGGATAACTCCCGTTTGACATCTTCCCTGTAAATACACGTTTTGATATATCTCGCATTACTATTCTCGCGAGATTTGAAAAGCAGCGCCCTCTCGTGCGCGTGAGAGGAACAGCCGGAGGTCTGAGGTTTACATCGCGGCTAATGATAGCAACGAATACAAACAGAGAAATTACTCGAATATTCGTCTTCACCGACTCTCTGGAGTTCCTGATAAATCTGCGTGAGGACTTAATTTCTTCTGTTTTCCGCCACATCGCCACCGGGACCGATTCTGTGAAGTGGGAAGCGGCCTGCTTTCCTAGCCGGCTTCCCGCTGCAGCTCAGGCGGCCATTGCTGCCAGGAAAGTCCGCTGCTTACGCTTGGTTTAGTTTAGTCGCACCGACAAGACCAGCGGAGCTTCGGAGCATTTCTCTTGTTGTTTTTGAAACAGCATCCGCTTCTCTTCCAACACCCTCGCATGTTTTCCTCCAGTAGCTGTCGGGTTTTCCCACTTTAAAGTAGCCTCTGAAGCCGGGCGGCCTGGTTTGTTTTTGAGCCCAACAACAACAGAAACAAACCGAGCCTTCATGCTGGGGCTGCTCTGAAACCGGAGCCGCCCCGGAGGGGGACCCTGCGATACCAGCACTGAACCGGAGTCACCATGCCCGGGGATTCTGGGTTTGCCTCCGCTAACCGGAGCTCTTCATCACCAAAGTCCCCGTGTGCATTCATCTGGAGCTGCTGCGCGTTAAACGGGAGAAAGCAGCGTTAAAAGGCGGAGGAAGAGGCCCCACGCCGGGCTTTGTGTCTTCATATTTCATGTGTTATGGAAACGAACCGAGCTGAAGGGGATAACCCGACATTTATATGCATGAACGAGCCTCCGGTGAAGAGGAGCCAGTGAACAGACCGGGACTCCAGGTTTGAGTATGGATTGGATCTGACCGGGAATGTGGAACCGGGATTTCTCTCCACTCAGACTTTTATTATACATGTGGGGTTTACTAGCGGGAATCTGAGGAGATTACATCCATCTATGATCTCTCCAAAGCCCCCGGACGCTGACAGAATTCACCTCACAGGAGAAGCGGGAGGTTTATCTCTGCTTTGACTTGACTTTCGTGCTTTAAAAGACACCTCGAACCGGACCGGAGGCCCGGGCCAGCCAGCCGAGAGATGAACCCGGTGAATGCGACCTCTCTTTACGTGTCCGTGAGCCGCTCGGTGCTGCAGTGCGACCCCCGAGATCCCCGGGACCTGGCGGAGCTCTGCAAGCTGCTACCGTTCTTCCGGCAGTCGCTGTCCTGCTTGGTCTGCGGTGAGTTATAACAGTGTTATTACGGCTTGTGTGTGTGTGTGTGTGGTGGTGGTGGTGGTGGGGGGGGGGGGGGGGGAATGGGGGCGAGCCTTTAAATTGTGTTGCATTTAAGGTTCTGTCGGAAATACTAGCATCAACAGGAAGTTTGGAAATGAATCACAGAGTAAAAGTTTGTTTTGATTCAAAATAAACAACAGGCTAATGTTTGATGATCACTGATGAAATTGTTATGAAAATTAAAACAAATGAGTGTCTGACAGGATAAAACGTAACAACGATGGTGAGATAAATGTGTTTTTTAAATGCGAACGTCAAGTAAATATCTGACATTTGATGAGTCTGTTATGAAAAATGTGTTTATAATATAAAAACATCATATACGGTAGATTTAAATATAGCCACTTCTATGATGAGGAGAAAGCTGAGGCTGCTGAGACCAGCTGCTGTCATGCGTTTTCGCTGTGAAGCTGCATATTCCGAGGAGCAGTGAACGCACCACCACGTACAGCTACACCCATCGTTGACACACCCCCCGTGCGTGTGGCGTTGGCTGCGTCTGCTGCTGTTTATGTCGGATAACTGGCTCTTCTGCCTCACAGTCACCAAATAAAAGGTGTAACTAAAGCTTGATTCATGTGGTTTTATACACACATCACAGCTGATGCCTTTATATTTAATTTGTGTGAATCTGAGATGAAGTAAGGTGTTGTGTTGCTTTAAATGAGGCAGATTTTCTGACTTGAAGCCACAGATCCACATATTTAGCTGACTTTTATTTTATTATTGCTCCTTAAACTGCTTCTGACAATAATCATTGCACAGATACCTGTCTGCTTTACAAACGATGTGTAAGACTAAGAGTCCTGCTGTTGGTGGGTTATAGCCTCGGTGATGGTGCTGCTCTTCGAACGCGCTCAGCTGAGTGTGTGGGCTCGGTTGTTTCTCATGAATGGATCTTCATCCTTTTCTCTGTCTGCAGCTGCGCTCTTTAAGAGCTCGTGTTACTAAGGAAGCTCCTCTCAAAGAGCTACTGTGCTCTTGGAGGGGCTGCCAAGCACCACTCAGGTTTACAGTTGGCTCCTTCAAAATTCAAAAAATACTTTATTAATCCCAGAGGGAAACTGATTCCTGTAGTAGCTCAGAATAATAATAATAATCAAGTCATCACAGAGTTGTTGTATATTACAATGGCTGTAGGCAGGAAGGATCTCCAGTAGCGGTCAGTGTTGCAGCCAAACTGAAGAAGCCTCTGACTGAAGACACTCTTCCGTTGTCGGACAGTCTTGTGAAGAGAATGCTCAGGGTTGTCCATCATTTTCTTGATTCTCTGGAGAATCCTTCTTTGCATGATCTCCTCCAGCGGTTCCGAAACTGCCGAAACTCTGGCTGAGTCCTTGAAAGGGCTTGGAGTTCCTCCATCTTGTTGGCCAGTGATCTCACATCGCCCATTATGATCGATGGAAGAGATGGTTTGAATTTCCTCTTTCTCTGTCTCCGTCCCGCTCTGCACCCACGCTTTTTACGTTTTAGCTCATTTGGGATTTGTGGCTTCAGTTGAGGTATTATTTCAGCCTTTCCCATGTTAATCAGCTGCTCCCGATGTTAAACCAGCTTGTTGCCATGGTTACGCATCATAACAAATGTTCAAAAAAGTGAAAAAAGCTAAAAAAAATAGCAGTAAAAATCCTCCAAGCTTCACAGCACCAGAAACAGAAAAGAAAAGTGTCCAAAAAATACAGTTTTTCTTGAGAAACTAGAAGAAAAAAGTTCAAGAAAAGGCAAAACTTACATATAGTCAACAGAGCTACTCCAACATGCAGCCACCCAGAGCAGCGCAGTTCCGGGAAAAAAGGAACAGGAAGCTGTCAAACCCGGCTAACGTGATAAAAATAAATGGTTGTAATCTCAGATTTAATCTTCGGTGTGATTACCTGTGCTGATGATGGTTTATTTGTTTGTTTGGATCAGGTGACTTGCTGCAGGACCCCATCGCTCCCACCAACTCCTCGTGTCAGCACTACGTGTGTCGGGGCTGTAAGGGTCAGAGGATGCAGCTGAAGCCGTCCTGCAGCTGGTGTAAGGACTACACCCGCTTCCAGGAGAACAAGCAGCTCTCGTTGCTCGTCCACTGTTACAGGAAGCTCTGTCTCTACATCACCCAGTCGCCGCTCGCGCCGCACATAGCCAGTGCTGCCGGCGACTCGCCGGACCTCCAGGCTATCCTCAGCGAGGGACTAACTTTAGCCGAGAGCGAACCGGAACCGGAGGACGTGTTGGATCCGGTGACGTTGCCCCATACCGTGTCCACCTTGGAGGTGGTTCAGTCTGATGGTGCTCCGCCCATCAGGGACATCAAGCGTGAGCAGTGGAGCCCCGTAACGGCTAATGGGCTCCATGATTGTAACGGGCTAGTGAGTTCGGACTCGCTACAGCCCGTCACCGTGGAAACCGGTGAAGGTGCCGTAAAGCAGGAGAGCTTCACAGAAGAGCTGCCAGTGTGCATGAGTGTCACAGGCAGCGGGGGGGCGGGGCTTTGTGACATCAGCACTTTTGGGGAGGACCTCAAACATGGTGGGGGGCCTTTATTGTTGAGTGTGGAGGAGGTGCTCCGGACCTTAGAGACGGACACGGACCCCGACACCTCGCCCGAGCCCACCCCCCTGCCCGACTACCACCCATCTGGACCTCAGTCGAATCTCAATGGCCGCCACCACCTCCTTGACCCCCCTCGTCTCCTCCAGCCTCACTCGCAGCTTCCCCCTCAGTCCCCTATAGTAACCCCTCGTGTCCCCCTGCGGTCCCACCGGAAGCGCTCGCGCTCAGAAAGCGACAGCGAGAAGGTGCAGCCCCTCCCCATCTCCAGCATTCTTCAAGAGCCCGCCGTCAGTGCCATCAGCACCCACCACCATCCCAACCCTGCCACCGCCACCAAACACGAGCATAGGTTCTCAGCGGTTACGCCGCACCCCCACCTCGCTCCTGTACCCAACGGCGGCCCCCCCAAGGCGGGCAAGACCATGCTGGTCTCTAGCAAGACTCTGAAGAAGACCATGGAGCACCACGGAGCCAACAAGAAACCTTATACAAAGGCTAGGCAAGGGGCCCCCAAGCCCCGCACACAGCCCAGAGACCGAGTACCCCCCCACCCCCACGCTCACCCCCTCACACACCCACCCAGCCCCTCAAAGCCGCTGTATAAGAAACCTGTGGAGAAGAAGGGCTGCAAGTGCGGCCGAGCCACCCAGAACCCTTCGGTGTTGACCTGCAGGGGGCAGCGCTGCCCCTGCTACTCCAACCGCAAGGTGAGAGACACAAGCCATAGCTTACCGTGTTAGCATACAGTGTTAGCTTACCACGCTATCTTAGCCATTAGCATAATGTAGTCTGTGAGCAGCTAAACTAGCTAACCCTGCTTTAGCCTTTAATCGTCTGACTAATGAGATGTTCTCCAGCTGCAGCCCGGCTCTCACCGGTTCTGGTTGTTGTTTCCAGGCGTGTCTGGACTGTATCTGCCGCGGCTGCCAGAACTCCTACATGGCCAACGGAGAGAAGAAGCTGGAGGCCTTCGCTGTGCCAGAGAAGGCTCTAGAACAAACCCGACTCACGTTGGGCATCAACCTCACAAGTATCACCACTGCCGCCCTCCGAAGCCCAGCCAGCAGCTCACCAGGCAGCACCCTCCTCAACGTCACCACGGCAACGGGTGCCCCCGTCTCAGCCGCCTTCCTGTCCGGCACCGGACACGACAACCGAGCATTCGAAGACTCGCTGGAGATGCGGTTTGACTGCTGAAGTTTGGGTCCTCCTCCGGTCGGTCGTCATGCACATTCCCCGCCCGCCGGGCGCCATCGTCTGGCTGACCTGCAGAGGCGAAGCCAGAACAAGGCAGCTACAGCGACGGGCGGTGCTGAGGGTCACCCTCCGTCCATCGCCCTATACTGCGCCGTGCTTGTGGAGAGGAGTGTGTAGCGTTACTGTACGTGCAGAGATTTCATTTCAGCAGGAATAGTTTCCTTTTGTCGACTTTTTCTGGGTAAAAATCAGTAGAGTGTGTGTGTGTGTGTGTGTGTGTGTGTGTGTGTGTGTGTGTGTGTGTGTGTGTGTGTGTGTGTGCGTGTGTGTGTGTGTGTGTGTGTGTGTGTGTGTGTGTGCGTGTGTGTGTGTGTGTGAGAATACGGCTGAGGTGTAGAGACAGGTATGGAGACATCCCATCATCATTGGAGACTGGTGTCATTTATAAAGGACGTTTTTGTACACGGACTCCTCGGTTACCTTTTATCTCATACTTTATAAGTTCCATTGAAACCAGTGGAACCAGTTCAGGAGCAAATCTGCATTCAACCAGAATATTTCCACACCGATAGTCTAGATTACGCCGCTTAAGCACCAGAAACGAAGCATTATTGAAACTTTCTACTCGTACAGGATGTGAATTTTAACACCAGCAGCAGAGGTCTAATCATGCCCGTTGAAGGTTTTACTATGTGAGCCACTGAAACTACTTATTACTCTGAGATGTTGTATACTTACAGGAAACGTGTATTTAACCAGTAAAATTGTGAATCTGAAGTCAGCGACCGGCCGGTGAAATCTCCTCTCCCCGGTTTGCTGTTTTAAACGTCGTCTTTTTGCGTGTTTGTGTCCATGAAGCACTTTCTCACTCCTCCACCCTCTGTGTGTTTATGGCTCTGGTTGACTGCAGACGCTGTTTCTGGTCACGTTTTGTTTGTGGAAGCTGCTAAAAAACCACTAAAGACTCCAGAGAGGGAGGCGCTCCTGCTTTCCTCGTCTTCGGTTCTGTTTTTATTAACATTTGGAGGTTTTATCAGACATCTTCTAACACGACCCCCACCCCACCCCCACCCTCCTGTTCGGCGTGGTTCTCGCCCGCAGGCTCGATTCGGACTGGTCCTGTCTCTGCTCACTTCCTGTCATGTTTTTAGTGTTTGTTTCTAGAGTCTCCACACAGTTTGTTTTTGTTTCCCTCTGGGCATTTAAATATCTGTAATATAACTGTAACATATTTCCACAAAAAGAAAGAAATGAGATCCTAAAACTGCTGTTTGTGTTCTTCTTCAGGGTTGTAATCTACCGAATTACCGCTAGAGGGCACAGAGAGGCAACGATGGCAGTAACAAAAAGCTCCAGCAGGGGGCAGAGTCCTCCCTAAAATATTTATGAAGAAGCTCTGAGCTGAATAATACAGCATTTTATTACCCTTAAATATTTAATCTAAACACATTCTCCCTCGTCATAACGAGGTTTTGTACTTTTAAATAAATAATACCATTTCCTTATTTCTAAGAGAACCAATCAGGAGGGAGCTTGGTTTCTGTTTCCCTTTCTAAAAGTTACTTCTTCATGTCTAAATGAAATGATTATAGAAAGCACCTGGGGATGTTTTGTAACCTTGTTATAGTACTTGCACTAGAGGTTAGGGATAAAATAATATTTGTCAATTCCAATTCCCATCATTCCTTGCAGGAATGCACAGCTCCTGCCACCGCCAGTTTTAAAAGGTTGGAATTTCAGCAGCTTTGGTCAGATCCTGAACATGTCATCATGCATCAGTTTTAGCTGGAAGCCAGTTAAAAACCTTCAAACTTTAAAATGTCGCTGAACAAAACATAAAAGCACCATATTGTACTAAATTATTTTTTAACCCTTTAACTGTCACCAAAGGAATTTGTATTAATATTCATGGCAATAAAGTTTGTGATATAATTTAAAAATAATGAAATATAAAATGACCTTTTGTTTAAAAACATTGATTTCTGTAGGTTTCAACAGGATGCAGAGATTAAAATATTCCCATAAAACGACTTGAAGTGAAAATATGAGATTTATTTTATCTCCGCACCTCTAAGCTAACTCGGAGACCCACAGCAGGGCCCTGGCCCAACCTTTGAGAGCCACTGAATTAAAGACCAGATTCCCATTTTCACGACTTTAGGAATCAAAACAGCAAATTTCCTTTAAACAGAGTTTTTATTTCACATATTTACAGAAGTATTTACATTCACATTCCGGTGTTTTCTGCCAGGCAAACACGCGCTTTAGTGTTTGTTTGTTAGACTTTAACATGTTTGCTCCCAGGAGCTTTGAGTCGTTTTTACGAATTAAAAAAACAGCAGTTTTATTGATAAAAAGATGCATTTAAGTGCTACAGTTAATGCTGCATTCAGGTCACATGGGAAAAACCAGAGATGTCAGGTTCAGTTCAGAGCTCAGAATGTCTTCAGTGTGAGACTTTAGAGTTTTATGGTAACGACGGGTGCAGATGTTTTTGCGTTTCTGCAGCTACTCCACCCGTCTGGGAGGGATGATGGAGGAGAAGCAGCTCCGCACGCGGGAGAGGCTGTAGAGCTGCATCCAACTAGAAGTTTCAGTTAGAAGTTGATGCAGCAGGTGGATGGAGGAGGTGGCAGTGCTTCCACCCTGATGTTGGTCATGTGACTAGAAAACATTTCAGCTTATAAAAATTCAAATACACAAAGTACAGCACAACATGTACATCTTATAACAGTTTTAAACCAAACGAAGATCTGCACGTCAAAGATCGTGCCACCTCTTCATTTGGGAACTGCAGTTGCTTGTGTTTTCCACCAGAGGGCAGAAATGTGGACTTCAGCTACCTGTAACTTCACAACGACCCCTGGTGGTCAACTGCTGCTATTACGCGCACCAGTTAAATGTATGGAAGCCCATTTCTGACGCCTAAAAAATAAAGACGCGTCACGATTTGTAACTCGAGGTTAATTGGATGGTTAGAGTTTTGAAGTCATTACTGGGAGACACAAAGTCATAACTATGAGTAAAATTTTAGAACTATGTCAGAATTTTGATTTTCAGGTCAGAAAAAAACTCAATAACACAAATTTAAAAGTCATAATCACAAATTTAAACTGTAATGATGAAATATGCCATTTTTAGGGTTTTCGAAGTTTAAATATGACATACGAGGATGTTTAATGTTAAAATTCCAGAAGGTCATAAAAGTAAAATTAAATAGTCAAAGTTTTTGTTACAGTTTGAGTCTTGTTTTACGTCATAATTCTGACATCATATTCATCATTTTCCAAACTCGTTGTTATGATAAAAGGTCATAAATGAGTGGAAAGTCCCAAAATTCAGAATTTTAAAGTCATCATTATATTATAATTATCTATGGCAGAAAGGAGCTTCCATACAGACATACGACTGATTATTAAATCAACCATTAAGGGATGAATTTGGAGGGAGCTAACATTCCTGTTAAGGTCACTTTGGAAAACTTTGTTTGAATATTTTTTTATGTTGAGTTCATTTTTGCAGCTTGATGTCTGGATCGAGTCCAGTCTCGTTTTAAAATCCAGATATCTGATGAGTTTGACCCACGACTGTCCTGGAACCGGCGATGTGCTCTTCTTTGCCTTTTGCTCCTAAACAGGACGACGAAACTTCCCAGGAAGCATCTGGACGCCGCAGCAGTTTGAAGTTCTCCTCTAGCTGATGAGGAACGCTCCGAAGAAGCTGCTCTTCTCGTCCATGTCCACGGCCGAGGCGTTGGTCACCGTCACAAACAGCCGGTCGCCGGTGGTGAGCGGGAACAGCCCCCCCTGGTGGGCGGAGTGAAGGGAGAAATCTGAGCCCCGGGACCAGCAGGAGGTCCGGCTGGTCTTCATCAGCAGGATGGGAACCGGGTAGGAGCTCACCTGCAAGCAGGAACGAGGACAGCCTGTTAATTCAATTCAATTCAATTCAAGTTTATTTATAAAGCACCAAATCACGACAAGAGTCGTCTCAAGGCACTTCACATTATAAACATTCCAATCCAGGTCAGTTCATTAAGCCAATCAGAAATAATGTTTCCTATATAAGGAAGCTAGCAAATTGCATCAAGTCACTGACTAGTGTCGGTGACTTTACAGCAATCCTCATACTAAGCAAGCAAAAAGCGACAGTGGAGAGGAAAACTCCCTTTTAACAGGAAGAAACCTCCAGAGAATCCTGGCTCAGTATAAGCAGCCATCCTCCACGACTCACTCTTAGAATTCAGAGCCGATTCTGGATCAGAACAACAGGAATAAGGAAGCAGATTCACTTTGCTTTCCGTACATTCTGACAGATTAATAGGTTTTCTAATCCATGTTTCCTCCTGGACACCACCAGCTGTCAGACTGTTCGACGGATCCTAAAACCCACAAACGTTTGTTTCTAATAAACAGAGACGTCGACGTGAATCCTTTCCTTCCTCCGCCTCGGGGACGCAGACCCTCGGGACACAACGTGTGTCTCGGTTCAGACGCTGCCAGCTCAAGAAGGCAAACAACAAATAAAAGCCAGAACCCGGGTCAGGTTCTGGATAACGAGAGAAGAGATTAGGCACGAAGTTCATTACCCGGGGATCGTTTTCACCTTCAGTCACAGGAAAGAAATGGATTAAAGTCGCCTTAGAGGCTTTTATTGTGAAAGATTTAAGACTTTGGCAGCTTTTTGTGAAAACTCAAATCAGATTTTACGACTTTTCGTCCTTCAAAGAATTCACATCAACTTTTATTCTCAGACCAAATTTTATAACCAGTCCTTTGGAAACTTTATCATTACCAAATGCTTCGTTTGGTTTCCCGGGTCAGTAACGAGGTCCGGCTGTGACGCGGAGCAGCACATGTTCATCGCCTGACTTCTCACATTAACTATGAGACCCGACAGGTCGCAGAATGAAGACGCCGCACTTCAACACCCAATGGTGTGAACCCGTCTGCATCCAGATGGGCTGGATTTGCTCCTACAGGGAGGTCGGATTAAGTCCCGAAAACCTCCAACATCAGAACTCCTCACAGCAGAGTCAATAAAAACAGCGGGAACCTGCAGCTTAGAGGAAGAAGAGGGATTTAAAGAGCAAGTCACCCCAAATCAACTTTTTTTCCCTTGATAAACTATATAAATGTGTGTCTAATCGTGCTGCAGACACGTGTCGTCAATAGTTTTGCACTTTAGTGCATTTTAGTTAAAATTTAAATTTTCTGCCTAAAACTGTCAGTGTTGTACGTTGTCAGGTAAAAACTCTGCACTGCATTTTAATTTAAATCTGCCATCGCTATTGGCTAAGAGGTACCCTAGAACGTTAGCTGGTACCATATGATGTCACAATGTCGTTGTGAGCCTGTGTGTGTGTATTTGTTAGTGGCTCCGCCCCCTCGGTCTGCTAGGCGACAGCATTTTTTGCATTTTTCAAACAGGAAGTGGGAGTGGAGTAATACTCTGGTAGGGGGTGACTTGCTCTTTAAATAATAGAGCATATTTAACAGCTGACGTGTCCCAAAGACTCAAGCATCGACTTTATGATATCAAAGCTTAAAGAAAACCTCGAAGTGTTGCTGGTTACATCAACAGAAATGTTAAAGCTGCTGCTAACGTCTCATCAGGGCCACCGTGGTAACCAAACCAGGTTTGGTGGTTTTTTACGTCTCACACACACACTTGAGAGCTACAGGGAGTAAAACTAAAACTAGGTGTGAAAGCGCGCCGCACCTTTTTATAGACGTACTGCAGGAGGGGTTTCCCCCGGTCCCCCACCTCCTCGCCGTCCTCCTCCAGGGAGTGGGTGTGTCTGAAGTAGGTCTGGGCGTAGACGTAGTAGAGGCCGGGCTGCGACACCACCAGCTCGCCGTCCACCAGCTGGACGTCCTGGAGGAACGCCAGACCCTTACGCCCCTCCCACCATGAGATCTTCTGTCCCTGAACCCGCCGTCCCGCTGAGACTGGGCCTGGAGTCAAACACCAGCAGTGAGCCAAAACTCTTCTGAAGGTATCAGCTGATTATTGGTAATAAAACAGTTGTTCTGATCGCTGCGAAGCAGAATCAAACATTAAACACAGCAGATGTGAGTCGCTTCGATTTGATCAGTTCAAGCTCCGCCCACCTCCTTCATCGTGCTCCAGTTTGGGCGCGAAGCTCCCCGTGACATGAGCAGCCACTTTGGGGCGAGGCGAAGCCCTGTCGTCCATCACCAGTGAGGGCAGAACTCGAGATACTTCATCTGGCAGGAGGTGGAAGACAAACATACGATCAGACCCAACGTCAATAATACGACCGAGTCAAAACGCAGATCAGCGTTTGATTCCTCTGTGATCTTCTATTTGACCTTATGGGTCTGGCGGTTCTGGAGGAGCTCTGCTCCATTCTTCTGCAGCTGATTTAGGTTGGACCACTACAGAACCCAGATGGATCCTTGTCCTGGTTCATGACTCGCCTTCAGCACCAGGATGGTCCTCTTTTCACTCAGCACCCCTTTAGTGTGTCCAGAGGAGCAGATGATGTCCTCTGGCTGCAGAACCAAACCATCAACCCTCCACCACTGTGCTGACAGGTGGGACCAGACATGCTGCTGTGCATTATGGGTAAAAATCTCCACACTCATTCAGGTTTCTCCCCTGTAACCCTTCCAAACGTTCTCAGTCTTCTTCCAGCTATCCTGCCGTGACCTTTGACCTGCTAACTCAGACCTGTAGACTGAGACGGAGCTTTTTAGGGGTTTTGACCTTTCACCTCAGAGGTGAAATAGCTGGGATGACCACTCCTGATAAAGTGTAAATAGTCTGACCTTTGACCTCTCCTAGACTGACAGGTTTCTCTACGGTTATTGATGACGTCATTCGTCTTTGCGCTAACACGCGCCTGCATGCTCCAGAGCCGCTCAGACCAGGCTGGGGCTTCTCACCTTTCACGGCGGTGGAGATCAGCCTCTGGTACCGCTGAGACACGGACTGCAGGGAGAACAGATGAAAACGATTAGTCAGCATCACAAAAACGCCTGTTGGCTTTTTGTTTTGTGCATCGACGAACGTTCCTCTGATGTTTCTGTGGCTCAGACAAAACACGACGCTAACTCGTAGCTAACAACTGCAACAGAGTTTCAGTTTCTAACTTTATCTGCAGAAGAGGGAACGTCTGGTTCCACGCAGTCGTGAAAAACGGGTTGTTTGACTTTGACCCTGAAAATCTGCTAAGCAGCACCGGGAAGTTTCCTCTGCTGAATAACAAGAAGCTTCGTGTTCAGGCGGGCACCAGATTCCTTCCTGTAAATCGATACGCCTTTGCTTCCTCGTGTCTTACGTTCCTTTACTCTGTTAATCTGCAGCGACGGACAAACTGATGAAAACCAGTTTCTGTTTTCAAAGGCAGCTCGGAGTTCTTCCTTTTCTTCCTTCATGTAGGAATGTAGGAAAACCAGGAGAGAAGACTTACTTTAGGAGTTTATTTCATAACCTGACACGACTCGGATGACGGATAACTTCAGGAGACGAGCTTCGTCCGTCTCCGGCAGACGTTTCAGACAAAAATGTCTTTTTGAGAGCTCAAGAATTTAAAATGAAAACTTCTCCCTAAAAAAACCTGCAGCTTGTTTTCTGGGTTTTATCCTGATTCCCATCATAGTTTTTAAATATTTCAGTGCAGAGAAGACAGGCAGGACTATGCTCAGGAGTGACTGTTCGACACCTCTGAGGGACATTCTGTCCAAGAAGGAATCCAACTTCTCAGATCAGGACATTTTTTCTACACATTCATTTAAATCAAAACGAAATCCAGACTCTTCATTTTAAAACGCGTTTCAGTGTTTTTGTCATAATTTATCGATTTTCTGCAGCCAAGCAATTTATTTATTTATTTAATGTTAACATAAAAAACTGAAACTAGACTTGATTTTAAAAAAATTATCTAATGAATTAAAGGCTTTGTAATTAATTAATTAATCTCGATCAATCACATTTTAATCATTCAAGACTGTTTGCACCCAAGATTTTTTTAAATCAATAATAATGTTGTTCAGGCACAGATGACTCACCCATACTTTAATGAGTATATCTCTGTAACCACAAAGTAGAAGCTCATTCTAAAGGTAACCATTGTGTGATTTGTTGTGATGAGTAAATATTAGTATCTGTGTAACTGATGAAGTGTGAATGGACATGGAACACTGTAAATGTATTGTAGTGAACTGAACACCAGGTGGCAGCAGAGCACAGTTTTTTTTAATATGTAGAGGTGTAGCGTAGAGTTCAGGGGACGTTCTGCTGGGGATTACCAGATGAATGCTGTGTATGCTGGTTCCTCCTGCTCTAATAAAGTTCACATGGATAAAGTTACTGGCTGCTTGCTTTCTACCAACTTGATAACAGTAAAAAGTTTGTTTTGTCTACTTTCTTTTCTTCGTGAAGAACGATTAGTTTTAGTTTTGTTGGAACGAGTTAAAAATGTTTCCACGGTCTTGTAGCCCAGGCGCTGCCGTCTGAGGTGCAGCTCGATGATATTTATTGAAATATACGGCACACATTGTGATTTAACGCACTTTTTTCTAAGTAACTAATCATAATTAATGCCTTTAACCCCCCCCCCCCACACACACACACACACACACACCCCACCCCAAGTTAAAAATATAATTTTATTTTGTATTTTTCTGCATTTGCTTCACAGAGTTTTGCATTAATTCCATAATTGAGATTATTTTTCATAATCCCATTCCCTTTATTTCTAATAGTACCAACATTATTATTATTATTATTCGGCATTTGGACCCGATCGGTGAGTTAAAATGTTTTAAAAACAAGAAAAACCATCAATTCAATAATTAAAATGAATTTTTCAAAAATGAACATTTCAAACATGCAGAAAAACAAACGAATGTGAATATTTTGGATAAAGGATTCAGAAGAAATGAAATAAACGAGCTGCTTCATTGGAAATAAAACCCGTGAGAATAAAGATATTTAATCCTATTTTCTGCATCTTTCTAGTTTTTAATCCGGCGTGAAGCATCTTGAGCTCCTTTAGGGATTCGTTTGTCAGATTGATTCATGAATCTGATTCTTTTTTGGGACGAACATGTTTTACTGAAACTCCCCAGCGCTTGGGCTCAAACGGAGCTGCGTTTAGGTGGTTTTGTCAGAACCAGCTCCGTCAGCTGAATCCGTCCAGGAAGCCCAGAACCATCCTGTGTCTGGGTTCCAGAGCGGCGCAGGTAAGTACAGGTGAGCACATTCCTGAGCTGATTAGACCAGGAAGGATCACATCTCCCGCCATGAAGGAGCTCATTGTCTCTGACAGATTTGGATCGTTGCATGTTTCCTTTTCCTGCTGATCTTCATGTAAACTCATGATAGGGATGAAGCCACTGTGGCCGTCTCTGGAGAAAGAACGCATCATCAAGTTTAAAAGTTCCTCTGGGCTCCATCTTTGGTTTCTACAACACAACAAGCTCACATCGTACCAACAGTCTGAAGGCCAAACACGCCACCGGGCCGTTTCCTGGTGCAGCCCCTACTAGTAATGGTTAGTAATGGTTAGGTTAGGGTTATAGTCAACAGGAATCAACACAAGTCAAGTCCCCACAGTGATAGAATATTAACTTGTGTTTAAAAATTGAAAGTCTTCATGTATTCATCAGTCTCTGAATGAATGCTTCTCCTGCTGCACCTTCTGCGCTGCACCTGCTCACCCTTTAACATATTTATCTGACTTTTAAGTCTAAAATTAACTTGTGTGTTTTAATAATGCCGTTGCTTTTAATCTTCGTGCCGTTCTTGCACCTGGAAAGCAGGTCAAGTTGTTTCATGGTTTAAACAAAGCTGCCTGCCTAAAATATCCACGACTCATCAGATTTAGATGAAAATCCCAGAAAGTCATTTTTGGATTTTTCTACAACTTCTGGGATCAGTCCAGGACGGCAGTCAGAGCACGTTGACAAAGAGCTAAAACGCAGTCAGTTTTATGGATATGGAGCTAAAATCAGAATATTAGCTGAGTCAGCATTAAGCGGAATATTGAGATTGTTCAGTTTTACTTTGCAGAAACTCTTAAGTTGGAATTTCAACTCAGAAACGTCCACCCATCTGCTCCGACTTCATAATCCAAGAAGGAAAACTCATAAATGGGAAAACTTAGAAGGTTTGACCATAACCCCGTCATTTCTCCACTAAAACGAGCCTGCACGTCTCTGGCGTGTTTGAGGGTGTGGTACCTTCTCGATGAGCAGGTGAAGCTGCTGAGTGACCTGCCAACACGGATCTCCTCTCACAGCTGGGATGCTGTGCAGGTCCGAGCCGGTCAGACAGGAAACGCTGCTGCGAGCAAAGGTCTCCTTCATCTGTGGAGAAGCAGACATTCAGGGTCAAACTGGGAGTCCTGGAGTGGGGCTGAAGTTGGACTTTATGATCTGAGCATGAGTCAGCACCCTCTCCTGGCCTCCGTTTGGGTTGTATTTCCACACATGTCATCAGGGTTGATGACTGATTGTGCAAACAGCTCAGGAGTTGGACTGGACCGACTCCAGGTGAGAACAGAACGCACGCTCACGCGCAACAACCTGGGGTCATCAGAAAACATGGCTGCAGTGGATCAACTCCTCACTCTCCTCCACTTTTGTTTTTGTGCACAAACAAGAAGTAAAGATGCAAAGTGTGCCGATTTTAAATGGGAAGTGCGCGCGTGCGGGAGCGCAGCAGCCAAACTGGATCACGCAGAGCGAAACCAGCGCGTTTCGCTCACATTTAGTCTAAAAGTGTGCAGCTTACAGGTTTGAGGCTGCGCTAATTTATTTCCTATTTCTCTACATTTATGCGCATCTTACGCGCGGTGCGCAAAGCCTGCGCCGCGCTTATCCGTGCCGTTTCCTTACCGAGTTGAGAGCCGTGGTGAAGTGTATCACGGTGATGGTGACGACCACCGTCTGCAGCAGAACCGCCACCAGCAGCAGGACCCCGAGCTTCGGACCGGAGCCCGTCATAACGACAGACCGCCGTCCGGTACCCGAGCAGCGCCGCCGCGTCCCGCTCCAGACTTCCAGAGCCAGAACAATGGCAGAGAGCTGCCTTCTTCACGTTACACTCCCCGTTCCTCCTGCACCCAGGAGGAGGAGGAGGAGGAGGAGGAGGAGGCGGGTCTGGAGAACAAGAACTTTCCTCTTTGATTAACTCCTGCATGGAGACGTCATTGTCTCATTCCTGCGCTGGAAAACACAGATAACCGTTCTTCATGAGGCTCAGATCTTCTGCAGATCTGGTGAGCAGAAAACACCTCAGACACAACCAAGAGGAACCTTTTCTTCACGATTCAGAATTAAAACCAGAGATCTGGGTCAGGGCACTTCCTGGTTTCAGTCACATCAGAGATTATTTAGAGATAATTAAATATAATCCCATCAAAATACTAAAGCAGAACACACGATTTTAGTTTTGAATCAAATCTGGTTAAATTATAGACACAGCCTTTGTTACCCATCATATGACACACCAATGATCTGGGGTTCCCCAAGGCTCAGCTTTGGGCCCCAGTTAATTTTACTGATACACCCCTTCGATCATCTGTTTCAGAAAACAATGGCGCCACTTTTCCGCAAAACAGGAGGCGGCATCAGGGATTCTTTGGTCGTAAGTGGTGCTCCCAGATCTCTGCATCGCTCCAGTTAGCCATCTCAGCTGATTCTGTTTACAAACATGACATTGCCCTCTGTTGCACAAGCGTGATCTCCATTCAGAAGTCCAGCACTGTGGTCCTGTCAAGCTTGGCGGCACGAATGTCGCAATATTCTCGCCTCGCCATGCTGCCACAGCACTTTCTAAAAAGACACCGTAGCAGCGACGTAACCCGTATTCACAGCCAAGTATCTTCTATGCAGATGACACTCCGCTGTTCCTTCCAATGAGAACTCTTAGAAACCTCTGAGAACTTCCTAACTTAACTGAATTTTGACGTGTTTCTGTGACACTCTGGCATGTGACAGAAGCTTCAGAACTGTTATGATGTTTAAGAATCAGAGGTTCAGAGAAAAATAAGCTGCAGTGATTTAAGAATCCAACAAATCCCGAACTGGTGTGTTCGTGTTTGTGTGTCGGACCTCTGCAGGCGGAGGAGTCTCAGGGCCGAGGGGCCCGGGCCACATGGGTGACCTTCATGACATGTTGGAGATTTAGGAGCCATTAGTGGGGCTCCACCAGAGGATCCTGGAGCGACGTCATCGTGGGTCGGCAGATTACGGTTGGGTGAAGGTTTGTGAAGGCCCTGGAAGACGAGAACATCGTGTCTGACAACAGAAATATGAGTTTCATCTCATCAGCTGTTCTTGTTTTAGGAGTTTTAACCCTGGAGGACCATCTATAGCTCACCTGAATTCAACCCTAACAACAAATTTCATAAAAATATGAAGAACTTTATTATATTACATTAAAATGACTTTAATGCTATTGTAGTTTTAATGATCTCACATTAAATTATGGAGGATTTTATCCCAAATGCATCTAAAAAAACACCCAAACAGATTTCTGTTGCATTTTTCTTGGAGTGGACGTTAAAGTAGATCTCTTCCGACCTCCCAGGTGTTTTAGAGACGTAACAGAAATGTCTGAGTCAGTCCGCGCTCGTGTTAAAGCTCGTTATCGATACGTTGTCCTGCAGCGAGGCGGGCTGAGGCTATAAATGGATCGTGGTCCTGCTGGTTCATTCCTGCATCTGCAACATCTGGCCTCAATCTGCCCGTACGCCCCGCTGCCCCCCGGGACACGGGCTCTTAGGTTTCAGTCAGCTCCACCCCGCAGGGCCTGCTGGGGGTCTGCAGCACCAGTGTGTGTGTGTGTGTGTGTGTGTGTGTGTTGGTGACCGAATCTCACCCAGAGGAGCATCCTCACACGTTTCACTCACTCAATCAGAACCAGACGTTCCCCACGGCCAGCCTGAACCTGGTTCTGATGGATCCAGTCCCACAGCCCGGCCCCAGCGTGTTCTGTAAGGCAGCCAAGTTTTGATAGAGAGCTGACCGACTCCCCCACAGCCGACTCCCTCCTCACACACTCACTCCCTCTTTGTCCGAGCAGGACCTCTTCCTCTCTTTCTTTTTCTTTAATTATCTCTCTGTGTCTCGTGTTGCTTTTCCAGAACCCTCCACCTCCTCGTCAGAACCGTGTTTACGACCCAGACTACAGCTGGGTTCACGTTTTTTACTATAACAAGTCAAACAGCTCCAAAGGCCTGACCATGAGGATGCAGTTCAGGAACGAGTGTAAGTGTGTGAGAGCTGCACGCACGATAAAACGTGCAGCTCGTTCTGCGTTGCTTAAGCGTCGTAAACCCTCAGCAGCATCAGCAGGACTCCGGCGGTCCTGATGGCGTTGCTGCTCCAGCACCTTTGATCCCTAAGCGATGACGTCTCGTTAGAAACATGACATCATTAGAATTATTGCTCGGCCTCTTGGGGTTGTTTGTAACGACTTTTATGTTTTTTTTTTGTATCTGTGGTTTGTTTCCAAATGTTTTCTTCTGTTTTCTCACTGCTGTGACTAAAGGCCGGCTCAGAGAGGAACGTGCTTTTGTCATTTAACAGTTGTGTGATAAACAGAAAGGATCTTCCTGAATGGCCTTTTATAGGAGCTCATTTAAGATGGCAGCAAGATGGGACCGTGTTGACAAGTCAAAAATAAACATGTCCACATGGACCTGTCCTCGGTGTCCTGCTGTCTCTCACAGCAGCTGTTGTAAGGAGGCATCAGCACCCTTTGGTTCGTGTTGATTTTATTGACGAGCTAAAAATGGCGGCTCCAAATGAGCCCGTATAATAATGCTGCCCTAAATCAGCTCAAGTCCTGTCACACTAGTTCACATTAATACCATAGATAAAAACCAGTTTACCATCAATTCCTTCACAAGAGTAAATCTTACCAGAATCATCTGAACGTAGCCGCTGGTCAACATTTTCCTGCCAGAATGAGACTTAAAACGACGCGCCGCTGACAAAAGCCGAGATGGCAGCAGCACGTTTTGGACGTAGGTCCACGTGGACACACCTTTATTAGCTTGTTATTAATTATTAGCTTGTTATTGTTCAAGCAGGACCAACTCAGACCTGTGATGCTGCCATCATCAAACAGTTTTATTAAGAAAGCAACACACTTGGACCTCAGCTGCTGCTGAACTCTATTTCTCTGAACTGAGGCCTTTCGTGCAGCGGGTCAAATGTGAAATATTTATAAATTTTAAACACAAATTATTTTAAAAGTCTGAAAATCTATTTACTGATTTGTATCAACAAAATATCCCTGATAGAATTACGTGTGTGTGTGTGTGTGTGTCCTTGTACATACTACATACAGAGGACCATTTTGACCATTTTCCCTACAAAGTGAGGAAATTTTTTTGGTCCTCACTTATTTCAGAAGCAGGTCTGGTGTGTGTTAAGTTTTAGTTAAGGTTAGGAGCAGATCAGCATTGGTTATGGTTAGGGTTAGGGTATGGGTTAGGCATGGTGAAGTCACAAAAATGAATGGAAGTCAATGGAGGGTCCTCACTATGATAGAAAAACAGACATGTGTGTGTGTGTGAGTAACACGGATATTTCCACATTAGAGACATTTTGCTGGTCCACACAACCATATAAATACAAGTGTGTGTGAGACACACAGGACAAATAACCAAGCACACACACTCCTGAAAACAATCTAGAAAGAGCAGCCAACCTGACCGTCATGTCTTTGGACCGTGGGAGGAAACCGGAGAACCCGGAGATTATCCACAAATGAACAGGGAGAACATGCTAACTCCTTGCAGAAAGACCCCAGGCTGGGATTTGAACCCAGGACCTTGTTACTGCAAGGCAGCGGCACTAACCACTGCACCACTGTGCAGCGCATGTGAGATTAATCTATACACATTATTTATGAAAACAATGACTAAGAACAGCAACACGTTCCAAGTTTCCCTCCTTCTTTGTCTCTGAGTTTCTGCCAAAGAAAACACCCCACACACACACACACACACACACACACACACACACACACACACACACACACACACACACACACACACACACACACACACACACACACACACACACACACACACACACACACACACACACACACACACACACACACACACACACACACACACACACACACACACACACACACACACACACGCACGCACGCACGCACACGCACGCACGCGCACGCGCACACACACACACACACACACACACACACACACACACACACACACACACACACACACCTCCAGGACAACAGAAGAAGCAAGCTGTAAAACCAGAGCCCAACCAAAAAATAAAAAAAAAAAAAAAAAGATCTGGAAACTTTTGGGGAATTTCCAAGAATTTTGGCTCCTTTCTGTTTTTTTCAAGGATTATTTTGAGGTTTCTGTGTGTGTGTGTGTGTGTGTGTGTGTTGTGAGGACAGCTGATTTCTGAAGGTCAGTCAGATCAGAGGCCTTCGAGGTAAACTTTTATCTAAATAAATGAAGAACTTTAACGAGGCCTCTGCGATCCGCCCAGCGTGTCTGGAAAAGCTCCAGGAGCTGGATAGCTGAGCACAAAGGATTTGTTTTTTAAACTAAAGCACAAATATATTTGTCATTTTTACTTTTACGCCTCGAGTTTTGTAGAAAATAAGATAAACAGGGAAAAAGCACCGAATCCGTGCAGCCAGCCAGCGTTCCCAGGAAAACCTCAGCGGAGGCTATTTCTGCTTTAGTGTCTTCATGTTTTCTGAGACAACAGTCGGGTCGGTCCTCGTCGTTCAGCACCATCTCAGCTCCCGCTGCTTCTCCACAGCTAAACGAAACCTTTCCTGTGTTTTTGGGTCAGATCTCCAGTCAAACACGGTTCCATGGAGACGTGAAGCAGAGAAAGGCGTCTGGGTCCATATCAGCGCGTAACATGAGGCCCACATTGTGTTTTCCTCCTCCTCCCTAACAATCCCTCCCTCCCTCTCTCTCCCTGTCAGGAAAAGGTGAACAATATGACCTTTAGTGGCAGCGATCCCGCTCTCCCTCAGGAATTCCCTGCCGCCGCGGCAGCTTTCCTTTCACGTTCCCAGCGGTTTGTTTTTGCTCACAGTGCCTGTTTTTCTTACAGACGATCATCTGGGCACCGGTGATTAACGGGCAGCTCCGAGGGCAGGGAGGAAGCCGGGCCTCTGCGGGGTCCAAACCACCACACAAGCTGTTTTCATCCTCTCTCACACACACACACACACACACACACACACACACACACACACACACCGGTGTCAGAACTGCAGGAATCCTCAGAGTTTCTGCTCAAACTCAGTTTGAGCTGAGAAGAGAGACAACAGTAAATGAGACACAGGAGCTGAGAAGTTTCAGCTAAACACACACACACACACACACACACACACACACACACACACACACACACACACAGGCATGGGGAGGATGTCTGGAGGTGGAGGGTGTCGCAGCTGCAGCAGGTCCGTTGGGTTTCATCCTGCAGAACCAGAACCTTCTCCGTGACCTGACAGTCACAAACGAGGTCAGCAATCAGGAGAAAAATTGGGTCCTTTTAGTGTTTCAGGGACAATTTGTCAGAACCCATGAGTCCTGTTTACTGCCTTCGCTCCCTCTAGTTGCTATGGTAACCACGGGGGGGTTAAATCATCAGGGTAAGTCTATTACCTAGGAATGTTGTCACTGGTCCTTATTCTGCTTTAGAGGTCATCTCTAAAAATAAAGGTTGCCGTTCTGGTTTGTGCGCGGTGCATGCTGGGGTGTGCTTCAAACACACCTGCTGAGTGAATACTCGTGTTGCCCTTCTGGCTGCAGTCTGGCTCTTTGCTCCACCACCACCCACATGCACGGTTCTGGGTCATTAAATCCTGATGGGCACCAATTGGACCTGAACCCGAGCGTGCCCTGCGGCACACCAGATGCAGGTCTGGCTGTGTTGGTTTGTGTGTTGGTGCCGCGCTGAAGCAGGAGTCAGCTGCTCGTTTTGCTCCAGGTGTGGCCCACAACTGTCACCTGGCTCTGTGCTTCTCCGCACGCTCCAACACCAAGAGTTATGAAACAAAAGTCCAAAAACTGATCGGATCAGAAGTTCAGAGGATGGTCGGCGTTTCTGTCCCTTTCTAGGTGACAAAAGACGCATGAATTATAAAAAAGCTGTAAATCATTCATCCATCATGAGGAAAAGTAAACATCAGCTCATCATTCATGCGCTAAACGACATCAGCACATGGAGTTCATTAGAACAGCTGATCCGCGGTCTAAGGCGGGATCTGGCGCCGCCTGCTGGCCACGACGTTTATTGTGAAATCAGATCCTCTTGTGAATACATTTGACACAATTGATTGAAACTTATGGATACATTTCTGTTTAAAATGATTTTATAGGATTGCTTTGTTCATTAAAATATCTAATTAAACTAAACCTTGATAATCTTTATAAGATTTCCTGTTTTCCTATATTTTCCTTTTTAATTGTAATGATTCCAACTACACTCAACAAAAAATATAAACGCAACACCTTTGTTTCTGCTCCGATTTTTCATGAGACGGACTTAAAAGATCTAAAATTCATTCCAGATACACAATATCACCATTTCTCTCAAACGTTGTTCACAAATCAGTCTAAATGTGTGATAGTGAGCACTTCTGCTTTCCTGAGATAATCCATCCCACCTCACTGGTGTGCCACATCAAGATGCTGATCCGACATCATGAGTAGTGCACAGGTGTACCTTATACTGCCCACAATAAAAGGCCACCCTGAAATGTGCAGTTTTGTCTCACAGCAAAATGCCACAGATGCCACAAGCATTGAGGGAGCGTGCAGTTGGCATACTGACAGCAGGAATGTCAACTAGATCTGTTGCTCATGCATTGAATGTTCGTTTCTCCACCATAAGCCGTCTCCAAAGGCGTTTCAGAGAATATGGCAGTACATCCAACCGGCCTCACAACCGCAGACGACGTGTAGCCACACCAGCTCAGGACCTCCACATCCAGCAGGTTCACCTCCAAGATTGTCTGAGACCAGCCACTCAGACAGCTGCTGAAACAATTGGTTTGCATAGCCAAACTATTTCTGCACAAACCTTCAGAAACTGTCTCAGGGAAGCTCAACTGCATGCTCGTCGTACTCATCGGGGTCTTGACCTGACTCCAGCTCATTGTCGTAACAGACTTGAGTGGGCAAATTCTCACATTCGATGGTGTCTGGCACGTTGGAGAGGTGTTCTCTTCACGGATGAAGCTCGGTTTACATTATTCAGGGCAGATGGCAGACAGCGTGTGTGGCGTCGTGTGGGTGAGCGCTTTGCTGATGTCAGTGTTGTGGATCGAGTGGCCCATGGTGGTGGTGGGGTTATGGTATGGGCACGCATCCGTTATGGACAAAGAACACAGGTGCATTTTATTGATGGCATTTTGAATGCACAGAGATACCGTGATGAGATCCTGAGGCCCATTGTTGTGCCGTACATCCATGAACATCACCTCATGTTTCAGCAAGATAATGCACGGCCCCATGTTGCAAGGATCTGTACACAATTCTTGGAAGCTGAAAATGTCCCAGTTCTTGCATGGCCAGCATACTCACCGGACATGTCACCCGTTGAGCATGTTTGGGATGTGCTTGACCGGCGTATATGACAGCGTGTACCAGTTCCCACTAATATCCAACAACTTCGCACAGCCATTGAAGAGGAGTGGACCAACATTCCACAGGCTACAACTGACAATCTGATAAACTCTATGCGAAGAAGATGTGTTGAACTGCATGAAGTAATGGTGGTCACACCAGATACTGACCGGTTCTGAGTCCCCAGACCCCCAATAAAGCAAAAAACTGCACATTCCAGGGTGGCCTTTTATTGTGGGCAGTATAAGGTACACCTGTGCACTACTCATGATATCAGACCAGCATCTTGATGTGGCACACATGTGAGGTGGGATGGATTATCTCAGGAAAGCAGAAGTGCTCACTATCACACATTTAGACTGATTTGTGAACAATGTTTGAGAGAAATGGTGATATTGTGTATCTGGAATGAATTTTAGATCTTTAAGTCCATCTCGTGAAACATCGGAGCAGAAACAAAGGTGCTGCGTTTATATTTTTGTTGAGTGTAATAAATGAAGAAACATTTATCTATCTATGGTATGTTTTACTTTGAAAGAACGTACAGGAAGTTCTAACCCGCTGTGTCTTGTGTCCTTCATGAGAACGCTATGGTAACAGCTCCTCTTCGCCAGAGGAGAGATAAATCTAGTTCTGCGTTTCTGGAACAGCAGCATGGCCGTTTTCAAAGCCAACACGTAACAGGTGTGAAATCACCTCTTCCCTGATGCTAAATCTTTGTGTCAGCCAGAGTACTTTGGAAGGTTACCAGAGTACTTTAGGAGGTTACCAGAGTACTTTGGAAGGTTACCAGAGTACTTTAGGAGGTTACCAGAGTACCTTAGAAGGTTGCCAGAGTACTTTGGAAGGTTACCAGAGTACTTTAGGAGGTTACCAGAGTACCTTAGAAGGTTACCAGAGTACTTTAGGAGGTTACCAGAGTACCTTAGAAGGTTGCCAGAGTACTTTAGGAGGTTACCAGAGTACTTTAGAAGGTTACCGAGCCATCGCAGCTCGACTTTCCTGAACAACGAAATGTCTTTGGCTGCAAGAAGAAACATGAAAAAGGATGTAAAAGAAGTTTTACTTGTTTTATTTATAATAAAGTGTCTCAGTAAATGTTCCATAGGTGAAACCACAAACCTACTCCCAATATTTACCAACATAATAAACATAATCAGCTGTTTATGGTTTGATGTAAATAAAAACAAACAAATGTGACATAATAGAGAAAAAAAAGCATTACCACCTTAAAAGCTGAGGATTCTTTTTGCATCATCTTATTTTCCCAGTAAAACCTGTTATTAACACCAGCAACACGCTCATGCTCCCAGTAAAACCTGTTATTGACACCAGCAACACGCTCGTGCTCCCAGTAAAACCTGTTATTGACACCAGCAACACGCTCGTGCTCCCAGTAAAACCTGTTATTGACACCAGCAACACGCTCGTGCTCCCAGTAAAACCTGTTATTGACACCAGCAACACGCTCGTGCTCCCAGTAAAACCTGTTATTAACACCAGCAACACGCTCGTGCTCCCAGTAAAACCTGTTATTAACACCAGCAACACGCTCGTGCTCCCAGTAAAACCTGTTATTAACACCAGCAACACGCTCGTGCTCCCAGTAAAACCTGTTATTAACACCAGCAACACGCTCGTGCTCCCAGTAAAACCTGTTATTGACACCAGCAACACGCTCGTGCTCCCAGTAAAACCTGTTATTAACACCAGCAACACGCTCGTGCTCCCAGTAAAACCTGTTATTGACACCAGCAACACGCTCGTGCTCCCAGTAAAACCTGTTATTAACACCAGCAACACGCTCGTGCTCCCAGTAAAACCTGTTATTGACACCAGCAACACGCTCGTGCTCCCAGTAAAACCTGTTATTAACACCAGCATCACGCTCGTGCTCCCAGTAAAACCTGTTATTGACACCAGCAACACGCTCGTGCTCCCAGTAAAACCTGTTATTAACACCAGCAACACGCTCATGCTCCCAGTAAAACCTGTTATTAACACCAGCATCACGCTCGTGCTCCCAGTAAAACCTGTTATTGACACCAGCAACACGCTCGTGCTCCCAGTAAAACCTGTTATTGACACCAGCAACACGCTCGTGCTCCCAGTAAAACCTGTTATTAACACCAGCAACACGCTCGTGCTCCCATCAGCAGCACACGAGTCCATCTGGGTCCCGTTTCAGCACCGGCTCGTCTGGAACAGCCAGGTGGTCGTTTAAGATCTTCTCTTTAGAATATTGAACGTTTACGTGCATCATTTCACATTCAGACCTGCAGAAATGCTCTCTGCACGTGTGTCCTACGCGTCTGTTTAAGGAAAACTGATTTATTAAAACTGCCTGGAGTTGTTTCCTTAAACTTTGAGTCGCTTGCTTACATCTGATTTTTTTCCTGAAGTGCAGCTGAAACGGCCGCTGAGGTCAGCCCAACGCGCGCCACGGCGGCTTCGTTTTATGAGTTAGGAGGAATGAAAAGTGATAATCCAGCTGGGATCGCTCCCAGGTCCTAGATATCCATCATCATCATCATCATCATCATCATCATCAGTGCTCTGGCCTTACAGTGCAGCGGTGATTAACTCACAGAAAGAGAGAGAGACAGTATTGCACAATCCTAAGTATACACAGCTGTGAACTCTGACACACACACACACACACACACACACACACACACACACACACACACACACACACACACACACACACACACACACACACACACACACACACACACTAAAGATCCATCTCCTCAGCAGTGTTGTTAGATTAACCAAGGGGGCAGGACCACCCCTGCGTCTATTTCCTGCCCCCTGAACTTTAGGGGCAGGAAGCTGAACTTAAGGGGCAGGAAGCTGAACTTAAGGGGCAGGAAGCTGAACCGAAGGAGCAGGAAGCTGAACTGAAGGGGCAGGAAGCTGAACCGAAGGGGCAGGAAGCTGAACTTTAGGAGCAGGAAGCTGAACTTTAGGGGCAGGAAGCTGAACTGAAGGGGCAGGAAGCTGAACCGAAGGGGCAGGAAGCTGAACTTTAGGGGCAGGAAGCTGAACTTAAGGGGCAGGAAGCTGAACTTAAGGGGCAGGAAGCTGAACTTTAAGGGCAGGAAGCTGAACTTAAGGGGCAGGAAGCTGAACTTAAGGGGCAGGAAGCTGAACTTAAGGAGCAGGAAGCTGAACTTTAGGGGCAGGAAGCTGAACTTAAGGGGCAGGAAGCTGAACTGAAGGGGCAGGAAGCTGAACTTAAGGGGCAGGAAGCTGAACCGAAGGAGCAGGAAGCTGAACTGAAGGGGCAGGAAGCTGAACCGAAGGGGCAGGAAGCTGAACTTTAGGAGCAGGAAGCTGAACTTTAGGGGCAGGAAGCTGAACTGAAGGGGCAGGAAGCTGAACCGAAGGGGCAGGAAGCTGAACTTTAGGGGCAGGAAGCTGAACTTAAGGGGCAGGAAGCTGAACTTAAGGGGCAGGAAGCTGAACTTTAAGGGCAGGAAGCTGAACTTAAGGGGCAGGAAGCTGAACTTAAGGGGCAGGAAGCTGAACTTAAGGAGCAGGAAGCTGAACTTTAGGGGCAGGAAGCTGAACTTAAGGGGCAGGAAGCTGAACTGAAGGGGCAGGAAGCTGAACCGAAGGGGCAGGAAGCTGAACCGAAGGGGCAGGAAGCTGAACTTTAGGGGCAGGAAGCTGAACTTTAGGGGCAGGAAGCTGAACCGAAGGGGCAGGAAGCTGAACTTTAGGGGAAGGAAGCTGAACAGAAGCGGCAGGAAGCTGAACCGAAGGGGCAGGAAGCAGGACTTAAGGGGCAGGAAGCTGAACCTACGGCGCTGTAGATCATCCTAATAGAAGCTGCAGCAGCAGTCAGGACATCTCCTGCTGAATGATTGTTTTTCACTTTCAGCCAAAAGTTGAATGGTTCTCTAGTTTTATTTAGGTTTAATTCCCCGGTGAACGCTGCAGAAGCGTTCCTCCGACATCAAACTGAGTTATTTGAGTGTAAAATGATGCTTTTTAATAAACTTGACAGATTAATCCACACAGAACTCTCACTCTGTCACAGTAAGACCAACTTAGTTAATTTGTTACTGAAGTGGAGTAATTCTGATCTGCTGCTCGGGGAAACCTGGAGGATTATAAATCAGAGAGGGATGTCTCTGGGAACAAAGCTGGCTGCTCTGATCTGCAGCCTCACAGCAAAACCTCAAGCTTACGCCAGAACCGGGTGGGATTAAAATCACGCCCATCCTTCAGCGCCAGATTAACTCAATCTCCAGTGCAGGCTTTCGCCGTCGGCCCGAATCACCTGCAGACATGAGAGGTTGACCACTCGTTTACACCGGCCGCGGCGCGGATCCAGATGCTGAGCTCCAGCATGGTTTCTATGTTTTTCAGACACCGCGTGCGGATATTCACGAAGTTGAAGAAAATGACGAGCCAGACAGGAAGTGAGACGTGTGGCGGCGAGGTGCATCTGGTTACTAAAAACCTCGTTAGTTGGAGGCCCGTGTTCAGCAGCTCCTCTCACACGCGTAGCCGTTATGGGTGTGGTGAGACGTTCACAACATCCACACCCACCGCTGGCTGGAGCTGAAAGAAAGAGGCTGCCCCCTAGTGGCTGGCTGTGGCATTTAGGCCCCGCCCCCTTTTGGTAGTTTGAATACGTTTTTAGACAAATGTTTGGATCATCTGAACATTTAATGTTCATGAAAACAAACTTGAAAATGTTTTTGTTATTTAACATTAATAAAATATAAAAATCGCTCCAAACGTGGAACGGCTCGGCTTTAAAACTGAAACCGTTTTAATGAAGAAGCTAAAGAAAACTATTTAACTCATTAATATTCAGGGTAAAACGAACCATAATGTTTTTGAACTGGATCCAGTCAGACAGAACACCTAAACGGACAAAAGGTTTCCCACGTCTCTGGATCCAGGCCGGGATCACCTAGGATCCAATCAGCAGGTGATTAACAGGCTTCTGCAGAGCCTGATGAGCTGCTGCCGGCGACTCAACCACCAAATCAAGTGTGTTGGAGCAGAGAAACCACTAAAACATGCTGGGTACCGGCCCAAAAGGCCCTGATCTAGGATAAACTGACGTTTGTAGAACATCAACGTTCATCCAGGTGGTAAATCGGTGACTGTTTTACCACGTCTCCATGGTAACGGCTCCACAAATGGACGATCAATATATTCCTTTTATATTTCACAGCAGTTTGCACAAACATGTTAGAACGAGTGAAAACGATGTTGAAGCCGGAATCACACGGAGGCGGAGCAGCCAGAGGAAGATAAAACACCCAGATTAAGGATTACGATGAGCAAGTATGATAGAAGTACTAGAGTACTAGAGTATTAGAGAATACACCGTCATGTGGACAGAGAGGGCGTTCCCTAACCGTGTCTCATACCTCGGAGCTCAGATCCCGGTCTGCCGGTTAAATCCAGTTTCCCGTCATAAATAAATTAGCTTTAAATAAAGTTTTCCTCCTGCACCGCCCCTCTGTTCCCTGTAGGGGGCAGAGGGGCGGTGCATGTGTTTTACGCCCGTTTTTCTTCATCTGCACGGCGGAGCGCCGTGATGGCTGCACGCCCAGAGCCGACCGTTTTCCAGTGTTGATCTGGGAGTGGCTGCTGAAGCTGCATGTCGCTGGCTCGGTCCCACGTAAAGCTGTCTCACCCCGCTCTCCGTCGCTAAAGGACGAAATGAAGCTCCGAACCAAACATGGCTCAGAGGTTCCGGTCCAGCCAGCGGATGAAGCCGTCCATGCTCCTGCGTCCCACGCTCGACATCAAGGGCAAGTTAGCGAACACCATGCAGCCGTGGAAACCGTCGTCGTAGTGGTCGCTGGTCACGTCCACGCCAGCGTCCTGAAGACGCCTGGCGTACATCAGCCCGTCGTCCCTCAGGACATCAAACTCACACGTCATCACGTAGGCCTTGGGCGTCTTACCCAGAACCCCCTGCTCTGCCAGCAGCGGCGACGCCCTCACATCCGTCAGCCCCGGCACCGTGCTCACCACGCTCGGCGAACCCTTTTCCCTAACCACCGGCTGGTAGTGCTTCCTGCGCTCGGCCGGCAGCAGGGCGGTCCAGTTCAGCCTGGAGCGGGTCACGGCACCGATGGCCGGCTGGTCCAGAGAGCTGTGGTTGTTGGCCAGGAGGAGCGGTTCCAGAGCAGCGTCAGCACCCAGGTACTGCAACCAGAACCGGGCCATGTAGGGCCTGTAGAGGATGGGCACCGCCTGGTTCTGCTGGTAGGACGGGGTGTAGAAGTCCAGCGCCTGCAGAACCGGGTAGATCAGGGCCTGGACCTTAAACTTCACCTCCAGAGACTCGTCGGAACCAAACTGTGGACACAATCAACTTTTAGAAGAAGATCCGACTCAGATCAAACTGAACCAACACAGAACTTTGTTTTCCTTCCAACAGCCAGACGTTCCCGTCACCTCGTAAACCGGTTCTGAATCAGCGGTTCTGGTTCAGATGTTCTGGATCAGCGGAGTTCTCCTGGTTTAAAAAGAAGCTTAAAAACAGCAGAGGAAGATCTGGAGAACCACTGATCCAGAACATCTGATCCAGAACCTCTGATCCAGAACCTGTGATCCAGAACCTCTGATCTAGAACTGCTGATCCAGAACTGCTGATCCAGAACTGCTGATCCAGATCATCTGATCCAGAACTGCTGATCCAGATCATCTGATCCAGAACCTCTGATTCAAAACATCTGATCGAGAACCGCTGAACCAGAACATCTGATCCAGAACCTCTGAACCAGAACGTCTGATCCAGAACCTCTGATCCAGAACCTCTGATCTAGAACCTCTGATCTAGAACATCTGATCCAGAACTGCTGATCCAGAACTGCTGATTCAGATCATCTGATCCAGAACCTCTGATTCAAAACATCTGATCGAGAACCGCTGAACCAGAACATTCGATCCAGAACCTCTGATCCAGAACCTCTGATCTAGAACATCTGATCTAGAACATCTGATCCAGAACATCTGATCCAGAACCTCTGATTCAGAACCTCTGATCTAGAACTGCTGATCCAGATCATCTGAACCAGAACCTCTGATTCAGAACATCTGATCCAGAACCTCTGATTCAGAACCTCTGATCTAGAACTGCTGATCCAGATCATCTGAACCAGAACCTCTGATTCAGAACATCTGATCCAGAACCTCTGATTCAGAACCTCTGATCTAGAACTGCTGATCCAGATCATCTGAACCAGAACCTCTGATTCAGAACATCTGATCCAGAACATCTGATCCAGAACCTCTGATCTAGAACTGCTGATCCAGATCATCTGAACCAGAACCTCTGATTCAGAACATCTGATCCAGAACATCTGATCCAGAACCTCTGATCTAGAACTGCTGATCCAGATCATCTGAACCAGAACCTCTGATTCAGAACATCTGATCCAGAACCGCTGAACCAGAACATCTGATCCAGAAAAGCTGAACCAGAACATCTGATCCAGAACCACTGATCCAGAACCACTGATCCAGAACCTCTGATCCAGAACCACTGATCCAGAACCTCTGATTCAGAACATCTGATCCAGAACCACTGAACCAGAACATCTGATCCAGAACCGCTGAACCAGAACATCTGATCCAGAACCACTGATCCAGAACCTCTGATCCAGAACCTCTGATCCAGAACCTCTGATCCAGAACCTCTGATCTAGAACCTCTGATCCAGAACATCTGATCCAGAACATCTGATCCAGAACCTCTGATCTAGAACTGCTGATCCAGATCATCTGAACCAGAACCTCTGAACCAGAACATCTGATCCAGAACCGCTGATCCAGAACATCAAGTCTCGGTTCTAAGGTCTGACTCCAACATGAAGCGGGGGCTCGTCTGGGACTGACGGGGAGGCAGAACCTTTACAGAGTATGTTGAGTAGTTCTGCAGCCACTCTTGTAATTGGGTTTTATTTTCTGGACTTGCTTTTGTGGTGTGTCCTTATTTGGTCATTATTATTTTCCATTTCCTCTCAGAGTTCTTCCACAGGAACTAAACCCAGGGGGTTCTACTCTGAAGGGTTTAGGAAGTTTAACACGTTCAAACTTCCAGAGACTTGATGGAAAGGCCCTGCAGCCGAGAACTCTGGCAAACATTTGGGGACATGTCATAAACCCCCTCATGGATGCAGCAGCACAGTGAGGTTCTGGGTTCTGATCTTTGGGTTCCTACCTCCTGAGCCGCAGCAGCAGCCAGGTTCCCTCCGGCGCTGTCTCCAGAGACACACACCCTCTCCGGGTCGATGCTGTAGCGCTGCAGGACCTCTGTAGACAGGAACGCCCGCGACGCTGCCAGAGCATCGTGGTACTGATCCGGGAACACCGCATCAGGAGCTAGACGGTAACTATAGCAACAGGGTGACAGGATAACCACATTAAATCCTAAAGTTCTCCTGCAGACGGTTCCTACTCATGTGTTGGGTTTTTCACTCCCATCACATCTAGTCACGACTCCTTGCCCTCGGTAACTGGACCGTATCCATGACGACTGAACTGTCTGTCACATGGCGGCTTCCTAGATCACAAACGCACCCTGAAGCTAAACATAAAGCCCCGTGTCTCCCAGCTGCTGACTTTCCGGATGTATTCAACAAACAAATCTGTGATTAAAGCTCAGAAGGAGTCTCGGGGCTGGAGTTAAAAATTAAACATCAGTCAGTAAAAGCTGCTCAGATTTAAAACCTTTGATTTCTGAAACTCACTCGACAGACATGATGACAGCGTCCAGGTCTTCCGACATTTTCCGACACAGAAGGTCGTAGGAGCGCATTTCTGCAACAACAAACTGTTACTGACGCTGCTTTCATACAACAATAACATGGATCATTCACACATCATTTCACGTACATGGTAAAGAAATTCACTCTGCACCAGTTTGTTAGCAGCCCTATCGCTTTAACCAGCAACTGGCAGTAACAAAGGAGCGTTAAGACAGAAAATATAACAAAATAAAAGCATCAGACTTTTAGCATGTTGTGCCTCGGCTGGTGGTAGGTGCTCTATTTATGAATGAAGAGGAAGTCAAAACGTTATTTTCACAAAGAGCCTAAAGTCGGTAATTTAAAGACACTCGTTACTCTCTAGAACCCAACTGTAGTTAATTATTATTATTATTATTATTATTATTATTATAACTGAAGGTTCTGAAGATCGACAGGCGGATTGGTTCGGCGTCTGCAGTGAAGCGGACGCTGAGCCGATCTGTCGTGGTGAAGAGGGAGCTGAGCCAGAAAGCCAGGCTCTCCATTTACCGGTCGATCTACGTCCCAATCCTCACCTATGGTCATGAGCTTTGGGTAATGACCGAAAGAACGAGATCGCGGATACAAGCGGCCGACATGAGTTTCCTCCGTAGGGTGGCCGGGCTCAGCCTTAGAGATAGGGTGAGGAGCTCGGACATTCGGGAGGGACTCGGAGTAGAACCGCTGCTCCTCCGGATCGAAAGGAGCCAGTTGAGGTGGTTTGGGCATCTGGTCAGGATGCCTCCTGGACGCCTCCCCGGGGAGGTGTTTCGGGCATGTCCTGCCGGCAGGAGGCCCCCGGGTCGACCCAGGACACGTTGGAGAGGTTACATCTCCAATCTGGTCCGGGAACGCCTTGGGGTCCTGCCGGAGGAGCTGGTGGAGGTGGCCGGGGAGAGGTCGGTCTGGAGCGCCCTAGTTGGGATGCTGCCCCTGCGGCCCGGATAAGCGGAGGAAGACGAAGAAGGTTTTGGGGGAGTTAATACTGAGGAAAATATTTAAAAATTGCCTTTTACTGAAGATTAGGTGCAGGTTTGATTATTTCTGCAGCAGAAATGAGAACTTCCTTTGAGACTTCACAATAAAAGCCTCAAACATAAGATAGACTCTCCGTTTATTTTTCGTAGGCAGAAGCAGACGTCTCCTGTGATAAACACCACCTGTCCTCTTTGTCACATGGCATAAGTACACTGATTCCCTAAATCATGGTCTTCCCCATGCATGGGTGCACTTTTTCAGCACAACACCTGTATAAAAACACTGACATGAGTCTTCCTGACACTACAGTTTTATTCTGAAAAGATGCTAGAGCTAGTTAGCAACAGCTTTACTGAATGGGAACGACGGATCCACCAGACAGAGGAACGCCCTGCTGACTCCTGGACAAACAGGAAGTGCTTCATTTAGTACATTCAAGTATTTAGACTTGTGTGTGAGTGTTTGATGGCGATAAGGATGAAGTCTGACAGACTTACTTCCACTGGCGAGCGCCCAGCCGCCGCCATGAAAATAAATCACTCCTCTCTTAAGTTTCCTGCCCTCCTTCGGCTGAAACACCCGGGTAGGCACGCCTCCGAGCGTGGAGTCTGTCACGTGCACGGTGACACTGGAGCGTGCCTCGACCACTTCCACCCAGGACACCACCCGGTTCAGCAGGTGAACACGGTGGCAGAAGCCCAGAGCGTGGGCGATGTCACTCTGCAAACACAAACGCTTTTATTCACTTATTCTGAAAACCGTTTGAGAAAACGAACTAAGCAGGAAGTGGACCGGTCCTCCTCTCACTCATGAGACAAGGGCACAGTTCAGACACGTTAAACGTGTGTGTGTGTGTGCGTGTGTGTGTGTGTGTGTGTGTGTGTGTGTGTGTGTGTCCCAGCACACCAGGCTAAAGGTCGCTAGGCTGCAGCAGCAGAAGTCAGAGGAGTTTTTCACGTTATTCCAGCTTGTGAAGCTTTAGCTAACACCTCCAGTTAGGGATGGGTACCTTTGACATTTGGATCGATCCGGTACTAATTCCCGGTACCTAGGAATCGATACCGGTACTTAACGGTACCAATTTTAGGTACTTTTGAGTGTTTATTATTTTAATTCTCTTTTATAATTAAATATATATTTTTCTCAATATTCAACCATATTTGATAAATATCATGATAAATAACATTCAACTGTTTGTATTTTAACATCGTCCTTGTAGTTTTATAAGCTGATAATTAAACTGAAGCAAACATCTTTACTGTGAACTAAATTTACTGTGTATCTTCATTCCTTTTGCCGTCCTTTTTCTTTGATTTTTCCTATTGGGAAGCTAGAATTTCCGAGGAGAAAGCAAACGCACCATTAGCTGATAACAATGGCGGCAATGGAAGCTAACATATCAAGCTAACGTTATCGTAAACTGTTTATTTAGCTGCTGGAGCAGATTAAAACGATGATGCCTCACACTTAAATCGTCACTGGTTTCATCATCACCCAATCACCCGTCGCATTTAGTAAAGTGAAGCCAAACTTTAGAGCGCGTTCATGTTCTTCGAGTCGGAATTCGGAGTTCCGAGGAGAAAGCAAACGCACCATTAGCGAAACAGAAGCTAACATATCAAGCTAACGTCATCGTAAACATTTTATTTACCTACCGGAGCACATTAAGATGAGGATGTCTCACTTAGATCGTTGTCGCTGGTTTCATCATCACCCAGTTACCCATCACATTTAGTGAAGTGGACCCAAGCTTTAGCGTGCGTTCTTTCTACCATGCTGCTCTGTTTACAACTGGCTCGCAGCGACCGACGACATAACGCTCTTGCGCATGCGCAGCTGTCTAGGCAAGTCCTCGTTATGAAGGACGGGTACCGAAACGAGGCACCGTTTGAAATGACATGAATCGGTGCTCAGTCGGTACCGTGGAATTCGGTCGGTACCTTAAAAAGTACCGAATTCGGTACCCATCGCTACCTCCAGTGGATGTGTTTTAAACGCGCTGAACCTCCTTCAGGGTCAGGGCTCAAGTTAAAAATAAATAAATGAACCGTTTGGTAAAAATAGGAAAGAAATCCACTGAAAACTTGAATTTCCTTTGAGGCTTGTTATACGTCATATTTAGAACATTATTTCTTTGCTTCTTTTAACTTTGTAGTGTAATACAGAAATGTTTCAACCGCCATTTTCATATTAAAACTATTTAGTATAATCATGATTACCTTATCATGGAAACATCCCCATTTTTTAGATATTGTATACGCTTATTTAAAGCTGTAATGGCAAATCTGCAAAACATGCTAACCTTTAAACACAAACGCAGTCAGACTGCCACCAGAGCCCGCCTTGCCAGAGGAAACAAAACGCTTTAGAACACCAGTCGCTGTTTTCTAGGTCCAAACGTGGTCCGTGCAGGGTATCTACAGGTTTAAGGGAGCCAAATTTAAGACTTTTTAAGACCTTTTTTAAGGCCACTTTGACCAAATTTAAGATATTTAAGCAGGGCAGCAGTGGCTCAACAGGTTGAGCGGGTTGTCCAGTAATCGGAAGGTTGCAGGTTTGATCCCGGCTCCAGACAGAGAATTCTGCTGTTGAGTCCTTGGGCAAGACACTTAACCCACCTTGCCTGCTGGTGGTGGTCGGAGGGACCGGTGGCGCCTGTTCTCGGCAGCCTCGCCTCTGTCAGTGCGCCCCAGGGCAGCTGTGGCAACATCATGGCTCATCCCCACCAGTGTGTGGATGTGTGTGTGAATGGATGAATGATACACTGTAGTGTAAAGCGCTTTGGAGTCCTGACTCTGAGAGGCGCTATACAAGTGCGGGTCATTTATCATTTAAGCTATAATTTCCAGCTGTTGCCTGGAACCGGTGCTAACCACGCCACGATCGTGGGATTAGCCATCCAGTTACCATTAAACTTGCACTTCCTCATGGCGCAAGCTCCCACTAGCTTAACCAGCTAAATGTGCTCATCTAAAAATAGCCCCCTTTCACAACCAACTGAATGTGTACGGTTCCGCTTACACCAACAACGTACACAAAAAAATGCTGAACACCAACTAGAAATTCACGAAAATTTTATAGAAATTAAAGAATCTTGTTTATTGGGTCTTTTAAGACCTCTGGAAACTGTACTTAAGGATTATTAGTCATTTTTAAGGATTTTTAAGGCCTTAAATTTGGAAAAGCTAATTTAAGGCTTTTTAAGACTTTTTAAGGACCCGCGGATACCCTGTCCGTGACTCAAACGGTGTTTTTCTTTCTGGGGCTCTGGTGGTTTATCCTAAAGCTGAAGTGGTAGCAGCCGGCTGTTTCTTCTGATCTTATTGAGCGGGAACCTCTCACACCTGTGGTGTTCTGGTGATAAAGTCATGTGTGATGATGAGTGGCGGACCCAGGGAAGTGAGGCGATTCAGCCAGACGAGTCCAACCTCACTCGACCTGCGTGAACGACTCTCAGATGCCAACAACCAAACTTTCTCTCAATATCTGAGTTGTTTTTGTGTTTTCGAACAGCAGTCAGGTGTGGCAGCCATCTTGGAATGGGTTACTTCCAAAGGTGACTTGTTTAATAGCTAAAAGTCAAACAGGTTTAATTTCTTAAAGTCAACGTCAAAATAAGTGTTTGTATGTCTCTCAGCTACAACAAAACCAGATTTTAGCTCATTAGCTTTCATCCTGGCAGAGATTGGCTGTGGCGGCCATGTTGGATTCAATTGGACCAACTTTCTGTCATCAACATCTGTCCTGGGGTTCATGACGTCAGACACACGTTTTACTTAGCTTTCAGAAGTTGGACAGAAAATCATCAATAATGTGCTCATCCCAACTAAATCTACTTTCACAAAATTACCAGTAACGATTATTTAAATAACATTTAAACGTTTTTCTGAATGATTTCAAAAGTCTAGCACGCTGTGGTGCTTGTCCACGTAATTAAAAGACACCTAAGACATTTCCATCACTCTGGTTCTGTTCCATATTAGGTCTGTAAAAGCAGGCTGTTGGAGAGGCTGTCCGTGAAGCATGCGACACACCGGCTCTACCTGTCCCGTCTACCTGTCCAACTTGACTCACCGCCTGCATGAAGCTCCGGAAAAGCGAGTCCAGCAGCATCAGCTTCCACGGCTCGCTCACGCCGCTCGGTAACGGCAGGTACACGTAATAGGCGGCCGCCGCTAGCATCACGGCGCCGGCAACACGGAGCCTCATCGCGGACGGAGAACGATACCTTCCGCCGTGAGGTTCATGTGGGAATGCCGCTGTCAGGTAACAAAACGGCCAGTGGCTCCGCCCGGGATCAGTGAAACACGGAGGAATGACCTTGGTTTCAAAATAAAAGCTCAAACGAGACTCCAATCGGATTTTTGACGAAGGAAAAAGCGACACTAACTTTATTTTGACATTTTTAAACAGGAAGTTGTTTGATAATTGCGTAATCGTGTTGCTCGTGGGAAATGTAGTTATTTTAACTCTAATTCAACGCATATCACCAGTTTTACTATTATTTAATGAACATCACTCGTTTTTCTTTCTATTGAACTGATTGATAGTTTAAAATTTTATCCAGATTGTCACAATTTTCTTAATTGAACTTAGAAACTTCTTTGGTTCAAAATAATTCAGGCAAATTAACTATTGATATTAGGTTTGATCTTCATGATCTTACCATCCATCCATCCATCCATCCATCCATCCATTTTCATCCACTTATCCGGAGTCGGGTCGCAGGGGCAGCAGCCTAAGGCGAGAGGCCCAGACTTCCCTCTCCCCAGCCACTTTGGCCAGCTCCTCCGGGGGAATCCCAAGGCGTTCCCTGGCCAGGTGAGAGACATAGTCCCCCCACCGTGTCCTGGGTCTACCTTTAGGTCTCCTCCCGGTTGGACGTGCCCAGAAAACCTCACCAGGGAGGCGTCCAGGAGGCACCCTGACCAGATGTCAGAGCCACCTCAACTGGCTCCTCTCGATGTGGAGGAGCAGCGGTTCTACTCCGAGCCCCTCCCGAATGACCAAGCTTCTCACCCTATCTCTAAGGGAGAGCCCAGCCACTCTTCGGAGAAAACTCATTTCAGCCGCATGTATCCGCGATCTCACCCTTTTGGTCACTACCCAAAGCTCGTGACCATAGGTGAGGGTAGGAACGTAGATCGACCGGTAAATCGAGAGCTTCACCTTCTGACTCAGCTCTCTCCTCACTACGACAGACCGGTACAACGCCCGCATCACTGCAGATGCAGCACCAATCCGCCTATCGACCTCACGCTCCAGTTTTCACTCACTCGTGAACAAGACCCCGAGATACTTTAACTCCTCCACTTGGGGCAGGACCTCATCCCTGACCCGGAGAAGGCATTCTACCCTTTTCCGAATCAAGACCATGGTCTCAGATTTAGAGGAGCTAATTCTCATCCCAGCTGCTTCACACTCGGCTGCGAACCGCTCCATCGAAAGCTGAAGATCACGTTCTGATGAAGGCCTAAGGTATCCTGGTGCCAAGAGCACACATGGACCCCTTTATGTCTGAACATGGTGCTCATTGTGGACAATCCATGACTGGCACAGAAGTCCAATAACAAAACACCACTCGAATTCAGATCAGGGGAGCCGTTCCTCCCAACCACACCTCTCCAGGTCTCACTGTCGTTGCCCACGTGAGCGTTAAAGTCCCCCAGCAGAACGAGGGAGTCACCGGAAGGAGCGCTTTCCAGCACCCCCTCCAAGTTCTCCAAAAAAGGGCGGGTAGTCTGAACTGTAGTTTGGTGCATAAGCACAGACCACAGTCAGAACCCGTCCCCCCACACGTAGGTGGAGGGAGGCTACTCACTCATTCACCGGGGTAAACCCCAACATACAGGCACCAAGATTTGGGGCAACTAGTATGCCCACCCCTGCTCGGCGCCTCTCGGTGGGAGCAACTCCAGAGTGGTAGAAAGTCCAACCCCTCTCAAGGAAACTGGTTCCAGAGAGAGAGCCGTGTGTTGAGGTGAGTCCGACTATTTCTAGTCTGAACCTCTCAACCTCACACACCAACTCAGGCTCCTTCCCCACCAGAGAGGTGACATTCCACGTGCCAACAGCCAGCTTCTGTAGTCGAGGATCAGACTGCCAAGGTCCCCGCCATCGACTACCACCCGTCACACACTGCACCCGACCCCTTTGGCCCCTCCCACGAGTGGTGAGCCCATGGGAAGGGGGACCCACGTTTCCTCTTCGGGCTGTGCCCGGCCGGGCTCCATGGGTGAAAGCCCGGCCACCAGGCGCTCGCCAACGTGCCCCACCTCCAGGCCTGGCTCCAGAGGTGGGCCCCGGTGACCCACATCCGGGCGACGGAACACGGTTTCCATTTATATAATTCATCATAAGAGGTCGGCTGCGCAGTGACGCAGTGGTTGGAGGTGTTGCCTTCCCGGCCTGGGATCTTTCTGCATGGAGTTTGCATGTTCTCCCTGTGCATGCTTGGGTTCTCTCCGGGTTCTCCAGCTTCCTCCCACAGTCCAAAAACGTGACTGTTAGGTTAATTGGTCTTTCTAAATTGTTCTTAGGTGTGTGTGTGTGTGTGTGTGTGTGTGTGTGTGTGTGTGTGTGTGTGTGTGTGTGTGTGTGTGTGTGTGTGTGTGTGTGTGTGTGTGTCTCTGTGTTGCCCTGTGATGGACTGGCTCTCTGTCCAGTGTGTATCCCGCCTGATTGCCCATTGACCGCTGGAGAGTGGCACCAGCCCCCCCGCGACCCTGTGTGGACAAAGCGGGTTCAGAAAATGGATGGATCATAAGAGGTCTTCGGGCTGCTCTTTGTCTGATCCCTCACCTAGGACCTGTTTGCCATGGGTGACCCTACCAGAGGCAGAAAGCCTCAGACAACTTAGCTCCTAGGACCACTGAGACACTACCCCTCCACCACGGTAAGATGGCAGCCCAGGAAGAGATCTTACCTTAATACAAAAAACTGTACTTTTTTTTTCAAATTTAATAAACAATTAACATTTATTTTAAATAGACTAAATCTTGACATTAGTCTGCGGACATGTTTCGTCAAAAAGAATAAAAACTTAAACTGAAAACTATATTTGGATTTCCTGAATATTTGTCTTGGTTCTTGTTTTACAATCACCACACCTGGCTTCACCATCTCAGCTGGCTCCAATTAGGAGCGGTCAAGGGCAGTTGATAAAGTTGATGCTCTGAGCTCTCTCCCATCAGTTTGCCGTTTACTATGGCTGAAGCCAGCTCGTTTCTCTTAAGGCAAGTTTTCACAAATATTTTAGTTGGAATTAAGAGAGAAAAATCTCGTTATTTTAAAATGGTCCAAATCTCAATTCCTGATTAGATTTAGTCAACTGTATGAAGTGCTAAACCAAATGTTGGAAAAAACCTGTATATTAACCCAAATTAATGGTTTTAAGAGTGTTAAAATTTTCTACATTACATCAAACTAAATCTGAGAGAAATTGGTAGTTGTAACTGTAACTAACTCCATTGTATGGTGCAGATTTCTAATATTGTCTCTGTTGGCTGTTGGACGATCACAAGGTAAGCTTTGCTTAAAACTGCAGAGTTGACTGTTTTTATAAAGACTAATTATTTTTTCTTTAACAGCCACCAACACATCATCTTCTGAGAATCCTGAAAATGAAGCTGCAAACGCTCCCACTGATGTACCACCTGTTGATGCCTTAACACCGAACGGGACAAACGACTACAATTCCACTGCTTCTCCATCTGTTTCTCCTCCTAAAGAGAAGCCCTCAAATGTTTCTGACCCAGGAGACCAGGCATCTAATGAACCCCAACAGGAAGCAGCAGCAGAAGATTCTGAAGATGACTTGGCACAGCTTCCACGAAGCTGTCTGCCCCATGGAAACCAGAAGCTGGTTTGCCCAACCCAGGGTCCTCTGGAGTTTGTTTGCCCCACTCCAGAACCCCAGCAGCTTACATGTCCACCCCAGGTTCCTGCCACACCCAAGCACAAACCAGTGTCTCTTCAATTGTCTCAGTTGCTTAAGTTGATAAAGCAACTTGGCTACTCACCTGATGGTCCCCAGCAGCAGCAGCAGCTGGAACAGGAGCAAAACCAAGAGAAGCTGCTTGGTCTTCTATCAAAGTGGCTCCAGGAGCTCCAACAGCGTGTTTATCTGCAAAAGTTGAAATCCATGGCCCACCAACAAGGATACCTGCCCATGTGGCGCCGTGATGATTACCAATACCATGGTTACCAGCTCCCAGAGCCTGGAGATCATGACGTTGGTCCCCGCCAGCACTATGGCTACCCACCCCAGGAGCCTCTACACCAAAGCCACGCCCCCAGAAAGTTCAGAGAAAATCAAATCCATGGTTACCCACTGCAGAAGCCTCAGACACCAATGGCCAATGAGTTCAAACCTCCCCATTCCCATGATAACCCACCCCAGGAGTTCTTGCAACCTAGTCCTCAGAGTTACCCACCCAGAGGTTCAATGGAACCCCGTCTTCAAAGTCACCCACCCCAGGATTTCTGGGATGTCCCTCCACAAATGTATCCCCAGAGAGAGTTTCTACAACCCCATCCCTATGTTTACCCTGCCCTGGAGTTATGGGGGCACAATCCCCAAGAGTACCCTCCACAAGAGTTCAGACCACCCCAGCCAACCAGCCTCTCACCCCAGGAGTTTCACAAGCCCCATCAGCACGGTCACCCTCAAGTTCCTACAAAACCCCAGATGCCACATCAGCATCACAAGCGAAGTTTCAAGCCTCTGCCTTCTCAGATCATTACCAGGTGGCCTGCTTATCTGCCCCAAAAACCTTATTACATAACCAATTTGCTCCGGTACCAACCTAAGAGGCCACAAAACAAGCCCAGACCGGGCAACCCCCCTCAGATGTTTTACTTAAAAGCAAAGTAACCTAAAGTTGCACATTGGGTCCTTCAGTTGGATCAAGGGTTCCAGGTTTATGGGTGGAGTAGAAATATCCATATGCTTCAGCTGCAGCAAAAATATAAAATAACACGACTTTGTTTTTAATCAATGTTTTCTAATTCTGGCATGTAATCTCCAATGACCTGTCAAATAAAAGGAATTTATTCTCGGATCTGTGATGTTTCTGGATTCTGATACCAGACTGGAGGTATCTTTAGCTATGAGTAGCTTTAACTTTGGATTAAAATTTTCAATAGAAAATCAAACAAAACTAAGAAACAAACACTCATGTGCCACGTTAAAAGCCAAAGCATGAAATGGGGTTTCAAGAGATTTAAAACCAAAGATGCCAACATAATCTGCAGAGGCAGTGCATTCCAAAGCCTAGGGGCAACTAATGAAGCCCCATCACCCCTGAGCTTACGTCTTGTTCTTGGGACTTCCAGGAACAGCCCATATATCTGCTCTATTGGTGATGTGCTCCATCTTGCTTGTCCCAGATGTGCAGCCACGTTCTGCACCAACTGCAGACAAGAGATGAGACCGGGAAACACCAAATTACATCGAATTTCAATAATGTCTCGTAATAAAAGCGTAAATTACTGTCTCAAAATCTTGTTTTGACAGCAAGTTTATGATCCTTGGCGATACTTCTCAGTTAGTTAAAAACTAGATTTAGTCACCAAACTGATTTGCCTGTCCAAGATGAGATAACACACAAGAATGTTATATTAGGTTTCAAAATGAGGGGCGAGCAGATAAAGTTCAACTGCAAAATCCTCAGATGAAGCACCAGGACCAAAACCCACAACCTCCATCTTCTTTTCATTAAAAAGCAGGAAGTTGGAGAACATCAGTTGTCTAACCTCAAAAAGATATTCCAAGAGAAAATTCAGTGACTGATGATGGCTTCTCTGAACCTGAGTACTATCTGCAAAGCAGTGAAAACCCCTGTTTCCTGAAAATCAGACCCAAACCTAACAGATACAATGTAAAGAACAATGGGTCTGATATAGAACCCAGAGGAACCCCACAAGTCAATGAACCATTAGAAGAAGTAAAATTACCCAACTTAAACACTGAAGGATCTATTTGCCAGGTACACACAAACCAGTCCAGAGCAACTCCACGAATATCCACAAAATGCTGCAGCCTAGAGGTCACAAGATGTGGTCCATGGTGTCAAATGCAACCCATAAGTTCAACAGTGCCAGAACAACAAAGACTGTTGCTGATAAAATATTATTAAAGCTGATTCTGTTCTGTTGACTGGCCTAAAACCAGATTGGAATTTTTAAAAAATATCATTGTCCATCAAATGCTTGGTCATCTGAGAGTATTCAACCTTCTCCAGTACTTTGGAAATAAAACAAAGTCTGGAGATAGGTTTGTAACTGGACAAAGCAGATGGGTCGAGTTCAGGCTTTTTTTATTAAAGGCTGCCCCACAGCATGTTTCCAGTTCCCTGGTACTGCCCCAGAGACAAGGCTGTCATTAATAATGGAAAGAACCCAAACACCAACTGATGAAAACATGTATTTCAAAAGCCCATGGAGCATCACATCCGCATAATGAGCTACACTTTAGCCACTGCCCAGGGGGCACTGACTAGAGCGAGGTTGCCGTACATTGTACCCCCAGGTCTTTCTGCCCGCCATCAGCAGGCAAAGACTCATAATGACTGAGAGGGACGTGAACCTGCAACCCTCTGGTTACTTCTCTCCTCTGCCATCATCACTCCTTACAAATCCAGATCTAATTCTAATAGACTGGCATATCTAAGGCATTCTGTAAGTTTTTGTTGTAGTTTAAGTTAGTAAAGACACAAATAATTCGTCTCTAACTGCATTAGCTGGAATAGACAGTTAAAAGGAAATTAAATGAAATTTAAAAAATTCCCTTGTACATATATTTAATATAACAATTTAAATGGTTTTCCCACTTCAGTTTGACCACTTTTTACAATCTGCACAATGAAATTAAATGGAGTCTGACTTTTTGAGGTTTAAGTTGATTCCAAATCTAAATTTTAAGTATCCTATCACATTTAGGCCTTGCACTGATGCACACCTATAGCACAGTTAACATCACCTGCCACCATCATCACAGCTGTTTTCATTTACCTTAACAAGGTTGGAGAGTAGAGGTATAAAAGCAGTTCAGGTAGCATCTTTGCTTTGATGTTTTCGGTCTCCCTGGTTTTATCAGCAGTGCTCAGAAATTACTGGGCTTGCTGTCTTGTCTAGTTAGTAAGATGGCGTTTCTCTATGGGTAAGTTTAAAGTTGTTGATGCAATTAAATTGTTTTCTTTCTAACCTAATCTCATTATTATAGATTGCTGGTGCTGCCTCTTCTGGTTCTTGAAATTCCTCAAGTAAATGGTGAGTTTAATTCATGGAACTCTCTAGTATGAAATTTGGAGTGTGTGATTGATGCTTGGCCCTTATTTTTGCTTTATGGTGACTTAAAACTGTTTCTCTCCAGCTGGCCATGAGCCTTGGGATTCTCCACCTGATTACCCGTGGTGGATTCCAGTAGTTGTGATGTGCCCGCCTGAAAGGTCGGAGATCCCCAGCCAGCATCAAAGATTCTGTGAGCAAAGGGTTGCAAGACCCCCAATGTTTCCAGTAGGGGGTCCAGTGTATCCTGGAAAGCCGCCAATGTTTCCAGTTGAGCCGCCAATGTTTCCACTGGGGGGTCCAGTGAATCCTGGAGAGCCGCCAATGTTTCCAGTAGGGGGTCCAGTGAATCCTGGAGAGCCGCCAATGTTTCCAGTAGGGGGTCCAGTGAATCCTGGAAAGCCGCCAATGTTTCCTTTTGAGCCGCCAATGTTTCCACTGGGGGGTCCAGTGAATCCTGGAGAGCCGCCAATGTTTCCACTGGGGGGTCCAGTGAATCCTGGAGAGCCGCCAATGTTTCCAGTTGAGCCGCCAATGTTTCCACTGGGGGGTCCAGTGAATCCTGGAGAGCCGCCAATGTTTCCAGTAGGGGGTCCAGTGAATCCTGGAAAGCCGCCAATGTTTCCAGTTGAGCCGCCAATGTTTCCAGTAGGGGGTCCAGTGTATCCTGGAAAGCCGCCAATGTTTCCAGTTGAGCCGCCAAGGTTTCCAGTAGGGGGTCCAGTGAATCCTGGAAAGCCGCCAATGTTTCCAGTTGAGCCGCCAATGTTTCCAGTAGGGGGTCCAGTGAATCCTGGAAAGCCGCCAATGTTTCCAGTAGGGGGACCAGTGAATCTCGGGATGCCACAAATGTTTCCAGATGAGCCTCAGTTTCCAGTAGGGGGTCCAGTGAGCCCTGGAAAGCCACCAATGGCACCCAGTGACCAAAAGGATCTAATTGGGGGTCCAGTAGACTTGAGACAAAACCCAACATTTTCTTTCAGGAATTATCAAATGTTGGGACTGTTGTTTCCTAAGCACCCCAAATGTCCGACATGTCAAGAGAAGCCCAAAGGTCCTTCACATCAAGGGTCCAAAAGTCCTCCAAAACCAAGTTGCTTTGGCAAGTGGCACCATCCCATGCATCCCAGACTATGCCATTTGAAGACATAATTATAAGGTAGGTTGTTTTTAATTTTTTTTAATTTTTGTCTTTTCTGACTTTGCTGTAATGGAACTTTTGTTTCTTCCCTAAGGCATGTGGCGATAAAGATCACTTTGGATTCCTTTCAAAATAAAGCCTGACCTTATGTGTATCTCTGGAGTGTGTATGGTGTTTTTCAAATCTCTAAATGATATGGCTAGCAGCACTCGGTCTGAGAAGTTGGAATCCCACAATTGTATCATGCACGTTCCAGCCTTGTAAACTGCTGCAAACTTCTTAGCCCAGGCACAAAGGCAAAATTGTCAAGAGGAGACCTTTGCATGGAACTTGTAATCTTATGTTAACTTCTACCTGCTGATATCGATTTAATGGGCATTCAGACTAGAGACTTGTAAAACTGAGACCTAAAGCTGAAGGATTCTGAGCCAAAACTCTATAAACTGAAACCATTACCAAGTATAAGACCCAATCTCAATACACTCACTACACCCTGCTGTCTTCAGCAAAGTGCTCTTGGAGAAGGGGTACAGTAGGGTTCGAATGCGTAGTACCAAGTGTGCAAATCGCAGAATTGAGACTAGGAGCATTGTCATCGACCGTAACGCATGCTGGTCGCTGTAAAACTATTCAAAAACCTTTTAAAATACACTTAAAGCAATTTCAAAATAACTTCATTGCTGCTTTGTCAAACATTAAAACATCCTAAAATGAACTAATTTCATGGACGTATTTTCAGAAAAATACTTTTCTCCTGCAGCAATGAGGTGTGGATAATTCCCTTGCTCAAGGTCTGCATTGCTGCGGACTTGGGTGAAGTGCAGGTAACGGGGGCGTGGTCAACTACCACACTTGAGAATCGGGACATCCTACGCACTCGCACCCCTGGCCGGGAACGTGAAAATGAAGGGTGCATATGCAAGTATTGAGATTGGGCCCATAGCTGCTAAACCTGAGAATCCTCTTCAGTTGGTAACTACGGAAGCTAAATATAAGCAGACTTGATCGCAAGTGCAAGCTGAATTCCTAGAAGCAGGTTAACAGCAGCACTATTTATGATTCAGCAGGCTGATTACTGGTTGGCACAGATTTCCCAGCTTGACGCGCTCTTTCAAAAATGTTAATTACAGTAATTTTTTTCAGTGTCATGACATTAAATAGATCCACATGTATTAAAGAGTTTGCAGCGAGCAAGAGGAACATGACTGAGAAGGCCAGTGGTGCTGAGGGGTTTGCAGAGACGCTGACTAGCATCAGATGTCAGGACCCTGCACCTGTCATTAAAAGCCCAGCAGATAACCCTTCTGCATTCCTTCATCCTTGCTGTTTTATACATTTTCTAGTATCCTATCTGCACACAATGGTTATTGTATTTGTACATTTTGCCATTCATGTTTATAGTTCTTAAAATCCAAGTTATTGTAGTGTATATGTTCAGCTTTCTGAACTTTTAAATATTTGAATCTTTCTGTTGTGTTTTCTTGTATTTTTAGTCTTTAAATTCTAATTAATCTTATTCCCTATATTTACTGTTTTGCTCCTGTTGTGAACAGAATTGCTGCAGTTATGTCAAAATGTCCCCACCGAGGGAAAGTAAAGGAATTTATTAATCTAAATAGATTACAGGCCCTGGTTTCAGAGGACCCACATGGTCTGATTCCTACATGGGCACGTTAAAATCTATGTGGGCAAATCCCTGTAAGGCCACCATGGAAACTGCAGCTTCTGTTGGTACCCATATGATATATAGATAGATATAGATATGTATATATATGTGTGTGTGTGTGTGTGTGTGTGTGTATACCGTAAATCCTCTAATACAGGCCCGGGCCTGTATTTGACTGAAGCTCATCAAGCTCCAGGCCTTTATTGGAAGGAGGGCCAGAATTAGAGGCAGGCCTCTATTTCTATTTGAGCAAAATGAACTAATGGTTCGCTGGAGTTTTTGACAATTAAAATTGCGCCCACATTTTCAAAGTTAAACACATTTCTTTTAACAACGGTAGTTTCTGCTTCAGCCCTCTCCCCCCTCCCCCTGCTTCAGTCCCCTCCCCCCTCCCCCTGCTTCAGTCCCCTCCCCCAGCTTCAGCCCTCTCCCCCCTCCCCCTGCGCAGCGGCCGCAAACTCACTGATGCGCCTGCAGCCTCTCGGAGTTCCTGCTGCTCTAAACATTAAAATAATTATTTCATTTTCTGTTCCTCACTTCTGATTACCTTCAATGGTGTCTGTTTGTTGCAACCAGCAGGTACAAAAACTAACTTGTTTTTATTTGACTATTTTTCTGTCCTACCTGTTTATTATCTTCCTGCATCTCCTCTCAGTCCTAAAGAGAAACTGCTACCTGGGTTCATATATATTCACCTCATGAGTTACCTTTGAACTGCAGTTCTAAAAGATCTACTGACCGCTAAAACAGCGGAGTGCTCGCCGGCCACATCAGTGATCGGTGCGTCACCGAGGACAAAACAGGTGATGCGTCCCGATCCACAGCAGCGAAAAGCATCAGGCACAAATAAAAGAATAAAAGACAGAAAACATAAAAGGAAATGAGCAGACATGAACGATCGAGTGTTAAATTAGTTTTTGAGGTGGCGACACCTGATTTGATAATGTTACTGTGGCCGTGCTCAGGATGCAGATGTCTGGAGCGCGTCAACAACCAGAGCTTTGCATGCACACGCTGGTTAAGGTTAGGACGGGGGTGAGGGGAAGGTTAAATTGTAAGAGGGTAAAGGTCACAATTTGGTTAAATGTCAGTTTTACGGCGGGTGTCAGTACCGACGCTCTGGCACAGCGCGTTGCCTCCCGACGCGCAGGAGCTTGTCACCTGCTGACAGCAGGCTGCTGTCTTTTCCGTGGACTGCATCTTGCCGGTCATTATCACGTGACTGCGACTAGTTGACGACAGGCATAACAAGTCACTATAGAGTGGTGAAGTCGACTAGTGACTAGTTCATACAACCCCTACTGCTCCCCAGTGTTTCACCTTCGCCGACTCCGACACCGGCCAAAATGTGATACCCGGCAGTTGATTAAATACAGGCTAATATTACAGGATTTACGGTATATATATATATATATATATATATATATATATATATATATATATATATATATATATATATATATATATATAATATGAATATAGAAGAACCATCTTGCCCCCCCCCCCCCCCCCCCCAAGGAATTGTGGGGCAAGCAGGATGCTTTGTATTTTGGGTTGCTGTAACATTGCTGCAGGGGCCTGTCCTTCCAGGAGGAGATCTTGGACCAGCCTCTGCCTTTGGATCCTGAAGGAAAGGCTGAGGACAGCTGGATACGCAGAAGAAGACCAAATAAACTTCAGTGTTCAAGGTGTCCTACAGTATAATTAAAACAGGCACAATTAAAGCAGCTGTGTCATGAAAAGCTCAGTGGACATTAAAAGTGTGGTTTTTTAGTCTGATCTCCTTCTTCTCCCAGAGAACAATTAGCCACACCTGGTTTTAACAGGTCCCACCTGTGTGCATTCACCTAAACAAGAACAGCATAAAAAGCTTCTGAGCAGGCATCTGCTGCTCATTGTCTCCTGATTACATGTGTGGTTGGGCAGTGATTGGTAGAAGTGTCTGAGTTTGCTGCTAATGGTGTTTGAAGTCATGGGATTTATCTTCAGGTAAGCTGTGATCTTCTGTGTTTAGTTCAGTCTGGGCAGCCATGTTGAATTTAGCACTAACTTTCATGTTTCTTAGGTTACTCCTGTTATCTCTGCTTTCTCTTGAGTCTCATCAAGTCAGTGGTAAGCTTAATAAAAATGTTGTCTTAAGTGCTCAAATGCAGGGTTTTTCCAGACAAAGGCAATTAAACTGCATTGATGTTAAAAATTATATGAACTTTAAGGCAATCTCTCCTACCTGCAGGTGAGCGCAGTGGCTCTAACAAATATGGAGATGAGTTCCTTCCAAGTAAACCACCAACAGATGATGAAACAGTGTTTCCTGTTAAGCCTAACTACCCAATAGGTGGTCCAGTTGACTCCTCATACCTGCCCATGGTCCTCAGGCCTCCCCAACACCCACCGTTTGGTCATCAAACTGAAGAATGGAATCCTCGGCATCACCCGGGCTTCCCGTCTCAGCATCCCAGGCCTCAGCATCACCCGGGCTTCCCGTCTCAGCATCCCAGGCCTCAGCATCACCCGGGCTTCCCGTCTCAGCATCCCAGACCTCAGGATCACCCGGGCTTCCCGTCTCAGCATCCCAGACCTCAGGATCACCCGGGCTTCCCGTCTCAGCATCCCAGGCCTCAGCATCATCCTGGCTTCCTGTCTCAGCATCCCAGGCCTCAGGATCACCCTAGCTTCCCGTCTCAGCATCCCAGGCCTCAGCATCACCCGGGCTTCCCGTCTCAGCATTCCAGGCCTCAGCATCACCCGGGCTTCCCGTCTCAGCATTCCAGGCCTCAGCATCACCCGGGCTTCCCGTCTCAGCATCCCAGGCCTCAGCATCACCCGGGCTTCCCGTCTCAGCATTCCAGGCCTCAGCATCACCCGGGCTTCCCGTCTCAGCATCCCAGGCCTCAGCATCACCCGGGCTTCCCGTCTCAGCATCCCAGGCCTCCGCATCACCTGGGCTTCCCGTCTCAGCATCCCAGGCCTCAGGATGACCCGGGCTTCCCGTCTCAGCATCCCAGGCCTCAGGATGACCCGGGCTTCCCGTCTCAGCATCCCAGGCCTCAGGATGACCCGGGCTTCCCGTTTCTGCATCCCAGGCCTCAGCATCACCCGGGCTTCCCGTCTCAGCATCCCAGGCCTCAGGATGACCCGGGCTTCCCGTCTCAGCATCCCAGGCCTCAGGATGACCCGGGCTTCCCGTCTCAGCATCCCAGGCCTCAGGATGACCCGGGCTTCCCGTCTCAGCATCCCAGGCCTCAGGATGACCCGGGCTTCCCGTCTCAGCATCCCAGGCCTCAGGATGACCCGGGCTTCCCGTCTCAGCATCCCAGGCCTCAGGATGACCCGGGCTTCCCGTCTCAGCATCCCAGGCCTCAGGATGACCCGGGCTTCCCGCCTCTGCATCCCAGGCCTCAGGATGACCCGGGCTTCCCGCCTCTGCATCCCAGGCCTCAGGATGACCCGGGCTTCCCGCCTCTGCATCCCAGGCCTCAGGATGACCCGGGCTTCCCGCCTCTGCATCCCAGGCCTCAGGATGACCCGGGCTTCCCGCCTCTGCATCCCAGGCCTCAGGATGACCCGGGCTTCCCGCCTCTGCATCCCAGGCCTCAGGATGACCCGGGCTTCCCGCCTCTGCATCCCAGGCCTCAGGATGACCCGGGCTTCCCGCCTCTGCATCCCAGGCCTCAGGATGACCCGGGCTTCCCGTCTCTGCATCCCAGCCCTCAGGATGACTCGGGCTTCCCGTCTCTGCATCCCAGCCCTCAGGATGACCCGGGCTTCCCGTCTCTGCATCCCAGGCCTCAGGATCATCCTGGTTACTTGTCCCAATATCCCAAGCCTTATTATCCTAGCTACCTACCCTGGGATTCCAGACCTGCTTATGGCTACCCACCTCATCATCCCAGACAAGCTAAGCAGTATTTTGGCTACCCACCCCATCACTCAAAACCTCCTCACCCTAGCTACCCATCCCAGGATGTCATGCCCCCCCAGCAGCCTCAACGTTCTCCCAAACGTCCTCAGCAGCGGCGCTTCTCTGGCAGGTCACCAGGCTACGTACCCAAGTGGCCTCAAAAACCACCACAAATGATCAAAAATCCACGTTCTTAGAAACGGCTCTGCTAGACCAACCAGTCTCGGTGGATCTGTACATAAAAACATTATTTTTACTTTTCAATACCACCTAATAAGCTAATCACTGTCTCTTATTTTATATTAATTTTAGGTGCAAGTGACAAGTAAGGATGCAAAACATCTAATCAACCAAGTAAAACACTTTTACTGAACTTCTTCTGTGTGAACCTTTCCTGTTGACACCTTAGTGTTGCCTTGCTTCACAAGTGCTTGTTTAACAAGTCTATGGCTAATGCCTTCAGCTGTAATATAGCTAACAGATGCTAGCTTGTGGTTTTGATGGACGTTGGCATTATTTTTGTTGCTTCCCTTTAATAAAGTTAAATCATTTCTGAAGTGCACGGTGAACTTCTTAGCAACGGAGAAGGGTGTCGGAGCAAGTTTGGAGCTGGAGTTATCAAGCTTTATTCCTTAAATCTGGTTGTAAGGCAAAGGGAATTGTCCGTGGGGCTGTGTAGTAACGAGGAAAGTTGAGCTGTAGACTCCCCAAGGCACTTTAAGTCATTGCCCCATGCAAACATGGAAGAACTACAATGTAGCAGAGCTGCTGTAGGACTCACTAAAGTGAGTGGTGCCACCTGCAGGCAAGAGTGTGAATCTTGCAAAAAGACCTGGCTGCAACCCTCTGGTTATGGGGTGACCTCAACTCTGCCGCTGTTGCATCAAGTACTATAAGTACCCTCTAGTCTATGCTCTGGGGGAGTTTGACAAGTGGACTGAGGCTGGAGTCAGAGCATCCATAGTCTAGAAAGACCAAACCTACACATGGTCTACAAATGTTTCATTCCTTGTGTCAAGCCATTCCTAAACCAGATACTCCAGAAGCTTCCTGCCTGTGCTAAATTGAACTCTTTTATTCAAGTCCTGTTTCCTTCCATTTTTATCCAAAGTCCTGGAGAAAATAGTGGCCATCCAAGTATGTGAGCATTTAAACACTAATGCTCTGTTTGAGGAATTTCAGTCTGGTTTTAGAGAGTATCACAGCACTGAAACTGCATTAGTGAGAGTTACAAATGATATTCTCATGGCCTCAGATAAGAATCTTGTGTCTGTTCTAGTCTTGTTAGACCTCAGTGCTGCCTTTGACACAGTTGATCACAATGTTCTTTTAGAAAGGCTTGAACATGTTGTAGGGATCAAAGGAACAGTGCTAGGCTGGTTTAAATCCTACCTGTCTGACAGATTTCATTTTGTAAACGTACATGGCAAATCTTCTTCATACTCCAGGGTTACTTGTGGAGTACCACAGGGTTCAGTGCTTGGACTAATTCTTTTTACTATATATATGCTCCCAATAGGTAAAATCATTAGACAGCATGGGATAAACTTCCACTGTTATGCTGACGATACTCAGCTATATTTATCCATTAACCCTGATGAACCTAATCGGTTGGGTAGATTACAGGCTTGTCTTGAGGACATAAAAAATTGGACAACTCTAAACTTTTTGCTTTTAAATCAAGACAAGACGGAAGTTCTCATCTTTGGACCAGAAATCCAGAAAAGGAAATTGCTTAGTCAATCACCTGACCTGAATGGCATTACTTTAATCTCCGAGAACAAAGCAAGGAACCTTGGTGTTATCTTTGACCAGGACATGTCATTCAAATCCCAGGTTAATCAGGTTTGTAGGATTTCCTTTTTACACCTTGGGAATATTGCTAAGATTAGAAGCATCCTTTCCAGGAGTGATGCTGAAAAACTAGTTCATGCATTTATTACATCAAGACTGGATTACTGTAATCCATTACTCTCAGGAAGTCCACAGAATGTAGTTAAAAGTCTTCAACTTGTCCAAAATGCTGCAGCTAGAGTTGTGATGAGAATTAAACAGAGAGATCATATCTCTCCTGTCTTAGCTTCCCTACATTGGCTACCTGTTAAATTCAGAATAGATTTTAAGATCCTTCTTCTCACATATAAAGCTCTTAATAATCAAGCTCCATCATACATCAGTGATCTGATTGTTCCATATGTTCCTAACCGAGCACTTCGCTCTCAGACTGCAGGTCTACTGGTGGTTCCCAGAATATCTAAAACTAGGATGGGAGTCAGATCTTTTAGTTATCAGGCTCCTCTCCTGTGGAACCAGCTCCCAGCTTTAGTCCGTGAGGCAGACACCTTGTCTACTTTTAAGAATAGGCTTAAAACATTTTTATTTGATAGGGCTTATAGTTAAAATCTGATGTTAGCCTAAATCTGGACAAGTGGGGGAGTACAGGGAGGTGGAGTGTACAGTCGGTAAAGACGGCTCTCCCTTGCCCTGCCTCCAACATGCCTACATCTAAATAGGATAGATTATCCAGAGTTAACTCTGTAGTTATGCTGCTATAGGCTTAGACTGCTGGAGGATACACTGACCACTTTCCACACTCTACTGCTTTCTTCTACTATCTGCTCTTTAACTGTATTATTTCCTGCTATTTCAGCTGTTAACTTTATTTTTTCTCTAAGTGTTTTTCTCCCCAGAAGAAGCTACAACGATGTTCTGCTGAGCTGTGGTGGCCTCATGGAGGGGGCCATCGTCTAGCACACTGCTGCTAACCACTTAAACATTCTCCCTCTCCTGATAATAACTTTTTGCTTTCCTTGACGTTGGATGTGCTACTACTAGTTTACCCGTTTAATTATAGATCCACTAGGATAAATACAATAAAGTTTATCTCTCACCAAATAGAATATTTACTAAGAAATTACAATGCAACCATAGACACATTGCTTGGTGTGTGTGTGTGTGTGTGTGTGTGTGTGTGTGTGTGTGTGTGTGTGTGTGTGTGTGTGTGTGTGTGTGTGTGTGTGTGTGTGTGTGTGTCTGCTCTGTCTTCTCGATCTCCAGTGAGTCGTGGAGGATGGCTGCTTATACTGAGCCAGGATTCTCTGGAGGTTTCTTCCTGTTAAAATGGAGTTTTCCTCTCCACTGTCGCTGCATGCTTGCTTAGTATGAGGATTGCTGTATAGTCACTGACACTAGTCAGTGACCTGATGCAATTTGCTGGGTTCCTTATATAGGAAAATTTTTTCTGATTGGCTTAATGAACTGACCTGAATTGGAATGTTTATTATGTGAAGCGCCTTGAGACGACTCTTGTCGTGATTTGGCGCTATATATATAAACTTGAATAGAATTGAATTTTTCAGATGAAAGTAAAGTTTGAAGGTCACTTGAAAATCCCAGAGTCTGCAAGAGGTACTGGCTCCAGTCAGCAAACAGTGGTAGATATTTCATCTGTTAGTCTGCTAGTTTCTGAAATCCATCAACACAGACCTCCAGGACATTCCAGAGACCCGATTCTGATTCTGTTTTATGGATGCACTTGCCCACCCTGCCAAAAGCACCAAAGCAGAGTCGATAACCATGTTGTGCTTGACTCGGTGACTTTATGGTTTATCAAAAAGATCCAACAATGCAGAAAAGCTGAAAGCCAACAAACCAACCTGGGCTTTCTTTGCACCTCAGCAGAGCTACAGGCTGATGGCCTCCATGCCATCATAGAGATGCATAGAAGGAAACATGCTTTTCAGTGACCTGATATTGACCCTAGCTGTGCTTAGACATTCTGCTGAAAATAAATCAGCCATCAGAAAAATCTATGAACTCAAAGCTGACTTTGTGAAAAATACTGAAAATGACTGGAAGTGCTTTAACACTAAATTTTAACAGAATAATTAAAAATACCTAATCGATTTTTACACAACATTCTGTTGTTTCACAATTTCATTCAGATTACACAATTATCTAGTGCATAAAGTTTCTAGAAAAGCTTTTTGTACCAGAAGTATTTATCAACAACCATGACCGTTTAAAGGACCTTTACTACAGGTTTAGGAAAAATCAACTTCATTAGCCGTTATGGGATTTGTAGAGCACAGTGCAACCGTAGTTGTTTACAAATTTAATGTAGTGGGTCCTTTAATTGATTTTAGCAAGACACTTGACACAACTGACCAAACACACCTGCTTAAAAATGTGAACACTGGTCTTTGCAGAAAAACAAATTGAGTTCCAGATTTCCGATCTGTCGTGGGGAAGAGGGAGCTGAGCCAGAAAGCCAGGCTCTCCATTTACCGGTCGATCTACGTCCCAATCCTCACCTATGGTCATGAGCTTTGGGTAATGACCGAAAGAACGAGATCGCGGATACAAGCGGCCGAAATGAGTTTCCTCCGTAGGGTGGCCGGGCTCAGCCTTAGAGATAGGGTGAGGAGCTCGGACATTCGGGAGGGACTCGGAGTAGAACCGCTGCTCCTCCGGAACGAAAGGAGCCAGTTGAGGTGGTTTGGGCATCTGGTCAGGATGCCTCCTGGACGCCTCCCCGGGGAGGTGTTTCGGGCATGTCCTGCCGGCAGAAGGCCCCCGGGTCGACCCAGGACACGTTGGAGAGGTTACATCTCCAATCTGGTCCGGGAACGCCTTGGGGTCCTGCCGGAGGAGCTGGTGGACAAGGCCGGGGAGAGGACGGCCTGGAGCTCCCTAGTTGGGATGCTGCCTCCGCGACCCGGACCCGGATAAGCGGAGGAAGACGACGACGACGACGACGACGAGTTCCAGATTTCAATATCTAACTGTTAATAATAGGATCCGCAGCTTGAAAAAGTAACGTGTGGTGTACCGCAAGGCTCGGTCCTTGGACCAAAATTATCCACACTCTATCTGAAGTACATCTTTTCTGTATCAACTCGGTTAAAATCCATTATGTTTGCAGATGACACTAACTCTCTTTGTACAGGAAAACACGAGATTTTTTACTGGAGTCCTCTGACATTTTTTCCAGATCATCACTACCAGCAACAGAAACACACCTCGACTTAACATTAGTTCTTTTCAGTGGTAGAAAACAAATTTGTGTTAATTAAAAAGTGATTTGATTAGAATAAGTTACCAATAAATGAAAATAAAGCTAAATGTATATTTCAGGAAGCAGAGATAATGACAATGCTAGAGTTCAAAGTGAACGAGTACATGAAACCACATTTTTAGGTGTGATGATAGTAAACTTAGATGGAAACCACACATTGAATATATCAAACATCAAGTGCCCAGATCTATTGCTATACTCTCCAAAACAAGGGATGTACAAAACAAAGAGGCTTTGCTTTTGATTCACCGTTCTTCAGTTCTGCCTTCTTTGTAAAAATGAGCTGAGATTTAAGGAAACGAAGGGAAAATATATAAAGTCTCTATTTAAATTACAACAAAAGGCTGTTAGAATTAGTGGGATTCCTCACACCAACCAGCAATTTATTTAAACAAAATAAAACTTTACAAATAAAAATTTAAATCTTAGAAATTCTTCATAGAGTATAACAATATTCCACATTGTACACACCTCTTTCAACCCAACCGACGACTGCTATAGTCTTAGTGGTGAATTTGTTTTTTAATGCGCTGAAGCAAGAACTAATGTTGAGTCGAGGAGTGTTTCTTTTACTGGTGGTGATGAGCTACAACTGGAAGAAATGTCAGAGGACTCCAAAGCGCTTTACACTACAGTGTATCATTCACCCCTTCACACACACACGTTCACACACTGATGGTGATGAGCTACGACGTAGCCACGGCCGCCCTGGGGCGCACTGACAGAGGCGAGGCTTCCAACAGCAGGCGAGGGGAGTTAAGTGTCTTGCCCAAGGACACAACAGCAGCATTCTGATTAGAGGCGGCAGTAGCTCAACAGGCTGCATTCGGAAGGTTGCAGGTTTGATCCCGGCTCCGGACAGAGAATTCTGCTGCTGTGTCCTTGGGCAAGACACTTAACCCACCTTGCCTGCTGGTGGTGGTCGGAGGGACCGGTGGCGCCTGTGCTCGGCAGCCTCCTCTCTGTCAGTGCGCCCCAGGGCAGCTGTGGCTACATCGTAGCTCATCACCATCAGTGTGTGAATGTGTGTGTGAATGGATGAATGATGCACTGTAGTGTAAAGCGCTTTAGAATCCTTACTCTGAGAGGCGCTATACAAGTGTGGATCATTTATCATTTATCATTCTCTGTTGGGAGCCAGGATTGAACCTGCAACCTTCTGGTTGCTGGACAACCCGTTCTACCCTCTGAGCTTCTGCCGCCCTAAATGTACTCCTCTACCAAAGTTTGAGGCAGATGTTCGGTGTTAAATGCGGCGGAGTATTCAGTATTCAGCTCGTTTCTCCTCCGCAGGGTTAGAGTCAGCCCGTAGCTCCACCTCACCTCTGGGCGAGGTGGAGCTAAAACTTTACTGAACTTTTATTTTAAATTGTAAATGTTCCTCTTTTGGTTAAAATGTGTGATGTCACATTTGTGTTTTGAAACCTTTTTCTGTTAATGTGACAACCAAAATAAGGAAAAGAGAAAAAGATTGTATTGTTTTTTTTTAAATTGTGAAGTTTCATTGTTACATCCATACTGACCTGCTAACCATGCATTATTCTGACACTGTCCTTGAAGCAAAGGCTCCTCCCCTTCTGGTCGGCCCATGGGTCCCTGAACGGGGCTGTGAAGTTATTATCTGGTCCGCTCCGTCTTACGCCCTGAGTCACACACATCTTGTGTACGGCAGTTTAAATGGGAAAAAATTCTGCATGTTTTGACTATGAGATTTGTAAAAATTCATAATTTAAAGGTATAGCAAAGGATCTTTTTCTTCCAGGTGGATCTTCTGAATCATTGGTCCGCTTAACTGCATCATTCTGGAGAACCATTCCCGTGGTCGTGCGTTGCTGGGTAGTTTTCACTTCCTGCACATGCGCAAAGCAAAGGCTGGGGTCCCCACAGACGCCTCTATCGCCCGTTTCCTGCTCGACAGCTAAGCTAAGGTTCGGCGTGCCATTTGGAGAAATTCATGTCAGATTTCTGCTAGAAGAAGAGGTTGGCTGTGAGGCCAGCAGCCACTTGTAACAAGGATAACTGGGCGTTCGGTTCTTTCCTGAAATTCAGAAACTTCTCCCGCTTTACCTTTAAATAACTACAGGTCAGACGTCGCTGCAGAAGCTCCTCCCCCAGCGCAGCTGCTACTTAGCACTCGGCTAGATTTATGGTGGTTTTCTCCACGTTGCATCCTGGAAGGAGGATACGAAGCTCCCTAAATTCAGCCAGTTTTCTTCTCCTCTCTGCTGAGTTTGGTTTGATGTCGTCAATTTGGAGAGATGAGCTTTTAGAGTCCTCTGATTAAGTTCACACATAACCTAAAGTCGCTTTTGCAGCTTTCTTACACTTCCTTGGCATCAAATTGTGTCTTTAATTCACGGACATATGTCCATGAATCCATGGCGTGTATCAAACAGCATCAGAAAATAACTTATCGGCTCGTAGACTCCCATTCATTTTGTTGACAGTAGGGGAGTAATGGTCAGTCTGGTCATCAATCCCAGCACCCTACAAACCAGTGAATGAACCAGTAGGGCTGTGTCATATAAGGGATACATCAGTTAAAATATACAAATTGGTGGAATTTTAAACCAGCGGTCACCTCCGAAACTCTCAAAAGTGTTCATTTATACAACTTCACATCAGGTCTGATTTCATTTAACTTGCGATCAAAAGTGCATGTCCCCTTTTTAGCTTTATGTGTCGATAATGTCAATATGTTCCTCCTCAGTGTCATGTTGGCTGTTCCTAGAAAGCGCTGCTCGCTGCTACATAATCAGCCACACCTGGTTTTAACTGATCCCACCTGTGTGCACTTATCTGAGCAAGGGCAACATATAAAAAGCCTCTGAGCAGGTGCCAGATACTCATTGTCTTCTGACTGCATGTCTAGTTTAGCAGTGGCTGGTAGAAGTTACTGAGTTTGCTGCTAATAGTGTCTGAAGTCATGGGATTCATCCTCAGGTAAGCTGTGATCTTCTGTGGTCAGATCAGACCCGTCAGCCATGTTTAAATTCATGCCAACTTGAATGACTTTCCTTTTAAACAGGTTGCTCCTGTTATCTCTGCTTGATCTTGGATGTCAGGTTAATGGTAAGCTTAACTAAAATGTCTAATTTCTTGTATGCATGAATCTACACCCTTCCAGATGAGGGTTCCTGAGCATAAAATGTTAAATTGTACAGATGTTTGAACTTTTAAGGAAATTCTTCTCCCCTGTCTGCAGGTGGCCACAGTGGCTCTACTGACAAACATGGAGATGAGTCGATTCTTAGGTTGACAGACAATGAACCAGTGTTTCCTGTAGAGCCTGTATACCCAGTAAGGGGTCCAGTTCACTCGTACCTGCCTGTGGTCCCGAGGCCTTCCCAGCAGCAACGGCCACCTATTCCTGCCTACCCACCCTTTAGCTTCAGACCTCCCCAACACACACTTACTGACCAGCAATCTCAAGATCTGAAGCCTCCCAGCTGGCGTTCTGGCCACCCTTCCCAGTATACCAAGCCCAGTTACCCTGGCTATCAAGCTCATGGTCCTGAGCGTCCTCAGCAGCATTCTAGTTTCCCACCCCACCAACCCAAGCCCCATTACCCTGCCTACCCATCTCAGTATTCCAATCAGTATTCTAGTTACCAGCCACTGTCTCCCAGTCACTACCCAAGCTACACACCTAATGGTCCCACGCTTCACCAGCAGCAGTCTGGTGAATTACCGCTCAACTTTCCCAAGCCCCATTACCCTGACCTGCTCCAGGCTCCCAAACCTCGCCAGTTCAATGGTTACCTGCCGCAGGCGCCCAAGCCCACTCACCAGCATCAAGGCTACGTGCCGCAGAAGCCCAAGCCCGACCACCAGCATCAAGGCTACGTGCCGCAGAAGCCCAAGCCCGACCACCAGCATCAAGGCTACGTGCCGCAGAAGCCCAAGCCCGACCACCAGCATCAAGGCTACGTGCCGCAGAAGCCCAAGCCCGACCACCAGCATCAAGGCTACGTGCCGCAGAAGCCCAAGCCCGACCACCAGCATCAAGGCTACGTGCCGCAGAAGCCCAAGCCCGACCACCACCATCAAGGCTACGTGCCGCAGAAGCCCAAGCCCGACCACCAGCACCAAGGCTACGTGCCGCAGAAGCCCAAGCCCGACCACCAGCATCAAGGCTACGTGCCGCAGAAGCCCAAGCCCGACCACCAGCATCAAGGCTACGTGCCGCAGAAGCCCAAGCCCGACCACCAGCATCAAGGCTACGTGCCGCAGAAGCCCAAGCCCGACCACCAGCATCAAGGCTACGTGCCGCAGAAGCCCAAGCCCGACCACCAGCATCAAGGCTACGTGCCGCAGAAGCCCAAGCCCGACCACCAGCATCAAGGCTACGTGCCGCAGAAGCCCAAGCCCGACCACCACCATCAAGGCTACGTGCCGCAGAAGCCCAAGCCCGACCACCAGCACCAAGGCTACGTGCCGCAGAAGCCCAAGCCCGACCACCACCATCAAGGCTACGTGCCGCAGAAGCCCAAGCCCGACCACCACCATCAAGGCTACGTGCCGCAGAAGCCCAAGCCCGACCACCAGCACCAAGGCTACGTGCCGCAGAAGCCCAAGCCCGACCACCAGCACCAAGGCTACGTGCCGCAGAAGCCCGACCACCAGCACCATTCATCTAAAAGTCCTCAACGGCAACGATTCTTTGGCAGATTACCAAGCCACTTCTCCAAGTGGCCGCAAAAACCTCACCAAATGATGAAACTTCAGTCTCCAAAGAAGCGTTATTACTAGACCAACCTGTCTCAGTGGGTCAGTAAGTAACCTTATTTTACATATATTTTATTTTTTCAATCTCATCTGAAACTATTTATCCCCACCCAGGTGCACAAGTGGTGAGAGTGAACCTCCATGAGAACTTCCAAATAAAAACATGTAACTTAATAACTGGGTTTTGTAAAGTTTCGTTTCTTTTCTAACCTTTCTTGTAGTGTTTCAAGTGGACCATGATTTCTTATGTCTCCCCTTATTTGAAGAGTAACTGGAACATTCCATAAACTATGGGAACTGAAATATAACAGCAGTGATTCTGATTGAGTTGGATCAGGTATAGGTCTTTGGTTCCCAGCTTTAAATGGTCATTAGATTAAGAAGTGGTATCTGCTGAGCCTGTCTATTCAGTTACATTAATAAAAGCAAACAGATCTAGATCTGCAGTTTACCTTTGACTTAACGCAAGAAAGTACAGTGAACTAAACCAGAAGGTAACTTTATTTTTGGCGGAACATGTTTCTGAACCATCAGGGTTTACCAGTGTGGGTTCAAATGCAAACGTGTTTAAACATTGGCTTTAAAGCATGGGGAAAATGGTCTTGCAGTAACAAAAGATTTAGGGCATATAAGCAAAATTATGTAGCACCTAAAGTTAAAACTCACGAGGTGCTTCACAAAGAAACTTAAAAAAAATTTAAGTTGAAATTGTAAGGGAAATCAGTGGATTGCAGGGGAAAATGACGATGTAAGGGCAGGATAAGGTAGTGACAAAGGGAATTCAAAAGCCAGCTTGAACAGGGAATTCAGGAACTTTTAAAAGGAATCTACTGATCTCGGGCTCAGGAAAGGACCAGTCTGGTGGCCACAGCAGCGAATCTGTCACCTTTAGCCTGGTGAGCTGCACATCCAGTAGGTTTTGGTGTGCACTGGACCTCAGGGACCTGCTGGAGGTGTAGGGACTGAGACGTCCAGGGAACTCTACATTTTAATCGATGTGAAATTCCGTAAAGTTGAATCTGTCTCAAAACTGAACAAAAATATTTTAGATTAAGTATATTTCCGTATTAAACCGCTATCTACCTCCTGTCCTTTAGAGGGCGCACGTGTCATTTAAGAGAACACGTTCTTCCCACCAATCACAGTTTAGACCCTGTCTAAGCCAATCAAAACGTTACAAATAATTTTCTGGGTGGAGCTAGTGACGGCCGTGTGGCTTTAGTCCGTTTGTGAGTAAATAACAGGCCTCGTACTGGCTTTGGTAAAGATTTAATAAACTCCCAGAGTTTGTGAAGGGTTACCATTTAGGTTTTGAACCTCTACTGTGAAACATTCCTCAGCAGGTAAGACCAGAGAGAGGTTTCTGTGCCTAGCTAGCCGGTATGCTAGCGACAGTAGCATCAGCAAACGCAGCCATGCAGGGACGTTTCCGGTCTGACTCGGAGCTGCCCACCACCACAGCTGTGAGCTGATGCTACTTCGACCCTGGCCTGGGTGTTACAGCTCCCGTTTCTCCTCCGCAGGGCCACTATGGGCGAGGTGGAGCTCTCCTGTCGGGCTTACGTGAAGATGTACTTGCACGCCTGCCTGTTTCCGCGCTGCAGCGTCAACGGGCTGCTGCTGTCCTCGTCCAGCTCGGCAGGTGGCGCTGTTTGTGTGACGGACTGCGTTCCGCTGCTGCACTCGCACCTGTCGCTGGCCCCCATCACGCAGCTGGCTCTCACACAGGTGTAGTGCACAGTTTGGTACCCCTTTGAGTCACTGTTTAAGTCTTCTCTGTTTTTCTGAACTTAAAGGTGTATTTTAATTATGTTGGCATGTTTCTGTATAAATGTTATAACTAATCCGTATCTTACCTGTTTAGTGATGACAGGCCTGATAGGCTAACGGCTAGGATAGCTTTTAAGAGACTAAAGCCAAAATAAAAGACTCAAATCCATAAAAACACATTAAAACGTACAACCTACTGGGTATTACTGAACACCAGGGAAAGCAGATGTTTTTATAAACTGGGCAGCTGTCGTCCTAACAGATCCAGATTAACCCTCTGGAGACAGGCGTTTCAGATTTGCAACGTTAAAACTTACCTACCTGGTTACTCCACACACGTATCTCATGAGTATTTTTGTAACTCAGAAGTACCCCTGAAGGACTTAGTTGTTCGTCCTTTTATTAAAACTTATTTAGAGCCTGAGAGGGTTAAAACCTAAAGCCATGTTTGTCTCAGCTTGCATCAAGTTGGACACAGGTGCAGCTATGTGTTTAAATGTGCAAAAACAAGGACATCTAATGCGAAGGTGGATCCTGTTTAATCAGGATTTATTTCTCCAGACTTCCTGGAGTCCCGCTCGATTCTCCAGGATGTTTTAAACTTCCACAGAACATTTCAAGCTTTTGTTTTTCCAGGTAGATGTTTGGTGTTCTCAGACTCAGCAGAGGATAGTCGGGTATTATCAGGCCAACGCCTGCACCTCAGACAGCAGGTGAGCTTCTCCACACCAGTCACATGGTCAGATACACCCCACCACCGCTCGCTAACGTGTTGCGTTTCCTGACAGCCCGACGCCGTGCGCGCTGAAGATCGCTGATAAGATCGCTGAGCAGTTTGATGGAGCCGTTTTATTAATGGTGAGAAAACGGATGAAACAGAACGTTTTTATTAAATGAGTCTTTCATGAATAATGAACCTTCTGCCCTCAGATTATGATCAGGTTTGTTTCCTCACAGCTCGACGGCAGCAAAATGTCTCCAGATTATCGAGTTCCTCCGATCGTCATGTACGAACGCAAAGATTCAAGATGGACGCTCAAAGACAAACACACGTAAGAATCAGCGGGGGGGTGGCCTGAGGTTCACCACCACCACTCGGGTAGTCTGTGGTTTAAACCAGGCTCACGTGAGCCGAGCACTAAACTTCATCACACCTGTATGACTAAACTCACGGAGTTGCCACCTTCTGATTGGCTGATCGGTTATTTGTGTACCTATCAAAGTGGCCGGCGCGTGTAACTGATGATCTCCGTGGGTCTGTTCAGGATCATGCTGCGGCAGTGGGAGGAGATCCGGGATGTCGCCAGCCAGATGCTGGATTCTGGTGACCACTCCCTCTTGGTAGACTTCGACAGCCACCTGGATGACATCACCAGGGACTGGACCAATCAGAAACTCAACAGCAAGATAGCAGAGCTTTGCTCTCCAGTTAATGGGAACATTTAGATGGGAACGCCGCATCATTCCGTGGTAAAACCTGCCTGTCGTGTTGTTGTGTAAAGGTGGATTTTCACAAGCGCACAGAGTCCAGGACAGGATTTATTTGTGTTTGAACAAAGACAAACGTGCATAAATAATAGAATATTTACATCTCTCCCCTTTTTAAGGTGGATTAAATCCACCTTAAGAACTAAAGCTACTCCTCTTGTTTATTTCTGGTCCCGTTTTCCTGATTTATCATCTTGGAAAAGCAAAAACTCGAACGTAAAAGTCCTGCAGCGACAGATTAGACGAATTCAGCTGCTGGAGCTTTTTACTGTCGCATCAAACCTGCATGAAATTATTATTCCCTACAAATTTCCCCAGATTAAAGGATTATGTTTTAGCTTATGCTTGTATTTATTACTTATTTTTATTAGTGTGATCCTTAAAAACTCCTCGCGTGGTTTAAGAGTAAAAGTATTTGCTGCAGGACATTTAAGTCTCATTTAAACTCGACTGACCTTTCTGTAACAATCTGAACCTTTTATAATCTAGATTATAGTCTGAGCTCTAAGACGGTAAAAGTAATGCTGAAGTAATATCTGAGGCGAGTTTCACAGAAAATGTTTTATGTTGGAGCGCCGGTTTTAATGTTTCTTTTTTCAATGAACATTTTCAGATAAAATCAGTAAAAACTAAATTCTGAGGAGAAAAACGATCATTTCTAAAAGCTAATAAAAGAGAACTAAAGCATTTAACAACAATAAAACGTCATTTTCACTGCCCACGTGGTTTTGTGGTTTCTTCACTCTAAACGTCTGAAGTTGCCGATGCAGCACAGACAAACCTGGGCCGACCGTTAAAAGCACCTCAAAAATAAAGTGACACCAGATCTCAGCCTGGGTGAATCCCAACGACGCCCCGGGTTATCGTGTAGTGTTCCCACTAAAGGTGCTTCACTCATTTTCAGCTTTAAACTGAAAAACTGGATCTTCTCTCCGTCCTTTTGTGAAATTGGATTAAACGTAAAAGAAAAACTGCAGCAGCAGGAACCATCGAGTCTCTGGGCGGAGCTCCTGCTGCGTCTGCTTCAGGTGGGTTTTGCTGCAGCAGATCTTTTGGCGGAGCAGGCGCAGGACTACGGCACCGTGACGATGTCCAGGGTGATCTCACCCAGAGGAGACTGGCCCGCCAGCGTCTGGAACACCGAGATGGTTTCGAAGAAGGAGACGGAGTTCTGGACTTGTTGTTCGGCCCACGGGAGAGAGACCTACGGAGCAGACGGCAGGTTCAGTTAGATGATCTACAGGAGCCCGTTGGTCTGACACCAGGTGTGTGAGCAGAGAAGCATCTAACACCTGAAGGACACCCGGGGCTTCATCCTTACCAACACCAACACACACACCTGCAGCAGGCCCACACCTGTCCCACCCCTCCTACACACCTGCTGTCTACCATAAATATAACTGTTATAAATGGAGCTGCTTATTGGAGGCGTTTTACACGTAACCATGACAACGGGCTGAAATCCACGCCCTGCGGCGTGACGTAGGCTGCTGAGCCGCGGTTCTACCTGAGCGATGATGAGCTTATTGCTCAGGTCTTCCGTGTTGTTCAGCTCTTCTCCGAAACACAGATTGAAGCTGGTCTGGGGACGCTCCCCACCGGCGGAGCAGAACCGGTCCAGTTCTGAGGAGACATGACAGAAACATCTGTCTCTGTGTGTGGTGGTTTCCATGACGATTCAGGGTGAACGCGCCCCGCTCACCTTGCTTGAAGGCGTCCTTGCTGAAGAGCAGCACCGGCTCCGTGTTCCTCTCCATCCTGTGTGGGCCCGGCGTGACGCTGTGAGGTCCCATCCAGAAGATCCGGCCCTGGCAGAACCTCTTCCCGTACACTCCCTGTGGCGTGGAGGTCAGCACGATTCCTTTCTCCATGAAGGGCAGCAGCGTGTGGAGCGCCTGCAGCGTGGGCCCGGCCAGCAGCGAGGACGGCGGCTCCGGCAGCGGGATCCGAGGAAACCTGGCGTTCAGGGCGGCCAAAGTCGGAGGGACGGAGGAGGAAGGCAGGTACGTTATCCGGACATCTGTGCCTTGGATCTGACGTCTGAGGACTTCCTGTCCTAAATAACGAATCGCCACATCGAAGGAGTCGTCAGCTGTAGAGACACAGGACCGAATTAAAACCCAAAACCCGTCCAGGACACGGGCGTCCCCTGAGCTCCTCTTACCGCTTGTTGCGCTGGGAACGCTCTCCTCGATCCGCACGTCCAACCGGATCTCATCCAGCGCTGCAGACAGAAGATGGACGAATCAGACACACAAACAGGTTCCGAGAACCCGCTGAAGGTCAGAGGTCACGTCCCGTTTAAAGAGAGAAGCTAAAGGTAGATGGGAAAAACGGTTTCCATGGAAACTCACCATCTCCGGTGCTGATGGTGGTGCTCCGAGACGGGCCCTCTGATTGGACGGGCTCGTGGTTCTGCAGCAGCGGCTCGTCCACACACAGCTGATCAGAACAAACAGAAACGATGACGACCCAGAGGAACTCCAGAACCTTTAATCCCACGAACAGCAGATGACCGAAGGACTCACCGGCTGAGACGCGACCTCTTCTGTCTTTATCAGTCTGACCCGACCGGAGTCTTCGTCGTCAGGCTGGCTCTTCCTCCTCTTCAGCTTCCTGCTGCTCTTCTCTCTGGTCTTCTTCTCCGGTATCACCACACCTGGACCGAGAGCGGACGAGCCACTGTTTAAATGATGGCTGATAAAAAAATGAAAGCAGATGAAATTCTTTAGTCGGTGCCGGTTCTGTTTAAAACCTCCCTTCTGCTGAGATCGGATCCAACAGAACCGGGTTTGTGCTCCTCAGACGATCACAAACATCCTTTCATTTGAGTCGTGAGGGGGCGACGGTGGCACAGGAGTTAAGCGCTCGCCCCGTAATCGGAAGGTTGCAGGTTCGAGCCCCGCTTAGTCTGTCGCTGTCGTTGTGTCCTTGGGCAAGGCACTTAACCCCCTTGCCTGCTGGTGGTGGTCGGAGGGACCGGTGACGCCAGTGCTCGGCCGCCTCGCCTCTGTCAGAGCGCCCCAGGGCAGCTGTGGCTACATCGTAGCTCATCCCCACCAGTGTGTGAATGGGTGAATGACTGATTGTGTTGTAAAGCACCTTGGGGGGTTCAGGACTCTAGAAGGCGCTATATCAAATACAGGCCATTTACCACGAGGAGCTTTTCTGGGCTCAGACGCTTCTAGTTTCTGTTTGAGTCGGGCGTCGTTGAGCTGGGAAAGGCCCGACATGATGAGGTCAAACAATTATTTTATATTTAAAGCAAAAAAAAAAAAACACCACAAAACAGTAGAATTATTCACTTTTACGTCAGAAAAACTATTTTTAGACCTTATCTAAAACCATTAAGATCTTCACAAAAATATTTAAGCTAATTTAAGGTGAAATTTAAATATAAAACCTGTTTTTTTACTTCTTTGCTCAGTACAAATCTGTTATTGTCCTTTAAATCATTTATGTCACATTTTTAAGCACTTTCATAAACTTTCAAGCATTTCAAGCACCCAAAAGACCTCCTCATATTTGGTCTTATTTGTAGTTAATTGCTTGTTTGATGCAAAAGTGTGAAACTAAACTCAAAAGGTTTGTTTTAAATGATCAGATTCACTAAATCTAATGAATTAATTCAGCCTGATCAAAGGGTCTTACCGCCAACGCCCCTCTGCCAAGAAGCAGTGATGGTTTTTAATAAACGTACATTTTCCCTAAGAACTAACTTATCAGAACAATTCAGGTCGTCTTCATGGAAGTTTGCTTCCAGAATCATCTTTTTAAACTCGATCAGAGACTTAAATCATTAGCAAAAATCGGTATCGGCCCACTGCCCCGATCAGTGCATAAAAAACAACACGAGGGAGTGTGAGTAAAATTCAGCTTTGTTATCTTAAAGTTTCACTTTTTTTATTATTATAAAGCAGCAGTAGCTCAGGAGGTTGAGCGGGTTGTCCAGTAATCGGAAGGTTGCAGGTTCGATCCCGGCTCCGGACAGAGAATTCTGCTATTGTGTCCTTGGGCAAGACACTTAACCCACCTTGCCTGCTGGCGGTGGTCGGAGGGACCGGTGGCGCCTGTGCTCGGCAGCCTCGCCTCTCATCCCCACCAGTGTGTGAATGTGTGTGTGAATGGATGAATGATGCACTGTAGTGTAAAGCGCTTTGGAGTCCTTACTCTGAGAGGCGCTACACAAGTGCGGCTCATTTTTTATTATTAATAATTTTTTATTATTAAAGCCCGACTTGCCCCGTTTTAATAAAGTTTAAAAAATAAAGTATCAGGTTACCCGATGGAGTAAATAATCCCTTTTCTCTTATTTGACTGTATAAAAACAAAACTCGTGGCTGAGTCACCGACCAGCTGAGCCTGACTCGTGGAAGCCGCTGCATCATAAACCCGAGCTGGTTGGTAGGTTGACGCCCTGCGTGAATAAAGACCTGCCTCCCAGAACACGGCTAAAGTCCACCCAGCTGATCTGATCCCAACACGTCTGCCTGGAGCTTCAGCTGACTCGACAGAAACGGGCCTGACTCGTAAACTACGTCACAGACAAACATCGTGATCAGGAGCCGCTCAGACAGAAACAGGAAACGAACGTCTGCCATGGCTGGTGTTCATGAGACCGCAGCAGCACTCCGCGTTTAACGTTTATCTGATACTCCAGACCAGAACCGAGCTCTGGTATAACTCATCCCAGCTGATGGACTCAGACTTGTGAAGTAAACAAGATCAAGTCTGGATTCATTCTCAGTTATGATAAAACCAAATCATGCTGGCTGCTTTCCTTTGTTTAAAAAGTGTGTGTGTGTGTGTGTGTGTGTGTGTGTGTGTGTGTGTGTGTGTGTGTGTGTGTGTGTGTGTGTGTGTGTGTGTGTGTGTGTGTGTGTGTGTGTGTGTGTGTGTGTGTGTGTGTGTGTGTGTGTGTGTGTGTGTGTGTGTGTGTGTGTGTGTGTGTTTGCTAAAGACGTGCCTTTCACTGGTTCGGTCCCACGGTTCTGTTGTAACCTCTTGACTTCCTGAGACGGGAGGGGGCAAGAGGGGTATCCCTTATCTTGGATAAGAATCCAGGTGCAAATGAGCTAATGGTGTTATAGGAACAGATCATGGACTCTTAGAATCGATAAGCCCACTAACAAGCAAGAAGGAGAGAAGATTTACTGTCCCCCCCCCCCCCCCCCCCCAACCATAAAGGAGGCTGAGAAGAAGAAGGGGCAACGTTGGGCTAGGTCACCAGAGCCCAAGGAGAGACGACATGGGCTGGCTCGGACCACAGCCAGCAGAGCCTGCCGGAGGAGAGGAAACACGTGACCAGACGTTGAGCTCCAGAAGCAGGATGGGGGTGTTGCCATGGAGATGCAACCCTTGAAGAATGCAGAGGGGAGGAGGAACAGAGTGAATCAAAAGGAGGACTGAGCTTTTTGGAGAGAGGCTTCTGAGAGTTTTTAGGAGAGGGTGTTTTTGGTGGAAGAGAGTTTTGTCTGTGTGACCCGCTGGGACGGGAACTGGATGATATATCTTTTTCTGCTTTTTCATCTGTGTGTGGAATAAAATTCGTTTCTCACTGCGAGGAACTTAAAAAGAACCCACGGTCTCTGGGGGTGTCCTCTGTCGGTAATCTACGAGAAAGGTGAGGCGCTGATTACCGGTATCCCATTCCAAAGGTTTGAATGCTATTAGCTGCTACAACCATCCTGTTTCCTCAGCATGAAGGGACAGCCATCTGTACCCGAGGCATTCATGAGCCCAAGGATTAGCGAGAGTGTACTGGTGTAACTGAAGTCTTCCTTGTGTCTACTTAAACGTATATTGGTCAGAATTAGAAGCCCTGGGTAATTCGGTGATTGCTAATCAACTCTCTACATAGTTAAAGGCTGTTTACTGGCAATTACACGGATCGCAGGCCAAACCTGAGAGTTTAAAAGCATCTGAATTAAGAGCGGAGCTAGTCCGGCACTTTGGCTTGCAGCGCTAGCATTCCTCGGATGTGTGGTTTCACATCCGGACAGAGACGAAGGAATGTCCCCAGACAGACCTCTGATCTCACGTCTCACCCTGTTCGCTGATCGGGACCAGCCGGTACACCTTGTACGGCTCGGAGATGTCCAGCTGCGCTCGCTCATTCACCTCCTTGAACTCCGGGCTCTTGTTGAGGGCGCACCTCAGCCGGGTCTTCCAGATGGCGGGGTTGTCCTGCTTGCTGTCCGTCAGCTTCCCTTTAAACTTGGCCCACGCCTGCAGAGGGCGGAGATGTGTGGTCAGGTGGAAACCATGACTCAGCAAAGCTAAAACAACACACCGGAGCTCCTTCGATGTGCAGAGAACACGCTGACCATGAAGAGGGCGGCATCCTCCTCTTTGCGGAAGTCGTGCTTCCCTGCATGTTTCCACGGGATGCGGAACATGGTTTTGGCCTCGTCCTCCCACATCACGCCGGGATACTTCCCACTGCTGACCTGAGGGACACAGACGTCACAGTTCAGCTCCCAAATGGCTCAAAGTTACTCAAACGACCGAGTTTTGGCCCGTTCCTGAGTCTAAAGCCCTGCAGTCAGTACTCAGGGAGTAAAAGCCCAAACTTGTGCATTTGTTCATATAATCAGACCTAAAACATTAATCAGTAATAAAACTCTAATGCATCATTAATACTCGAGTCTACATGAATTCAACAGTTCATACCGCGCAGATTTTTATTAATTATTAGGTTAAAATGTGACGTTTGTACGACTTTTATGGTTTCATCAGTAATCCAGGTGTCTCCACCCAGACTACACCTGAGAGGAGACTTAATCTGTCCCCCTCAGATGAACGGGAGCTGGTTCAGACTAAAGCCAACCATGAACTGGGACCTGCTGGAGAACCACAGGGAGGGTGGTCGGGGACCAAGAAGAGACACCTTCAAGCTGGACGGGAATCTGCAGCTGTCCACATCAACGAGACAAACGTCCTCTGGAGAAAAGTATCACAGCGTGATGAGACAAAGACCGAGACACCTGACCACTAGTAAGGGTGAGGCTGCGAGGCACAGTGGTGGTAGCATCATGCCGTGGGACACAGCTGGATGTTCCAGCAGGAAACACGTCTGAACTGGTTTCTGATTGGATGAACCGGTTTTTTATCTTTTACCTTGACTGAACAAACACACTTCCTCTGTTTTCCCTTGCAAATGAAGCAGTGCTATTTATAGTAACGACTAAAACACCACTCTCGCTGGGAAGGTCTACTTCAGCACTCTGGAGCCATCCACGGGGTCTCCTGGGCATGGTGCTCTGTTGTGGGTCAACCAGTCAAGAGTCTGGCCCGACCTCCAGCAGGGTACCTCCTTCGTCTCTGGTTCTGTTAGGAGGGAGGTGGAGCAAGACCCGGGACATGCTGGAGGTATCAGCTCTCCAGGATGTTCCAGGGAACACCTCCTGGGGAGGAGGCTTCCATGCCCCCTACCCGAACCACCACCCAAAGTTGTTTTTCTAACCATTCCACCTTAAAAGGGCTCAAATAAATCCTAAACAGCCTAAAATGAAGATGGGAGTGAATCCACCCAGTTTATTCCCATGGCAGCAAAAGTTTCAGCATACCGTAAATCCTCTAATACAGGCCCGGGCCTGTATTTGACTCAAGCTCCAGGCCTTTATTGGAAGGAGGGCCAGAATTAGAGGCATGCCTCTATTTCTATTTGAGCAAAATGAACTAATGGTTCGCTGGAGTTTTTGACAATTAAAACTGCGCCCACATTTTCAAAGTTGAACACATTTCTTTTAACAACGGTAGTTTCTGCTTCAGCCCTCTCCCCCCTCCCCCTGCTTCAGCCCTCTCCCCCCTCCCCCTGCGCAGCGGCCGCAAACTCACTGATGCGCCTGCAGCCTCTCGGAGTTCCTGCTGCTCTAAACGTTAAAAAATTATTTCATTTTCTGTTCCTCACTTCTGATTACCTTCAGTGGTGTCTGTTTGTTGCAACCACCAGGTACAAAAACTAACTTGTTTTTATTTGACTATTTTTCTGTCCTGCCTGTTTATTATCTTCCTGCATCTCCTCTCAGTCCTAAAGAGAAACTGCTACCTGGGTTCATATATATTCACCTCATGAGTTACCTTTGAACTGCAGTTCTAAAAGATCTACCGACCGCAGAAACAGCAGAGCGCTCGCTGTTTGGCGGCCGCATCAGTGATCTGTGCGTCGGAGGACAAGGTGATGTGCCCCGCTCCACAGCAGCGAAACACATCAGGCGCAAATAAAAGACAGAAAACATTAAAGGAAATGAACTGACATGAACGATCGCGTGTCAGTACCGACGCTCTGGCACAGCGCATTGCCCCCCCCCCCCGAGCGCAGGAGCTTGTCACCTGCTGACAGCAGGCTGCTGTCTTTTCCGAGGGCTGCATCTTGCCGGTCATTATCACGTGACAGCGACTAGTCAACGACAGGCATAAAAAGTCACTATAGTGAAGTCGACTAGTTCATACAACCCCTGCTACTGCTCCCCAGAGTGTTCTGCAGCATAATCAGCACGTTCTCTTTGAACTTGATATCAAATTGTCGCCTCCTCTTCGTCTACGCACGGTTAACGTTACCCTCGCGGTCTATCACTGGCAAATCAAAAGTGAGACGATGACACAACCGCCCCCCTGTACTTGCTTGTTACCACATTCCACCCGGCCACAATAAGAGACCGGCCATTATTCACCTCCGCCGACTCCGGCCAAAATATGAGACCCGGCCGTTAATTGAATACAGGCTAATATTAGAGGATTTACGGTATTATGGGATGTTTGTAGAGAGTAGGGTGACCAGATCCCAAATTGCCAAATGTGGGACAGAGAGACTCGATGCGGGACAACGTGATGTTCAAATGTAACGAGAAACAAACAAAAGGTATATTCTGCCTTTTAGCCCTAAGGTCACAGTTACATATAATTATTTTTGTTATTATAAGCATGTTTTATTTGAATTCAACACGAAGAAGCATACAGCAACAGCTTTACTATTTCACACTTCCTCTCACGTTACCACAACACAACTCTGTAGTGGCTCTGATCATATTAATAACATAGATAGGCCCACAATAATAAAAACATGCAGGTTTAAGCAGCTTTTCACAGTTTTCATTCAATGTTTTCCACAACAGAATGACGGTAAAAGTACCAGCGATATTTTTTAGATCTATTTATGTTTGTTTTTAATTAACTTTCCACTAAAATCAGCATCTCATTGAAAAATATCCATACTTTTTTCTAGTCACTCTCTTTCTTTACGTTTTTAATCACAATTGTCTATTTTTTGCTAATTTTAAATATATTTTTAATCGTTTTCTAAATTATTTTTTATATTTTACATTTTTTGTTTTTGTGAAGCGCTTCGTGATTTTTATCTTGAGAGGCGCTATAGAAAAGATCTTTTCTTCTATATTTTTCTTAATTCAGAAACAAGTTTTTTTTAACATGACAACAAATCTCTTCTAGATTTTAGGAGAGAATAAACATCGGATTCTAATCTGTAAAAAATTCAGATCTAATCTAATAAAAGTTACTTTTTGCCTCAAATTTCTGTGAATAAGTGATCAAAGCTTCCATTTATTCTCGTTATTTCTTCACTCAGCGTGTCGCAGGGATCTGAACCCGCAGCAGCTTATCTGTTATATAAACACGTGTTCATCGTGGACCTGTCTAATTACTGGAAAACCTGCTTTTGACCTCTTCATGTCAGACTCCGCACCGACGCATGAAGAATGACTCAGAAACAACAGACTGTGGAGAATCTCTGAACACGTCTAATTCACGAGTTTACACCGTTTTCTCCTCCCTGCTCACTCACGCGCGTTTTGGTGGCTCGGGCGCGCGCGCGCGCTCCACACACGCTCCGGATCTGCGTTAATGTCCCGCCTCCGTTTGATTGGCAACAACAGGCAGATTTCTTTTATAAGACTGAAACTCGAAACGGGAAACTGTCTATAACGCGGGGCATGAGTCTCAATTTGCGGGACACTTGCAAAGTAATGAAAATGCGGGACTGTCCCGCACAAAGCGGGACATCTGGTCACCCTAACATTGAATAAAACTTCCTGTTTGTCTCAACCCTGCACTTCTCATCCCACCCCTCCCTTTCTTTTTCCCTTCTTCACACGCACACAGTGCACGCACGCACACACGCACCTGCTCGACCATCCAGGAGCGAAGCCTGCGGGTGGATCTCGTTCTGCCTGCTGCCATGATTTGATGATGGTTTCATCAAAAACGGTGTCACTGAAACAAAACACCTTTTACTGAGTTAAAAGCCAAACCCCACACTTGAACACATTAATAACAGCATTCAGATAAATTCTAAAAAGTTAAAAATCAAAACATTAGACGGTTTTATAGACCCTGGTCAGACAGAAGCGACTTCCGCTGATCATATTTATAACGACATCAGAAAATAGCCGCTAAGGTGTTAAATGAAGGAAGTGGACTTAAGTTTCGTTTACCTCGGTTGTTTCCTCCGCGGTGCGAACGGACTGTGTGTCGGTGAACGGAGGCTGCAGCTCCACGGCGCAGCGCCTCCAGTTTCCCCGAAATCACGTGACTTTACTGAAACGCTCTCCCTGCTCACCAGCAGGGGGCGACAGCGGACACCAGCCTCCTCCACCTAAAGAAAGGAGGAAAATAAACCAAACCTGAAGTTAATTAGATTTTTCTGGTACTATAAAATGTTGTGCGTACTTATAATGCCACGACATCAACAAATATATTTTATTATTAAAATTTAATGTCATACAAGATGATCGTCATTTACTTTGTTTGCTGTCCTAAGAGTTTTGTGATTTAAAAAGGATTTTTCACTACATTATTTTTATTTATTATGTTATTATATTATCCTAAACAGTTTACTATAATTAAAATGACTGATGTATAAATGTGTTTAGACTTTAAAAAAACTGAGATCACAGATTTATTTAGTTTTTGCGGTTTCTCACTCAAAATTACATTTTATCTTCCACTAGACGTAACGTGACGCACACCTCTGTTGTATCACCCGTCCACAGATTTACCCACAAGTCTCTGGTGTTATCAGGGTGTGGTCCGGTCTTTGGGGTTGACCTCTGACCTGAATCATGCGAGATCGGAAGTTCTCCGAGCTCTTTTGTTGAATCTTCATGACAGATTTCATGTAATTATTACTTTATGTTGGAAGTTGCACTCGGCTCCATTAGCTTTAACATTTAGGTCAAAGGTCAAATGAAGAGGCTGTTCATAAAACACCTAAAAGTTGTAAACTTTAAATACTAATCGGTGTTAATGACATTTATTAATACTAAACATTCATCTCAGTTACTTGCTGTTAAGATGCTCTAACCATGAATTTATTTCCTTTACAAACGGAGTTCTTCCCAGGAAAAGCGAGGCTTGTGGGAGTTCTCTTATCCGCCTTCGTGGGAGGGTGGCATTCCTTCGCCATGACTGTCCTGCAGACGGGATGAATCACAGCTTTTGTGTTGCTGAAGCACTATGAATTAAAAGTGTTTGTGGACTCCAAACATCTGTCAGTACTTGTGTCACAGATGCAGTAAACAAAAGGAGACACGACTAAACTGCAAGAATATCTTTTATTTGAGACGATGGCTAAATGATCAGATTCATCGACCACAAGAGAAAACATTCAACAGCTGATCCGTAAACCTTTTATCCAGGAGTCCGAAACCCGTCAGGTTTCTAAAGATTAAAACTCCACACCAAAGTTAACATTTAAGGCACAAAAACACGATTCTTGGAGTAAGGGAAAATAAACTCCTCGCTGTGGGAAACTCTAAACAGGTTCCACAGAAAACGGTTTGTTCCTGCGGTGTTGTCTGGAATTCAGCAGATTACTGAAACGGAGCGGTCAATCACAGCGACGGGTCTCTGCTTTCTCCGGAGGGATCCTTATTTGTTCCTGGGAACTTTTTCTCCAAGAGGAACCTCCAGGATTTTCTGTGGGGGGAAACGAGGCGTCAGTCTGAGCGTCTGTGAGCGAACGTGCCGAGTGTAAACTACCTTCAGTAGTCGGGCGCCGTAGACGCTGTCGTCCTCTCCGTCTCCTCTCGCCGACTCCCCCAGGTACCGCTCGCAGGCTCGGACCAGCTCACCGGTGTCGTAGAGCACGGCCGGGTCCAGAGTGTGATCATTTACCAGACTCACCAGGTACTCCCTGTAGTGTTTACTGCACACACACACACACACACACGTTGTATGGTTCTGGTCGTGAAGCTGAACCTCCCGACGTTCCACAGTGAGGAACGTGAGGAGCTGTGGGGAGCAGGAACGTTCTCAGCCTAACCCTAACCCACAAACAGGACGGTAAAACGCTGAGATTTGATTTGTTCAGAAGTGAGTTCATCTAAATCCGCCCGATTCCCAGAATCTGTCAAGTGCAAATAAACAAAGACGTTCCGGATCCGAGTGTTTACTGCTAAACGTTCCCAGTCGGACTGTTCCACTCACTCGCAGAGTCCGGCTTGTCCCGGCTGCGTTGCAACGCCACACGGAGAATCGACCTGCTGTCCCGCCTCGTCTTTCTGCTCCATCACACCACAAGCATCTGGGTCAGAGACAAACGGGACAGACTGAGACCAGAGGTCCACCTCCGAGACCCTCCCGTTGGGAGACAGGATGGAGTCCGAGCGCCTACGGCAAAAACATCACGACCCGCCGTACCGGTCTGAGTCCCGTTGGACGGATCCGTGTTGAAGTCCACGCCGCTCCTCTGGGGCAGAAACACAAACCAGGTTTTCATTCAGGATCCACGAATTCAGGCCGACATCTAAATGTTACTTTACACAAAACTTCAAATCAAAAGTATAAAAACAGGAAAATATCAAAGGAACATAAATGCAAACATTAATAATGGGATTAATGTGACCGATGTTCTCTGATGTCGTCCATTCCTGGATATCTGAACTCTCCCGATAAAAGCCTGACGTTTACGATAAATTTTTGTCTGGAATAGGACGTGAAAACGGGAGAAGGTCTGAAAAACATCATTTTGGGTTTTTAAAGTCCTCATTTGTTTCCCCATCAGCAAACTTTACAAGTATGAGAGAAAAACTCTTTAATACACAGAATTCCTGTTTTGATCTGGATGATCCAGGTTTTTTTACACAGAACTTGCCAACTCTCCGGGTTTTGCCCCGCCCACCGGCTCAGATTCTCTGTACCTAGTAAGCTGCTAGAGAAAAGGAGTCTAAAGCATAAAATAATAAACTCTGATGCTCTTTTGTGGTTTAAGCCTTGTCGCTTGGGACGGCAGACACGTGGCTCCACCTGCAGGAGCTGCTGCAGTCGGGGTGCGTCCCAATCCCGGAGGTAGAAGAGGCAGTCCCTAGGGTGATGGGCGTGGAGGCCGTTGTACGTGCACCGAGGCGTCTTACACGCGGTCTGGAAGAAAAACACACAACAATCCTCCATAATCTTGTTTTTGCTGCAACTTTTACAACAACAGCGTAACAAGTCTGATAGTTCATGATGTTTTTGTTATTGTTCTCTTTATTTGGGCCTTTGCTGATCTGAACTGCCATTTTTATTTGATCCAAGCACAAAAAGTTATTTCAGCATTATTATTTTTATAGCCTTTATGGGCTGAAAGGGAAGAGGTGGAGGATTTAAACCCTAAAATGTAAGATTCTGCTGGTTTTGCTGCTTGTTAGAAAGATGCTGACCTCGCTCCACGGAGGTTTGACTTCACAGACATTCATACAGTGAACATCAGAGAGGCGTGGCTCTGGATTAAACCCCACAGATTAACGAGCTCCACCTGACTAATGGGGTGTAAAAGCGGCGGGACTCACCTTGTGGTACGGGTTGTTGCAGCCGCTGCAGAACTGGTACCTGCACTGGGAGCAGCTGAAGTGCATGCAGCCGCCTTTGGTCAGCGCGTACTGGAAGTTACACTGAGGACAGTCTGCAGGGGACGGCAGCAAGCACACATTACAGATGTTTTCATAGAGAACACACCTGGATCTGCTCTATTCAGATTAATAACAACAGCATGAAACCCATTAATGTGACTGAAACGTTTGCATAAAATCTTTAATTTACACCAAAGTCCTTCTAATAATTCTAAATTTTGCTACTTTATTGAGTAAATAAAGAATAAAAGTAAATAAATAAAAGTTTCAGATGTTTTTCCTGTAAATTTATGACTTTAGTCTGACGGGTTTTGTCCTAAAACAGTAAAATACCCATGTCTGTTAACATCTAAGGTTTTTAAGACTTTAATCCTGGAAGCTTTACTCCAAATAAAGTCACTGAAAATATTTAATATTAATAATTATAAAAGATTTACTCCTAAATTAATGCTTTTAATTCTGGATAATTATATTTATGTTCTTGTCATGAGGCAAAAAGTACAAATGATGTTTTGTAACAGAGTGAAATGACGGTTTCCCCTCTCCTCTGACACGGGACTAGTCTGCATGAGATATGGTCTCAAGGTCTCATGCATTCCTTCTAACCTGCTTCTTTTCAGCTCAACAGAAGAATGAACTCTTTTCTTTTAATTAATCAAAGAACTCTATTTTAATAAAGCTAATCCAACAAAGTGTTAGTCAACAAATAAGATGTGACCGACCTGTGAAATCAAAATATGAATTACTTTATTATAATCCTATAGAATATGATGAGTAATACGACTTTAAATGTTTCCACGGGCGGGTTCTAGGAGCCTTACTGATGCCGTTGTCTCTCAGATACCCGGCCAGGCCCTGTCTCTGGTACTCCGGGTCGTTGTCCCTCTTCCAGCGCTGAAACTCTTCACAGGACACGTCCTGGTGCTGGGGTTCCCACTAGAACACAAACAGATAATGAGCAGGGAGTTTCCCGACGCTCCGGATGCTTGTCTGCTGTAGGAGCGACTCCCACATTCCCACACAAATAAAACTCACAGGTTTCTTGCACTGAGCGCAGAAACTCTTACGGCACGATGGGCAGGTGACCTTCAGCTGGTTCCCATCGTTGATAAACCCGGAGTCACACTGGAAGAGGAAAAGGAGGACCAGTCAGCCGTTGACCTTCAGTTGTTAATAAATCATGTTAGAACGAATAAAACTCGTCCCAGAACAGCTCTTTGCTCCACTCGGGTACAGAAAACACACATATTTTAAGTTTTTTTTTTGTTTTTCACTGTTGTGGCTGAAACTTTCTGCAGCAGAAACTGAAACAAGTGTGAGTTTATGAAAAAGCTGCTACTGTACTGAAATGAGAACTCCTAGGAAGTTCCCAGCTATTCCAGCAGGAGTGTGAGAAGATAACGATAATAATGTGCAACTATAAACTTTGTTCATTTGAGGATATTTTTGTTTCAGCTCATAGAATAAAATTAGCTTTTCTCTGTGATGAAAAATGAAGTCAAACTAGATAAATTGCATTTCTTGCAGAAAATGCTGTTTGAATGCTGGATAGCTTAAACTGTTAGCTGATCAGCTTAATAGCTGAACTGAAGCTGAAATTAAGCAAAACTGTTAAAATGAGCTGAATGATTTGAAAGACTTAGAAGCAAAAAGCACCAAAAAGTGAATAAAGCACAAAAAGTAAGTGAAGAAGGGAGAAAAACATCCTAAATAGCAGAAAACTGAAATCTGAACATTATTTAAAAATCTGGACAGCAAAAATGTCTAAACACTTGTTGTTTGAGTAGGACTAGTTTAACAGTTTAATTTTTATATTTAGCTGAACTGTGAAATTAGCATCATAAGCTGAATTCAGAAACTGATTGCTGAAGCTGCTGAATAGCTGAAGTGAAGCTAAAACTAAGCTAAACTGTCAAAATGAGCTGAAAGTATAGTGTAGCATAACGTAGGTGAAGAATGGCGAAAAAAAATGCTAAACAGCAAACTGAAATCTTTGAACATTGTTTAAAAACTAGACAGTTGAAATGTTTACACACCTGGCATTTGAGTAAGAATAGTTTAATAGTAACATGTTCACAGTTAGCTGAACTGTGAATTTTAGAAACATTTGCTGATATCTGAAACTGATAGATTAACATATGTTCAGATTGTGTAATGGATGGATGAATGGATGTTAGGTGGTTTATTGGATGGATGAACGGATGGATAGATGGATGGATGGATGGAATCATTAGACCGAGACGATCATTTTGATGTATCATATGTGTGGGTGTGTACTTCCATTTAGCCAGAAGATGATTGAATTCTCTCAGCCAATCAGAGAGCTGGGATAGGGTTGGGCGGTTTCCCGCCTTCTGACGGTGAATAAAATTTAAGTTACCTTTCTAGTTTTACTTACAGAGAGGTCAGAAAGATCAGATACAGCAGTATGTTATTGGCTCAGTATTAGGTCTTTTAACATTCATTTCAATATGAATGAGAGGGAGAGAGGGAGGGAGAGAGAGAGAGAGAGAGAGAGAGAGGGAGAGAGAGAGAGAGAGAGAGCGAGAGAGAGAGAAAGAGAGAGAGAGAGAGCGAGAGAGAGAGAGTTTCAATGCTTTACAGCATTCAAACAATAAGAAAAATGTGAAAGCTTTCATATCTGGTCATCCTTACGTGAGCTCGACGGCAGAATCTGTTATTTCTTTATTTACTTCACTAAACGTGAACTCAGAAAGATGAAAGCGACCCAAACCGCATGGAGGAAAGGAGCTGAGAAACACTTAGATCTGACTCACGTGACAGCACCACAGGAACTTTGGGTCTTTCATCAGGGCGTGTTCTGTCAGCTTTTTGTGGAACAAGTCGTAAACCTCAGAGTCCAGACATGCCCGCAGCTGGAGAAAAAAGCATGACTCAGCAGAAACACAACAGCTGTATAAAAAGCATGACTCAGCAGAAACACAACTGGATTAAAAAGCATGGCTGTAGAAACACAACAGCTGGAGAAAAAGCATGACTCAGCAGGAACCCAACAGCTGGAGAAAAAAGCATGACTCAGCAGAAACAAACAGCTGTATAAAAAGCATGACTCAGCAGAAACACAACTGGATTAAAAAGCATGGCTGTAGAAGCACAACAGCTGGAGAAAAAGCATGACTCAGCAGGAGCCCAACAGCTGGAGAAAAAAGCATGACTCAGCAGAAACACAACAGCTGTATAAAAAGCATGACTCAGCAGAAACACAACTGGATTAAAAAGCATGGCTGTAGAAACACAACAGCTGGAGAAAAAGCATGACTCAGCAGGAACCCAACAGCTGGAGGAAAAAAGCATGACTCAGCAGAAACACAACAGCTGGATTAAAAAGCATGACTCAGCAGAAACACAACTGGATTAAAAAGCATGACTTTAGAAACACAACAGCTGGAGAAAAAGCATGACTCAGCAGGAACCCAACAGCTGGAGAAAAAGCATGACTCAGCAGAAACACAACAGCTGGGGGGGGGACCCTGACTCAGCAGAAGACCCTTGTTAAAATAGATCTTTGATATTCTACCTGTGTCTGTGGCTCACCTGGATGTCCAGGGTGGAGAAGTAGCTGTCCAGCTGTTCGGGGTCGTTGATGTCCGGCTCGCCGCAGACGGGACACACCATGTCTCTGATGTGTTTGTCTCTGACAGCGATGGTGAAGTGCTGCCCGAAGCACTCGTGGCACACGGAGCACTGGCAGGACGTCAGAGACTGCATCTGTCGGGACATAAAACAGAAGCCGTTAGTGTCCAAGTTTATGGGACAGGTGGGCGGGGGAGGACGTCAGGTCTCTGTCTTACCTTGCTGTGGGGGAAGATGCTCAGGCAGCAGGGACACTCGTTGATGAGGAGACGTCTGATGAAGTCCCTGTCGTGAGACTGCTTGACAGCGTGAACCACGTCCTCCAGTGAGCAGGTGACGTCTGGCTCCTGGAGCAGCGACAGGACCAGCTCACAGCGCCCCCAGCTGGGCAGGTCGTACAGCGCCAGCAGCCTCCTGCACGTCCTCTGGAAGCAGCAGCAAGCAGGGAGGTGAGGGAGGCTGAGCGGGACAGAGGAGACACGGCACCACACCCAGTCTCACCAGTTTGTCCGCGTGTTTGGGGTCGATCGGAGGCTCCGGTTGGTCCATCCAGATGTGCTGGTGGAAAGGCTCCACGAGGGGGCGCTGGAGCAGGGAAAGGGCTCCTTTCACCTGCCCTCCACTCTGCCGCAGGGCCTCCTCACACCGGGTCACATCCAGGAAGCCGAGGGAGTGAAGCTCTTTCATCTGAAGGAAAACCCGACACATAAAGGTCATTTGGAGATGATTTCCCATTTCTGTTGTTTAGGAGTCTAACAGCAACAGCTCATCTCACCTTGACCCGTCTGTCTCTCAGCAGCTGTCTCACAGCTCGGTCTGTGTCTCCCCCGGCCGCCAGCCAGGCTAGCTTGGCCTCGGCTCTGGAGGGCTTCATGCCTCCGTTGCCGACGTCCCGCTCCACGGCGGGCTCCGCCCCGGCGTTCCCTGCTCTGTAGTTGAGCTGGACAGAGGCGGCCATGGCGCAGATCTCATCCAGCAGGTGGGGCAGCTCCGAGGTCAGCCAGTCGCAGGGGTTGCTGCCGCCACACATGCAGAGAGCCGCATACACCTCCTCGGGGCTGACGCCTCGCTTCTCCGCCTCCTGGCAACCAAACAGGAAGTAGCAGCTTTTAAAAGGAGCCCGTGTCTGATTTTTATCTAAATGATCAATCCCGTGGTTTCATCCAGACGAGTTCATCTCACTCTGATCTGCTGGATGAGCTTGAGACCATCATCCTTCATCATCTGCTGCCTCTTCAGGTCCATGCCAACTCGGGGCTTGGGCTTCGGCCTGCCGCCCAGCGGAGGCGGCTCTGCGGTGGCGGAGGAGGACACCTGGAGGAGGGACTGGGGCAGAGAGACTCCAGCCGAGTCTTTACATGACAGCCTGCACATCTCACAGGTGGGAGACGGCTGGGTGTTGACGAAGGTGCAGAACTGGCAGGTCCACTGGCGGAGAGAAGGATGATGATAAAAGAAGGAACAAAACGCTTCAAGAGGAACAGAAATGGGTCTTTTTAACCCCAAGAAGAGTGACATCATAACAGAACATCTGTATTTGAATCAGCTGTTATCACAATCCTTCAGATGAGCGGCTCCGGACCAACCTTTGCTGCTGAGTTGGGCTCAGACTGGAGGCTGGACAGAACAGGGGTGACGGGTGGGCGAGTGGCCAGGCGGGGGCGCTCACAGACCTCACAGAGGATGCTGCTGCCCTGATTCAGCACGGTGCAGCTCTTACACTGCCACTCTGACGGGTCAGAGACACACAACGTTCTCACGTCCGCTCACAGACATCATCAAACCTCCAGAAAAGGACGTTTTTGTCTTCCGTCTCACCCGAGTTTTGAGACGTGGGGATGGAGCTGTCTGGGACGGCGGCCGTGGCGAGTCGAGGACGTTCACACGTGGTGCAGAGGACAGCTCTCATCTCGTTGACTGTGGTGCAGTGTGAGCAGTCCCACGACGTCTGGGACAAACTGGAACATAAAAACTCGTCAGAGCCAGAAAGACGGTCCTTCACCGCCGAGGCCGGGTCTGCTCACCTGGGAGCTCTGGACGCCGGTCCAACAATCGTCCTGCTGTGTCCTTTACGGTCAGGGTGAGAGTGGAAGAGACGGTCGCAGTTCAAACACAACCTCTTGACACACGAGGGACACTGAGAATGAACAGCAGTAGTCCCACAAATCCCACAGGTCTCTGCAAAGACAGAGACACAGAGAGGGACAAGTCCAAAAGCAGCCAGAGACACAGAGAGGGACAAGTCCAAAAGCAGCAAGAGACACAGAGAGGGACAAGTCCAAAAGCAGCCAGAGACACAGAGAGGGACAAGTCCAAAAGCAGCCAGAGACATAGAGAGGGACAAGTCCAAAAGCAGCAAGAGACACAGAGAGGGACAAGTCCAAAAGCAGCAAGAGACACAGAGAGGGACAAGTCCAAAAGCAGCAAGAGACACAGAGAGGGACAAGTCCAAAACCCAACAGAGACACAGAGAGGGACAAGTCCAAAAGCAGCCAGAGACACAGAGAGGGACAAGTCCAAAAGCAGCCAGAGACACAGAGAGGGACAAGTCCAAAAGCAGCCAGAGACACAGAGAGGGACAAGTCCAAAAGCAGCCAGAGACACAGAGAGGGACAAGTCCAAAAGCAGCAAGAGACACAGAGAGGGACAAGTCCAAAAGCAGCCAGAGACACAGAGAGGGACAAGTCCAAAAGCAGCAAGAGACACAGAGAGGGACAAGTCCAAAAGCAGCCAGAGACACAGAGAGGGACAAGTCCAAAAGCAGCAAGAGACACAGAGAGGGACAAGTCCAAAAGCAGCCAGAGACACAAAGAGGGACAAGTCCAAAACCCAACAGAGACACAGAGAGGGACAAGTCCAAAACCCAACAGAGACACAGAGAGGGACAAGTCCAAAAGCAGCCAGAGACACAAAGAGGGACAAGTCCAAAAGCAGCCAGAGACACAGAGAGGGACAAGTCCAAAAGCAGCCAGAGACACAAAGAGGGACAAGTCCAAAACCCAACAGAGACACGAGGAGGGACAAACAAACAAACAGTCACGGTGCTGGTTGCTGTACCCGCTGAGGTTTTCTGGACAGTGTCTCTGCGATGATCGGCTCTGGACGGGTGGCGGTGGAACAGGTCGTCGCACGCAACACAGAAGTGCTGATTGTTACAAGAGGAGCAGACGAGACAGGAAGTGGTGCCACACAGACTACACTCCCCCACCGCCGGCGAAGCTGCACACAGGTTCAGATTCATATGGGTCACACTTTAAGCTCAAAACAATTCTGGAGGTTCGTAGTGATCCTCAGATCAGCCAGAGGCAAAAACCAGACAAAAAACTCCTAAAAGCTGTTTTTGTTCGTCTAAAACCTGAGCTAAGGTTAGCAAATGCTAAAACATCTACTTGGATTTAAAAGGGCTGCATTTTAAATTCTACAGTCCTCCGGTCACTGCTGTCAGGCTCCTCACAACACCACGGGCCTGCTCTTCAGGAGTCTGTAGAGTGGTGGGACAGCTCCAAACTTGAACTGAATGTGAGCAAAACCAAAGACATGGCGGTGACCTTCTGCAGGAGGCAGAGGGATCCGGCTGCTTCAGTAACCACCATTATCCACGGGAACCCCGTGGAGGTAGTGGAGGAGTACAAGTATCTGGGAACCACCTTGGACAACCTCCTGAAATTCTCTGCTAACACAGAGGAGATTCTCAGAAAGTGCCACCAACGGTTAGATCTCCTTAGGAAGCTCAACTCCTTTGGAGTCAGCTCCTCAGTCATGATGACCTTTTACTGTGCCTTCCTGGAAAGCATCATGACCTTCTCCATCACTTGCTGGTTCTACTCCCTAAGCCTCCAGAGCAGGAACCGACTGCATCAGTGTGCTCCAACATCGTTGGCCTGCCTGCCAGAACTCTTGCTCAGGTTTTCTATCAACAAGCGCTGAGACAGGCAGCCAAAATCCTCCACAACCCCTCTCACATTCTTCACCCCGCATTTCAATGGCTCCCCTCTGGGCGACGCCTCCGCTGCACTTCCTGTAAGACTGAGAGGAGAGCACCTTTGTCCCCAAAGCCATTCTGCTCCTTAACTCCAGCAGATAAGATAAGACCATCCCCCGATAATCCCTCTCCTTGGGCTCTCCATATATTTCACTTTTATACAGACGACCCTTTAGTCACTTTATTCACTTACCCAGTGACTTTTGCATACTTTACCGTTTTATCCATCTTCTTGCTGCTTTATTACTTCCTTATTGCCTATTTATTCAATGTTCGTATGTCCAACATCATGCTGCTCTGCTGTTATTTTTTTTAATTGCCCCTCGGGGATAAATAAAGTTTTTCTGATTCTGATTAATTCTCTCAGAGCAGAGACACGAGGGAACGTTCGGTCAGAGGAAAGTCTTAGTTTAGTTCATGTTGGTAAAATGATTCCCTAAGTGTCACTGCGGATCTGTGGCACGGGTCACTTTCCTTCCTCCGATTCTGGGTGTGTCAGACAAATATCAAATAAAATATTACTTTGAGCTAATTATTTATAATTTAAAAAATGTGAAAATGATTTTAAATGAAACAATTTCCCCCAAAATAATTAAAAAGGTAATTTTCCCTGAATAAAAACAATTCCACAGGGCAAGAAGCCTCGTATGTGAACACCAGGTCCTTTAAATAATGATACAGGAGAAGTTTAAATGCACCTGCTGGAGGACAGAGGAGCGGGCGTTAGTGGGAAGATGAATGTTTCCTCTGTCAGAAAAACCCTGACGTGAACCAGAAGAGCTCCAATTTAAACAAACGAGTGAGAAACGTAAAAAACATGGTAGATGCTTCAGATTCCTATAGAGAGATAAAATTCCTCGTTAAGGAGTCGGCATTTCGACCACATCAGGTCAGTTCCCTGTAAACGGGTCAAACAGGGAAGGCAGCTGATCCGACTTCCCACCGGACCTGTGCTTAACTCATTCACTGCCAGCGTTTCTCAACGTTTTTACTGTTTTTTTAAGAGTAACAGAACGTTGCACGCTAGGATGATGTCGACGCCAAAAACACCAAAACAAAGCAGAGACTCACCTCTTACATCAGGAAGAATCCGCGCAGATTCAGCGTTATCCGCTCTTTCATAATCCGTTGTTGAATTGTGATCGGCAGAAGCTTTTCCGGTTCGCGCCTCACTTTTTTTACAGCAGCGGCCCAAAACGATCTCCTAACACGTGGATGTTCTACTTCCTGATCACGTGACGTACGCGGTTGAAGATCGACTTCAGAGCTGAGATGTTTGTTCTCGCGGTGTGGGGGCTCGTCCGACGCCCACACAGTAAAGAATGTAAATGACGACTCTATTGGCAGTGAACGAGTGAAATATGCTCAGAACCAGAGGAAACCGTTATTTTCCTCTCCAACAGGAACTTATTATTATTGCTGCCAGCAGCTCACCTGCAGCAGGTTTCGGAGGCGTTCTCGGCATCGGAGAGGGTTTAGCCAGAGGAGGAGGCACCTGAGGTTTTTCTTCCTGCTCCTTGTCTGCAGGCCCATTTACCACAGAGCCCTTGGGCGGCACATTCTAGTAAGAATGAATAAATAAATAAACAAGTGAGTGAAACAGTAAATAACACCGCAGTAAACAGCTTTTGGCTTTTAAACATAAACTGAAATCCTGATAAAACATCAAACTGAGAAACAGCTTCTGTGGTTTAATGTCGACCAGGTGTGGATTCTTACACACCTGCTGGATGATTAATGGGATGATGTCGCTGAAGGGTTCGGGGTGAGGATGGGTGCCCTGAACGCCCAAAGATAAAGGAGATGGAAACGGGTGAATCCCTCAGACACAAACCGTCCCACACAGGTGTTCCCGGGAGCTAAAGCTAACCTTTAACAGCATGTCCACTTCAGAGCGAAGGGTCATCACCTCCAGCGTCACCGCGGCAACCGTTTCAATGTTTGGTTCAGTGACCTCCTCGGGAAAGCTGAGGCCGTCGATCTGCTGGTTGGTGTAGCCGTACAGAAACAGGACTCTGCGGCCTCCCTGTGAAGAAGACCAGAAGTTTCATCTCAAACTCGCCCAAAGCTGAGGTCTCTGCGTGTTTTCTTTTTAGGGATGCACAATATATCGGCATCAACACCGGCAGCAGGTAGTCATTGTTCGCAGACCGTTTCGCTGATGTGCGTTGTCCGTAATGGGGGGGGGTATCGTAGGCGTGGACCTATTCCTATGAAGCACTAATGTCTGTATATCAGTATCGGCAAATATCGGTTATCGGCCATAACGGTGATATTAGTATCAAATATCGGTTATCGGCCATAACGGTGATATTAGTGTCAAATATCGGTTATCGGCCATAACGGTGATATTAGTATCAAATATCGGTTATCGGCCATAACGATGATATTAGTGTCAAATATCGGTTATCGGCCATAACGGTGATATTAGTATCAAATATCGGTTATCGGCCATAACGATGATATTAGTGTCAAATATTGGTATCGGCCCAAAAATGTCACATCGGTGCATGGCTAGTTTTTTTCTCACCTTGATGGCGTCCACGGTGGTTCTGAAGACCGGATTGTTGTGCTTGACGCTCCTCCAGTACCTGGGCCTGGTGGGACTGGTCAGGTTGCAGCCGTACTTCTCCAGGATGCTCAAAGCTTTCACCAGTTTCCCTAAAGACTCCAGAACCTGGAGCAGAAAAGGATGCTGAGATGATGAGCTCATCACAGAACCTACTCCTAGTTCTTGAGTCTGAAAACTTGTCAAACTTATATTTCTGGGTTCCGGTTGAAATTTGAACAGAAAAACCAGAATTTCTGCTGATTTGTGTTATTTTAGCAGAAAATGGTGTGGTTTAGCTTTTTACAGAGTTTTATATCACACAATAACAGAAAACACCACTGCTCCACATTCATCAGAAGAAACTTTATAATGTGAATCACCATTTTAACGAACTCCACTCTCTAACCCTTAAAGGCTTCAGAAGTTCTAACAGGCATCAGAGAGCCCGCATGCTTCTCAGATCCACCCAGAGGCGTTACCTCCGGTCTGGGGCGGTTCTCCGTGTTTTCTCTCAGCATGGTCTCTGCAGGAAGGTGGCGATACTTCTCTGAAACGTGCAGAGCGATGGCGGCCATGGTTTGAATGTCAGCCTTCACATCCTGAGCCGAGCCCGACGACGAGAGGACCGACCGAGCTTTCTGCCGGACCTCGTCCATCTGGACGGACGCAGGGCTGCTGCTGCTGCTCATCGCTGTCGGGACAACAAACGTTCACAAGACCACGCTGGGATTTCAAAATAAAATCCACTGAAACAAGGATTTTGGTGATAACGAACGTTTCATTTTCCTGAAACAGGGTGATTGAACAAAGTGACAGCTTATCAATTTTCAACCTTATCCTGTTTTGAGCTGTTGTTTCAGACTGAGGTGAACCTTAACCTTAATTTGTATCTTATGAAGGTGCGTTTGAGTGTAGATAATGATGAACTTGTTAAATCAAACACATACTGACTTGTGATATGAATGGATCATTGTAAGAACAATATTCATTTCAAATTCATCATTTAAGCACATGTTATTCAAACATTTGGTTTAAACATCTTGTTCATCATCACATATTATTTAACTTATAAGCTGTAAACCCTTGCAGGATTCGTGTGGCTTCACGTTTATTCAGAGTGAGGAATCCAGCAGTCTGACTTTTAGCAGAGAGATAAGGCTTTTGAGGGAGACCTTGGCAGTTTGTTTACGTCTGCGTTGAAGAACAATAAGTGAGCAAAAGGTTGATCTGTGCGTCTGGACCCTCCAGCTGGTGTAACCTCGACTTTGCAGCTCTGGCTTGCATGAAAGGTTACCGTGAAAATTTACCCCTTTTATTCATTACACTGGGATGATAATAAATAAATCAATTAATCCTACGATAGATGAAATTGAACTCAATTAATTTTGCAGCCTTGATATATGGAGGTTAAGAAATGTACAACTCTATTATTATTATTATCATTATTATTATTAATGATCATTATTGAAGTGAAGTTTTAGTTGCCGACTCTGGATAGGCCGTTGTATTTATTGTTTTGGAGAGACGGTGTCTATTTAATTATTTTTGGTCCTTATTTATTTATTTATTTGTTTTATTAATTTATTTAGAAGTTCTAGTTCTGGACATTCCCATGTTAAATAAAGGTTTAATTGCATTTTAAAGGGTGTACTCGCATTATTATGATATATTAACATTACATAAGAGGTTATTTTCGTCTCGATAATGTCGACAATAATATCGTTTATCGTCAATAACTTGTTGGACAATATATCATCCAGCAAAATTGGTTATTGTCCCAGACCTAACGTCACATCTCCAGTGACAAGGCCTATTTAAATAGTTTACGTTTATCTTAGGTGTGTTCTTGCTGTGTCGTGGTTCTAATTCCATGCTTTCGTTCTTTTTTAAACACAGAAACAGTTTTGTTTACCTGTTTTGTAGCTACATTTTCGCCGACGGCTGCCGGCTTCTTCAGGCTGACGCCAGAAACGCGCACGTCTAAGAAACCACCTTCGCTTCTGTTTAAGATGCCAGGACGAAAACATCACACCCACAAGCCTACAGCTGAAAACACCGATCCGGACCAAGACAGCACAAAATGTAATTGAAAGAGCACAGCGAGCACTGCTCAAGGAGAGGATAAGGAACGTCATAACCAAACAGAGGCGTGTGGAGGACGAACTGGAAAGAGGACACCTGGACTTGAAAAGGAATTACAAACTTGATAAACAAATGGAGGAACTAACTAAAGGACACATGATGGAAAAACAGGAAAAAGAGTTCACAAAAGTAAAAGAAAGACACATAGAGAAGCTAAACAAACTCATAAACAAGAAAAAGAGGGGAGAAATACAAGATAACTCCACACCAAACACATGGGTATGTAACATTTCACAATACAAACTAACAGAAACAGAAGAGAGCATATTAAAGAAAGGTTTAAACTTTGCAGTCACACCAAAAGAAATACCATATGATGAATTTATTGTAGCAACAGAACTAGCATGTCAACAGATCACAGATGAGGGAAAGAAAGCAGAACTCAGAAATAACCTAGTTGGGATATTAAAAAACAGCCAAATTCAACACAGCAATATTACAAAAGAAGAACAATCAGCCATGACAGCTTTATCCAAAAATGAACAGATAATTATTCTACCGGCAGACAAAGGAAGAACCACAGTAGTTATGGACAGAGAAAAATATAAACAACAGATGAACCAGATGCTAGAGGACAAAAATACATATGAAATACTTAAAAAAGATCCAACAGAAAACATTAAGAAAAACATGAAAAAAATACTGAAGCCACTGCACGAAAAAGGCAAAATAACAGAAAAAATGTATAAACACTGGATTCCCACTGCGAATATAACACCAAGAATATATAGAACACCAAAAATACATAAACAAAACACCACTTAGACCAATAGTAGACAGCATAGGTACACCAACATACAACATGGCAAAAGATATCAGCAGAATCATCAGCCCGTTATTAGGAAATACAGATCAACACTGCAAAAACAGCATAGAACTGGAAAAAGAACTAAAGGAGATTACAATAGAAGACAACGACATACTCATCTCACATGACGTCACATCTCTGTTCACAAAAACACCAACCCAAAAAACCATAGACATAGTAGTGAACAGAATCAGACAAGACAAAACTTTACATAAAAGGACAAACCTCACAGCAGATGACATAGCACAACTGATAGCACTGGTAGCTAACTCCACTTACTTCACATACGACAACACAATATACAAACAACTGGAAGGCTTCGCCATGGGTAACCCGTTATCAGCCACCCTGTGCGAGTTTTTCATGGAAGACCTGGAACAAAAAGCCATAGCCACCGCCCCCCCAAACTGCTAAATAAAACTATGGAAACGCTACGTAGACGACATACTGGAAATCATACCAAAAGGTCAAACAGAAACACTAACACAACACTTAAACAACATTGACGACACGGGCAACATACAATTCACTTATGAGTCAGAAACAGAAGGCAGCATAGCATTTATGGAAATCACCAGGCAGACCGACGGGACCCTAAACATAAACACATACAAGAAACCAAGACACACAGACCAATATCTATTATGGACATCAGAACACCCCACCATACACAAAATGTCAGTAATCAGAACATTATATCACCGAGCAAACATGGTAACAGAAGAGAGAGACCGTAAACAAGAGGACAAACACATACAACACGCTTTAAAGACCTGCGGATACCCGACATGGGCAATAAACAAAGGAAAACAACAAACAACAACAGAAAGCAAAGAACAACCCAAAAAAAGAACCAGAAACCCAGAAAGACAAGAACCAGAACCAGTGATAACCCTACCATACATCAGAGGCATAACGGAAAAAATAAGAGCAACAATGAAAAAACACAACATAAACACACCAACAAAGCCATACACAACAGTTAGAAACAGATTAGTACACCCAAAAGACAAAATATCAGCTGGACAAAAATGTGGAGTCATCTACGAAATCCCATGCAAAATATGCAATAAAACATACATAGGAGAAACCGGACGCCAACTCAATACACGGACAATAGAACACAGAAAGGAGTGCGAGAAAGAGGCAAATCGAAAACACACAAGAGCAGCAAAAGAAGAAGCAGAAAGTAAAATAAAAAAGTCAGCCGTAACAGATCACTGCATAAGAGAAAACCATATAATGGACCGGGACGACACACGGATCATAAACACCGAACAACAAAAATACAAAAGATGGATCAAGGAAGCAATCGAGATAAGGAGATGTGGATGTGGGACCATGAACAGGGACGACGGAGTTTACACGCTGGACCACGCATGGGACTGCATCGTCGGAGAGGGGAGAGCGGGCAGCAGAGGGCGACAACGTCCTCTGCTGCCGTCGCCCTCTGCTGCCCGCGGATAAACGGAGAAGGAAGTGACGCGCCACCATCAGCGTCAGCCTGAAGAAGCCGGCAGCTGTCGGCGAAACTGTAGCTACTAACAGGTAAACAAAACTGTTTCTGTGTTTAAAAAAGAACGAAAGCATGGAGTTTACGTTTAGTTTTATAATTAGTTTTATTTTATTTTATTGACATGCGATTTCAGTGATGCTTCATATAAACTAATCACTTGTTTTTCTTTACATTTAGAGTGCACCATCTCTGTATTTTCTGGGTAAGTATCCATCATTTTGTTTAAATTTGCCATTTCCAGACAAAAACTAAGTTGCAGTTGTTTTCTGCAACAGAACAAAGTCAGAACTATCAGAATAGAAGATATTCAGCATCATGGCCCGTGTAGACGTAGTCCCTGGATGTGTGTGACACAGTGTGTGTCTGCAAACTAAAAGTTATTTTCTGGTCATTTTTTATCTAATTACTTGACCTTTGTGTAGCAGGTGGCACCACAAGGTGCCACTGTGGCCCTGTAGGTGAAACCCCTTTAAAAGGGAACTGGCTGGCTGTCAGTAAGGTGTGCCAGTTTCCTGTGGGAGGCCAGGGCATAGCTGGTCCCATGACGTTTGTCTGTGTGGCAATTTGTTGGGGTCACAGAGTTTTAAGGTCAGACGGCCATATGAGATGCTGACTGAAAGGAGCAGTGTGTGAGGTGTTTGCAAGACACAGTAATTCATTGCTACCTGCTGTCCTTGTTAGGTTGTTTATTTTTTCTTTTGTAATTGTTAGACTGCTCCATCTAGCTTTTGTTGTCTTAAAGCAGTTGGGGGAAAGTGTAAGGGTGGACTAACAATTACTCCTATCTATATTGTTTGTTTGGTCACCTCCTACATTACCTTTGCTGAACTGCCACTGCTAATTAGTCCAGGGCATATTTCTGCACCGGGCCTGCTCGGCTGCAGCACTGAGAGTTGCTGCCTGATTTAACATTACCAGTGGTGTGCTCTTATGTTCATGGGAACCTGATTGCAATGATTCTGAGTCAAAGGTGTTTTCTCCTGTGTGGTGGGTTAAATTCAGGTCCAAGCTGAAGTACCCTTGTAATCCTAACAAGAGGCAGTGCCAGTAATCTTGAAAACCACTGGGAAAATAAAAATGGTTAACTTTATGTTGAATCTGCCTGTTTCTTTGGTCACACAACCTTTGGGTACACTACAGCATGAGACCGGAGGACCATACGATAAAAAAGGCTTCTAGGGTCTGGTTTGCAGATGCTCTGTGTTCCAAACAGAAAAAAATAATTACTATAGGCCAGGGCTTATTATTGTAGGGTGGGGTCTTCTCTTAAGTAAAAATGAAAGAAGGGGTTTGTATTTCTGGCTGCAGATCCGCCGCACTGTCCTCAGATGGTTGGTTCAACTTCTGGTAGTAACTTTTCTAACTTCCTACCATGTTACTGTCATTAACAATGACAAGAGGCAGGCAAATCTCATGAGCAGCATAATGGGAAAGTCCAGGATATTTTAGTTTCAATGGTACACAGAGTGGAAACGAATCTACATAATGACAAACACTAGATTTTAATTAGAAAAACAAAACATTTTAATTAGATATAAAATATAAATCAGGGCGTTTAAAGGTCGGGAATGAAAGGTCACAGATTAAATAACTTCTCGGCAGCAGAAAACGAAACTGTTTATAACCACATACTGTCTGATTTATTAAGTTACTCACCACTTTTGCTGTTTAGGCTTCTCTCAAACGTCACTCCGTCCTCCCAGGAAATGAAACACGCGTCTACGTTTTCATTTGGACAAGTAAATTGTTTAAAAAGTGACAACAGAGGTCCAGTTCTCCTCTGAATAGAGCTGGTACCGTCTGAAGCTACTAGCTAGCTAAATACTTCCAACGCGGAACTACAAAGTTGACGGAATGAGTTCCTGTCACACATCCGATCAAAATAACAGTTTCAAAATAAAAGCGGATTGACGTCACTAAACTAAACCACATACCTTTGAACTAAACTCACGTTTAAACCAAAACTTGATTTTTTTAAATAAAACGTGGCAGTATTTAAATAATGCGGCATTAGCAGTGATGAAAGCAGTTTTGCAATCTCATCAAACGTGAATTTAATATTAAACTGAGCCCTGAAATAAAATCCTGCTCTTATTTTGTGTTATAAAACACTTGCAGTATCAGCTGTGATTTTGATTTCATACAATCTCTCCTAATCATCCCAAAAACCATACATTTAGCTGCAAAGCAGCAAATTCAAATGCTTTTCATCTATCAGTCTGGACAAAGGTACACATAAAAAGGGATTATTTATCCTGTTATAAAATGGATAACTCGTCAAAATGGAAAAAAATAACATGTAATTCATAAAATGTATATTTTTTAATTGAAAAAAAAAAAGATCATAAAATGAACTCGTCACCGATAAAGAAATCTAGTTCTGGTAAGTGGAAGGTACTTAGTTTAAGGCGCATGCTCAGTAGCGGTTTTAATATCGCAGGTGCGCGGACTACTTTTATCAGCGGAAGAAGAAAGCCCATGGGACTGCGGACCAGCGCATAAGCTCGCGTTTAATCGAAAGTAAACTTAGAGGAAACAAAATAAGTCAAGCCACCAAGAAGACCTTCTTCCCGTCCTCAGCTGCAGCAGGACAGAAAATACTTTTAATTTCTGCAGATTTATTCATTTCGTCTCATATTTTAAAAGTTAGCATCGCCATGTCAAAAGCAGCAACTCTGAAAATAAGCAGCGCGAGCTCAGTCAAGGTGAGTCGAGCCGGATTTACAGGAAGCATCTGATCATAACAAAAACATTCACTAGTGATCGCTTTTTAAACGCAGACTTTGTGTTCTCGTGATGCTTTTGTGCATATTTGTAGTTACTGGACATAAATAATTTAGTTTATGAGTGAAAGAGCAGAGGAAAGTCCCTCTCAGAGAGGAAAACGAAAGTAAATCGTGAGTCAGCAGCTTCATTCAGCCAATAATAATCGATTCTATTCTTTCTCTGCAGGTGGAAAACTTCTGCCAGTCTCTGTATCAGGAGGTTTGTGTTTTATGATGTCAAACCAAACATAAATCCATCATTCTTCAGCTTCTCACGGTTTTCTGATTCCAGGCCGAGAATTTGTTCTCCAGCTTCGTTCCTCAGAAGATCATCCAGCTGGACGCTCTTCTCAGGGTTCAGTTTCCTAACTCACTTCAACCTTTGCCCTGTGCTTAGTCACGTGCTCCTCTCATCCCATCTGTCCTGCTGTGTTTTTCCAGGATGATGCTCTCAGCATCACAGACATGTCCTCACTCCAGGCTCCGCTGGACATTCCCATCCCTGATCCCCCTTCGCCAGAAGACGAGGTGATCCGCTCTTCCTCATCCTCACTGCTATTATATTACTGGAACTAAATAAAAAATCTAGCTGCACAAATGCATTTTATTATTATTATTATTCTGTTCAACTCAGCTGTCTTCTAAACCTTTTACATTTCTAGTTTGATGTTTTATTCTTTGCAAAAGATACTTTGTTTATATACTTGTAATTTAACCTTTAGACCAGCATTGTAAACAATATATATAATATATATATATATATATATATATATATATATATATATATATATATATATATATATATATATATATATATATATATGATGCATTATAGCCAAATTACCAAATATTGGGTAAATAACTTCAGCTTTTCAAAATTAGAGGACTATGGCAAGCCAAATGAACATTTATTCTGATATCAGGATAATGAACATTTATTCTGATATCAGGATATCAGCCAGAAATGTCATGAACATCTAAGCCATTTCTGTCCGCTAGTTAACTAGTTAGCCATGTTTGTGTCAACTAGTTAAATATCGAGGGTGAAAATGTGCCCACTAGTCAACTAGTGACAGCAAAAATGTGCACTAGTTAACTAGTGAACACATTTAGGCTTCAGTAGTTAACTAGTTGACACAAAAACTGCTCACTAGTTAACTAGTAAAAGCAGAAATGCATACCAGTCAGCTACTTGAAGGTATTTGTCTCACTAGTTAACTAGTGAGGGTCAAAATGTGCACACTAGTTAACTTGTGGTAGACATAAATGCGCACTAGTTAACTAGTGAACACATTTAGGCTTCAGTAGTTAACTAGTTGACACAAAAACTGCTCACTAGTTAACTAGTAAAAGCAGAAATGCATACCAGTCAGCTACTTGAAGGTATTTGTCTCACTAGTTAACTAGTGAGGGTCAAAATGTGCACACTAGTTAACTTGTGGTAGACATAAATGCGCACTAGTTAACTAGTGAACACATTTTGGCTTCACTAGTTAACTAGTTGACACAAAAATGGCTCACTAGTTAACTAGTAAAGGCCAAAATGCATACCAGTCAGCTAGTTGAAGGTTTTTGTGTCTCACTAGTTAACTAGTGATGGCCAAAATGTGCACACTAGTTAACTAGTGACAGAAGAAATCCATCCGTGACCTTTAAAAGCGACTGAATTATGTAGAGAAGAGGAACGGCGATCAGAGACGTTGGACAACACATAAAACGTGAGCTGTACTGGTTTCCAGCTCTTTCTGACGAAGTCTTTCTTCCAGGAAATGGAAACTGACAAGAATGGAGACGATGAGAAGAAAAAGAAGAAGGGTAAGGAGTCCGCTTTTCTGTCACAGCTGGTTGGTTAAGAAGTGAAGTTTATGGCCAGGTTTTTTGTCCCTCAGCTCCAAAATGTGGCTTCATCAAAGGAAACGAGAAGATAATGATCCTTCTAGACAGAGTAAAACCAGAGATCGTCTGCCTCAGGGAGACCATCATTGTAGTAAGTGATCCTCTGGAGACAAGTCTGTTCTGAAACCAGCTCTAAGTGAGTGATGAATGGATTCCTGCAGGTGTCCAGCTGGATTCAGCACCTCATTCCCAAAATAGAAGACGGAAATGACTTTGGAGTTGCCATCCAGGTGGGCTTCTGCCTTCGTTCTCACTTTATGATCATCGCTTTAATGCACGTTTAAACTCGGCTTCCTTGTTTCAACCACAGGAGAAAATCCTGGAGAGAATCACAGCTGTGAAGACCAAAGTCGACGGTTTTCAGACCAACATCAACAAGTGAGCTTTGGTCCACCTTTTTTAGTGGGAGTCCTTCGTGTTGCTTTCAGTCGCTTCGGGAGGCTCGTTCAGGTCTGTTCAGTTTTTCTGTTCTCAGGTACTTCTCAGAGCGAGGAGACGCCGTCGCCAAAGCCTCTAAAGACACTCACGTGGTGAGCCGGCCGTCTTCTCCCAAACAGTAGTGTTCTGATTTAAGAGGTTTGGCGGAAGGGGAAATGGAGTTAAAATCATCAGATTTGCTGTTTTTCCTCCTGCGACCACGTTTGGTTTAGTCAATCAGATGTTATCTGACTTTCTCCTGCTCTCAGATGGATTACCGCTCACTCGTCCATGAGAAGGACGGAGCCGCCTACTCTGACATCAGAGTGATCGTCCTCGACATTCGTGGATTCTACGTAAGTCCGACGAGTCACTCGGGTGTTAACAGGCTCCATAACTCAAGGGATGAACCAGCGTTGTCTAACTAAATCTCTGGATTAAAAATAGATTAATGTAGAAATCTCTGCTTGAAGAATTTGTCCTTTTAAAATGTCCTGAAAAAACTGAAACAGAGGAAGCAGCTAGATTATTGACCACTAACTTATTACAGGAACGTCGTGCTGGTCTGAAGGGAAGTCTAACGTTCCTGAACATTGTATTTGTCCTCTTCAGGCTGAGCTATACGACATCATCAACAAAAATCTGGAAAAGGTGATCAATCCCAAAGGGGAGGAGAAGCCGTCCATGTACTGAAGCTCTGGAGGAAAGGAAAACTGGGATCGGTTCCACGTTTTTTGTTCATGAGTCAAAAGTGAAACTTCTCATTTAGCTTTACAGTCCAACAAAGACTGGATGCTGGATTTTATCACTGGTTTCTGATGGTAACACTTCATTTTGTCCCAATGTTTGCACTAAATTTACTTTTTATGATAAATAAACGAAACAACGATGTTTTTCAAACTGAGATTTATTTGCAACAAAGACATCTTAATTCCCACGTGAGACCTGCTTCTTTTACTAAAAACTGAACAAAGAATGTTACAAAAATATGCTCCAAAAACCTGGAGAGAATAAACAAAAGACACAAAACAGGATTTACACTTCTGGTCCTTCTCCTCCAGGAATGAGCTGCAGGAGAAATGAACCCGACATGAATCATCCAGCTGAGTGATGTTTGAGAGAGACCGAAGCCGTTTGTGTCCTACCATGGTGATGTTGTTTCCATTGAGGAGGATCTGATCCAGTTTGGTTATTCTCCGTCCTTCTGGTGTGATCTCGCTGGAAGAAACACCAGGAGATGAGCAGGATGAATGAGGCAGACACCGGTTAATAAAACAACGTACACTTACAATTCTGTCACATCCTCCAGCACCATGTCTGAAACACACAGTTGAGGACCAAATCTGAACACGTCACCTCTGAATCACGCACTACAGCTGATCAGCAGCTTTTAAGGAAGGATACTGACAAAGTCATCGAACCCCAGCAGGGTGCCGACGATTTCTTTGTCGGTTTTCATGACGATGTGAATTCGAGAGCCGATACATTTGTCCACAAGCTCTGAAAATATAACAGGTTAGGTTATTTTCTACAGTTTTCAGTTTGATTTTAACAATTTTCTAAATAACTAATGTGATGTTTAGCATCTAAAACCAATCAGGACCAACTACTAAAAATCATTTTTTCTTAAGGGAAATACTGTTGAGGTTTGTACTGCACATACACTAATTGGCCAGTAGGTGGCAGAAGAATATGACTAAATCTAACTGAATATATGTCGATGGACGAAATGAATTTTCTTGTCAGTTGTCAACGAAAGTTGTTCACGGGTGTGACTACTTTGAATTTAAATAACACAATAAGTTCAGCAGTATTATTATGACTGCTGCAGCTCAGCTTTTGCTCATGTTCAGACACGGACAGGTGTACAATCAGCACGCCATCCTCATTAAGGCACCCGAGCTGGTTTGACTTTTTCAGGTCATAACTGCTGTAAAATAGGACACAATCACTTCTTTTAGTTTTTAGACTGCCACAAATACTCCTCTGTTAAAATAAATTAGGTAAAAACTCACGCTTGAACACGAAATTATTGCTTTATCTGCAGCTAGCTAAAACCTGCTGGTGTTGCATCGAGATGTGTCCCCCATCTAAACCAGAATCTCCGGGGGTTTTCTTTAAAACTTTTTCTTTAAGCTATAATATGTTTTAAATGGTAAAATGTTCCTTATTTGACTTTTATTAGTAAATTAATGCAAGCAATAAAGATGGCTGAACTAAGCATAACCCCCACGAGTTCCTAAATTTATCAAATACATGCAACTGCTTACTTCACAAGTTACACATACTGACAATTAAATCCGTACACCACAGATAATATATTTTAGCAGGAGGAACACAATCCTGTGACTAGAAACCTTGTCAGGAAGCGAGGACACGGTTTACTTCGGTGAAAAGATCTGTACGTAACACCGGCGTGATTTTACCGCTAAAACGGCTCACTTCTGTTTGCTACTCACTAAATTAGAACTGCTTGTTCGGTTCTTATTGAAATGTATCTAAAGGCGAAACTATCTGAAGCAAGAACGGAACAAAATTAGATTTTACGAACCCAGAGGGAGCAATTGTGACGGGTTTGTCGCTTGAGTAGCCGCCATGACTTTCTTCGTGTGACTGCAGCAGTCACAACCAATCGAATCAAGAGCAAATCGAATTCAGGCAAGAATAGACAAACTCTGATTTACTTTGGAATGATATAGATAAAAAAAATATACTTAAAATCCCCCACAAAAAATAATAAATAAAACATCCAAAACAACAATCACTTTAGAGGCAAAATATTTGAGTATAAGACTTAAGTATGGATTTTGCAGCATGGAGAGTTTATTTGTTTACTTCCTGTTTCTGGTTACGTTATGCTTGACTGATTTTAGGATTTGATCAAAATCAGATATTCGCAAGAAAATATGTCAGTAGATTCATTGGAAACAGGTTGTTATAAATTGTGTAAATGCGACTTGAACCAGTTTTTCATTTAAAAGCTAATGCTAACAGCTAATCCGTGCTCTGACCCCGATGGCTCTGACAGAATCGGTAACGCAAACACGGAAGTGAGGAACAGGGAAACATCTTGTTGAGATCTAGCTGCAGCGCTGTGTGTGTGTGTGTGCGCGCGCGTGAGTGTGTGTGCGTGGGAAAGATTCGGGGCTCAAACTAGGCTCCGTTCGCTGTGTTTACATCCGAACCCCCTGAGTTCACAAACGCCACCGGACCTCCAGAACAGAAGACGGAGGGAAAATGGAGTCTCACGGCAGCGAAACTGAAGGGAAGGGGCCGGTGCTACACATCGTGGTTGTTGGATTTCACCATAAAAAAGGCTGTCAGGTACGAACCTGCTTCATGCTAACTGTGGCTAGCTCTGGTATAAAGGTGCATTCCTACTAAAACATTAGAATGGAGGGTTATGGCCAGCTCACTGCAGGTGAGATGGATTTGATGCAGATGGAAATATTAATTTTAACCGTCTTTGATTTCTAGCTGTTTGTGCGGAGTTATATAACATCTCTTCTGGCTGCCAACTCAGATAATTTTCCAGTGGTTTCCATTAGCTGCTCACCTGATCCCACATCCGGTTGGATCTCCATACTAATTGATTATCTAATGTTCAGTAACGGTGATGGCCAGAATAGGATGAAACAACAATAATCAAAGATGCTACAAGCTTTAAAAACTGCATCAGAAATATCTCAGTTCCTCTCAAAAATGTGAAATTCGTTATTTTCCTTTCAGTAACTTGCCGTTTGGTATTTTCTAACTGACTCTGAAACAAAACTTCCTTTTATTTGGTGGCATGACTAAACCCAAGTCCTAAAGTAGTGCATATTTTCAGAACAAATATTTTATTCATACAAACATAAAAAAAGAGGCTCTCTTGTGACATCACAGCAGCCACACCTCCCTTTAGCTCAGCCTGCAGGCAAACCACTTTTCTCCCACAAAACCAGATCTGGATGCTTTTTACCTGAGTAACACACTCAGAGCTCAGGTGTGTGTAAACGTGCTAACATGAACTTGGTGCCTTGCTGCTTTCTTGTCTGTTGAAAGCAACAGGAAACACCCGGTTAGGTAGTGAACGCGTCCCTGAAGCGTTTGGTCTGAGCGGCTCTAATGGATCTTTTAAGATCTGGAAACAGTGATCCTCCTTGTTGCTGCTCTCCGTCTGTTTACATCTGTGGCCTCGCAAACAGCTGCCACCCACAATTAAAGATACAAAAGCTGCATTTCTTTGTTTAAATTTGAGACAGAAGCTGGGATAAAACCTGGTCTGTGGCTCGAAAAATGGGCCCTGTCGCATTTGGTGGTGGTGGTGGGGGGGGGGGGGGGGGATATCTGATAGGGGTCAGTGATCTCCATCAGCATCAGACGTTTGGGTTTGTGGCTCTGAAATCTGCACACAACTCCTCCTCCTCCTCCTCCTCCTCAGAGAGAGGAGTTATTGATGTTTAGTCCTGTGTATAGATGTGTTTTTTGTTCAGTTACGATGCTAAGATGGACTCTCTGGTTTTGTTGATCAGGTGTTCCATCTACCGTGTTTACATTTCAGAAACACTCGGCACAGAAACATCTCTGGGGTCGATGATGTTCTGAGAAGCAAAACATTCCAAATTTATCCTGCAATTTGTAAATTTGGCATCCTGTTTGTCTAATAATAAAAATTCAAGTTTGCAACAGAAAACCTACCAGTTCGCACAGCTTGTTAAAGAGCAAGTCACCCCCACCACAGTCTTACTCCACTCCCACTTCCTGTTTGAAAAATGCAACAAATGCTGTTGCCTGGCAGACCTGGAGGGCGGAGCTGCTAACAAATACACACACAGGCTCACAACAACATTGTGACATCATATGGTACCAGCTGACATCATAGTGTACCTCTTAGCCAATAGCGATGGCAGATTTAAATTCAAATGCAGTGCAGAGTTTTTACCTGAATATGGTGCAATACTGACAGTTTTAGGTAGAATATTTAAAGAGCAAGTCACCCCCAAATCAACTATTTTTTCTGATAAACTGTATAAATGTGTGTCTAATCGTGCTGCAGACACGTGTAGTCAATAGTTTAGCACTTTAGTGCATTTTAGTTGAAATTTTATTTTCTGCCTTAAACTGTCAGTGTTGTGCCGTTGTCAGGTAAAAACTCTGCACTGCATTTGAATTTAAATCTGCCATCGCTATTGGCTAAGAGGTACCCTAGAACGTTAGCTGGTACAAGGGCTGAACGATTAATTGCGTAGGCAATTAAATTGCGATGTGACAAAAGGAGATTTTCTAATCGCAAAGGCTGCGATTTGACTGGCAGCAAATGGTTAGCACAATGCTAATATACATTGAAAAACCCATAGGGATGCTAATCTTTATATCGCCGAATAGATTCTTACAAATTGCGAATTAGGAATGTGCCAAATTATTACATTTGGAGTCTAATAAAAGTAAAAACTGCCATTAATCAAATAAGTACAGACAGATATTTTAGTAAAGCTAGAAACCTGTACTTAAAAAAAACACACCTGATTTCAATCAGCAGGTGGTTAACCGGCTTCTGCAGAGCTTGATGAGCTGCTGTACAGGTTAATTAACTTTGTTGGAACTGGGAAACAACAAAAAGATGCAGGAGACCGGCCCTCGAGGACTGGAGTTGCCCACCCCTGGTCTACTCCAAGGTACTGGAGAGGAGGGTCCGATCGATTGTTGAATCTCAGATTGAGGAGGAGCAATGTGTTTTTCGTCCTGGCCGTGGGACTGTGGACCAGCTCTACACCCTTGCAAAGGTGATGGAGGAGTTTGCCCAACCAATCCACATGTGCTTTGTGGATTTGGAGAAGGCTTATGACCGTGTCCCCAGGGGCACCCTGTGGGGGACGCTCCAGGAGTATGGGGTGGGTGGCTTTCTGTTAAGGGCCATTCAGTCCCTTTACCAGAGGAGCGTGAGTTTGGTCCGCATAGCCGGTAGTAAGTCGGACCTGTTCCCAGTGAGGGTTGGACTCCGCCAGGGCTGCCCTTTGTCACCGGTTCTGTTCATTACCTTTATGGACAGGATTTCTAGACGCAGCCGTGGTGTGGAGTGTGTCGAGTTTGGTGGCAGGAGAATCTCGTCTCTGCTTTTTGCGGATGATGTGGTCCTCCTAGCTTCATCCAGCTCTGACCTTCAGCTCTTGCTGGGTAGGTTCGCGGCCGAATGTGAAGCGGCTGGGATGAGGATCAGCACCTCCAAATCTGAGACCATGGTTCTCGACCGGAAAAGGGTGGCTTGCCAACTCCGGGTCAGGAGAGAAGTCCTACCTCAAGCGGAGGAGTTTAAGTATCTCGGGGTCTTGTTCACGAGTGAGGCTAGGAGGGATCGGGAGATCGACAGGCGGATTGGTTCGGCGTCTGCAGTGATGCGGACGCTGAGCCGATCTGTCGTGGTGAAGAGGGAGCTGAGCCAGAAAGCCAGGCTCTCGATTTACCGGTCGATCTACGTCCCAATCCTCACCTATGGTCATGAGCTTTGGGTAATGACCGAAAGAACGAGATCGCGGATACAAGCGGCCGAAATGAGTTTCCTCCGTAGGGTGGCCGGGCTCAGCCTTAGAGATAGGGTGAGGAGCTCGGACATTCGGGAGGGACTCGGAGTAGAACCGCTGCTCCTCCGGATCGAAAGGAGCCAGTTGAGGTGGTTTGGGCATCTGGTCAGGATGCCTCCTGGACGCCTCCCTGGGGAGGTGTTTCGGGCATGTCCTGCCGGCAGGAGGCCCCCGGGTCGACCCAGGACACGTTGGAGAGGTTACATCTCCAATCTGGTCCGGGAACGCCTTGGGGTCCTGCCGGAGGAGCTGGTGGACAAGGCCGGGGAGAGGAAGGCCTGGAGCTCCCTAGTTGGGATGCTGCCCCCGCGACCCGGACCCGGACCCGGATAAGTGGAGGAAGACGACGACGACAAGTTACATAGATCTTTTTTTTGCTTCTGTTTGTTGAAAAATGAGAAAAGCCCCTTGAGAAAATAATTGTGAATTAAATCGCACCCCTCTTGGGGTGTGTCCGAATCTAGGGGCAGGATGCTTATGAGTACGGGTCCTCGCCGGTCTAGCAAGGTCGGGTCCTTGCTAGACCGCTAAGACCGGAACCCAGCGGCTCTGAATTTGGACAGTCTAGCCTTCACCTCTACGGTGGCCCGTAGGTCCCGTCATGCCGTGGCGGCAGCTACACGCAAAGGAAACATGCTAAAGCTAGCGAAAATGGAGCAGGAATATTAAGGAGCTGCAGCAGCTTCACGTCCATCAGCAGCGTTTGTTCACAACCGTTTTCAGGTAAAGTAACTTTGTTTATTCTAGAAGCTTTCAGGACTTACATGTTAACTTTAGATGGTTTCATGTATGTTTTAAGCTACAGAATGAACTTGTTAAACGTACACAACACATTACTACAGAGTATTATCATGTAGGTAATTAATATAAACCAAATGCATTATAAATGTTGAATGCAGCAGGATGTTTTCTAATGTAAATTGGACCTTAGAACTTCTTATTTAGCATCAAATGACGTAAAATGCTTTAAAAAACAGGCTTTAATAAAAAGGCATTGAAGTGTTTTCAGTGTGCATTTGTTTATTCAACTTAAGCCCAATAATGATTAGATCTGTCTTAAATGTAAATTCTCTGTAGTTTTCCCTGCTGCTTTTCTTTAAACTGAACAGAACCAGTGTATTGCAGGTTGTGTTTTGTTTTACATTTTTCAATAAACAAAAACAAACTCTTATTTAATCTATTACAGGTCAGCATGCACTGTACTGCACATCTGCATCTGTGCTGGTGAAGTTGTGGGTCTGGAGGACGAGTCTGAGGAAGATGTGTGTGGAGGAGGTCAGTGGTGCTCTGTCCTGGAGGAGGTATCAGCAGACCACCACTACTGTTAACAGGCAAGTCATTTATATAGGAACCTCTATTAAAAACAACACTGTGGTTTTATTTGCTGAAGAGTCACAATTGTTATACCAGTGGATCCATAAACCATCTCCTCATTTCATATTTCTGAATACATCTTAGAGACGCAACAGCCGTCGTCTGAGCCAGCCCAGCAGGCCCTGTAGATGGACGATGGAGTGGACAGTGAGAGGAAGCGTCCCAAAGCTCTCTCTGCATACCGTCCTGTTTGATGTTCCTCTGGCCAGAAACGTCCAGCCACGGGTCTGCTCCAGCCCTCCATCCACGTCTGGATCCTCCTGCAGCAGATCCAGCTGCACTCTTAAAGACTTCCTGCTCACTCAGTTTAAATAAAGGATCCAGGAAGAGTCACTCAGGTTAATCCTGCTTTAACCGTACATAACTGGTCCATACTGGTTCAGATCTGTAAATAAGTGTAACCTATTATAAATAATCTTGTCTCCTTACCATCTTTTCATTTTCTGTTCATGTAACATGTTCAAAAACATCTGTAATAATAAAACTGGTGATAAAATCAATGACCAGAAAGTTATTAGTATTTGTTTTAATAAACGTTTCAAATATCAAACAGTTAAATAACATCAACATGATGACAGTAGAAGGCCTCTCTCCCAGGAGGACCACCAGGTAAAGCCTCTCCTGACCCTGGACACCTGCAGTCCTACAGAGAAAATCAGAGACCACAGAAACACATTTTTACATTTATTCACATGAGAAGATAAAAATTATATTCTTTACACAAACACTTTTTACTTCATTAAAACGTGTCAGCTGTGTAAATCCCTGAATGTAAAACTACTTTTCACAGAAGAACTTCTGTGGTTGTGTGTGAACAGCTTCACTCTTCACCTCTAAGCTTAATAAAAACACGTCTTTGCTCCGTTGTCCTTAAAACAAATGACAAGTTTAATTCGCCACACACACACACACACACACACACACACACACACACACACACACACACACACACACACACACACACACACACACACACACACACACACAGGAATAACTGGGACCCGCGATACAAACTCGTTCTGGCTGATTTCTGCCTAAAATGTAATTTATAAAACAAAAATACAAACGAAAATAGTCTGTAAACTGAACCGCTTTAAGCTTTTTAGGTTTCTAAGGCTAATTTTTTAACAAACTTACGTTTAAAACTTCGTAGCTCTCCCCATTTTCTCTGCCTGTTGAAAATCCACAGCCGGTGCTCAAAGCATGCTGGGATAGCCTTGTTCTGTGAGGACACAACAGAACCGTCCTCGAAATGTGGGCGGAGCGAGGACACGAGAATGAGTATTCTTGGAATTCGGACAGTACTCGTCGCTGCGCTGTGACGTCATCGACCTCAAAATGCGCTCTTACAAGCATCCTTCCCACGGATTCGGACACACACACTGTCTGCTAGGCAACAGCATTTGTTTTATTTTTCAAACAGGAAGTGGGAGTGGAGTAAGAATCTGGTAGGGGGTGACTTGCTCTTTAAACTTTAGCAGAGATGCACTAAAGTCCCAAATTATTGACTACACGTGTCTGCAGCACAATTAGACACTCGTTTATACGGTTTATCAGCAACAAAAAGTTGATTTGGGGGTGACTTGCTGTTTAACTGTCTAAAACTTTATTTTATTCTTTTAGCAAACAGAAACTCAAGTTTATTCTAAGAGGTTTTCAGAAACACGAGAAACACTCAACAGTCCGCGTGTTCCTTGTGACAGGCTTCGCTGTTTTGGCTGAGGGATTCAGGTCAGGTGACACACCTGGTCAGGTGAAAAGTTTCTGTACCTGCTCTTAACAGAAGTCTGTTATTGGACACGTGGGACGTGTGTAAATCTGCTGCGTCATTGTTTACCGAGAATCCAAATAAACAGGCAGAATGTTGGGAAACGGCTGAGTTTGTCCCAGGATTCCTGTTTGAGTGGAACGATTTTTTACCCGACAGTGACAAACACACACCTAAACACACACCTTTATCACATGACCACAATGGGAATACCTAAATTTACTAGATTACAAATGAAATTCTGCAAATCCTAATTTTAAAGGACATTTTAAAGCATTTGTGAATGAATGGATTATAAATAATTATTTTTACCTGATCTTTCCTGAACAGCCTCTGTTTAGAGAATTAGAGCTAATGTCCTCCAGGATAGATAAGCTAACGGCTAGTCCAAGTGCTGCCATCTCTAGGCAATTCTCGGTAAATCCTTGTGTTATTTTTAATGACTTTTCCACAGAAATAGAAAATGTGGCCAGAAAATGTTTTTACTTAACATTTGACACTAATTTAGCCTTATTAGTGAAATAACCGATCAGCTGTTTCTTCTACGGAAAACGTTTACACCCAGAAAATCCCTCCCGAGCCGTCCCATCTTGTCCGAGCAGGACAGACGAAGTGAGTTTTGTTCTTTTCTGCCCTCAGGTTGAGTTCTCGTACCCGCCGCTGATGCCAGACGAGGGTCACGACAGCAACCTGCTGCCGGAGGAGTGGAAGTACCTCCCGTTCCTGGCTCTTCCCGACGGAGCGCACAACTACCAGGAAGGTACGGCTTACCCTAACCCCATCTCAGAGAAAGAAACTACAGTAAAGTCTCCGTCCCATGCAGGAGGGGGTGTTTATTAATACAGCATGAATGAAAATCGGCTAAAGTCTTAGTGGTTGTTTTTGGTTGATGCTGAAGTCAGCTGGTTTTCTACACGTGGGCCTGACGCCTGTAGCTGAAGTCATGTGACCGTTGTGGTTTTTGCTGCTGCTTATCCGACTGTCGCCTGTGGAGGCAAACATGCTGACTCTCACCAAATATCAGTTTGATCAGCAGCTCAGGGGTGCATGACTCAGGCTGCAGGAGGAATCAGCAGATTGTTGTTTCTGTTGGATTATCCTGATTGGTCGGATCTTTTTCCACGTTCTAACGGTTTATTTAAATGTTCTTTATCCTCCCAGCCTGTTGTTTGCAGCTGATTTGGCTAACAGCTTCAGTGATATGATGATATCAGTTACAGAGAAACACAACCGCTGCAGGATGAGCTGAATTATTCACGTTGGCTAGAGCGGACTCAGATTTCTGCCTCGGCTCTAAACAATGTCACAGAAAATGGAAATTAAGTTTATTGATCAAAAGATTTTGTCCAATTCTGATGAGAAAGCATGCTCTTCATCTGTCCTACCATCCAAAGGACCCCCCCCCCCCCCCAGGTTAAATTCACAAGTGTTTTCAAAAGTCAGTGTGAGCAGATGTGGCAGAACGAGAGCAAAACACACTGGTAGCATATGACACACAAATATAAGCCTACCTTTTTCTGTAGGATTTTATCTTGAAATATCAACATCTATGAGGAAAAATCAGCACCACCTCCCAGTTTGGACATCCAGGCTCCCGTAGTTGTTCTTTGCGGTTTTATTGTTCAGGTTCTTTTTGTCTGATCGATCAAGAACAAAAGTACATTTAATTAGTTGGTTTCTGTTTAAATGAACGTCTGAACGATCCAGATATTTTTGAGTTCCCCTCAAATACACCTGACAGACATCTTTCTACTAGTCTGTGCGAATTCTACTGTTATAAATGTCCTTTTGGTCCCGTAATCTTTAATCACCTCTAAAATCTCGTCTTTAGTCCTCCTAAAATGCTAAATCTGAATATTTTAAAGGCTATTTAAAGAGCAAGTCGCCCCCTACCAGAGTCTTACTCCACTCCCACTTCCTGTTTGAGAAATGCAACAAATGCTGTTGGCTAGCAGACCAAGAGGGCGGAGCCACTAACACACACACACACACACACACACACACACACACACACACACACACACACACACACACACACACACAGAGGCTCACAATGACATTGTGACATCATATGGTACCAGCTAACGTTCTAGGGTACCTCTTAGCCAATAGCGATGGCAGATTTAAATTCAAATGCAGTGCAGAGTTTTTACCTGACAACGGCACAACCCTGACAGCTTTAGGCAGAAAATTAAATTTTAACTAAAATGCACTAAAGTGCACAATTATTGACTACACGTGTCTGCAGCACGATTAGACACGCGTTTATGTAGTTTATCAGAAACAAAAGTTGATGTGGGGGTGACTTGCTCTTTAATCAGAAAATGGAGTGAATGAAGCGTGTTTCTCAGCTGTATTTAACGTTGTTCAAGCAAAAGCTCTTCTTCTGGATTTGTTTTTTAGCTCTACAGTAAAACGTCGGCGTGCCTCACGGTGGTCTTTATGTTTTGCAGACACGGTTTATTTCCACCTGCCGCCTCTCACCGGAGACAGGAAGTGTGTTTATGGGGTGTCCTGCTATCGCCAAATCGAAGCAAAGGTCAGTGACTAATTTTGTGTCTGGTCAGAACCAGAACCCGCATCCAGACTCGGCTTTCTTTATTTCATCAGAACTTTATTCTGAAAGTCTGAGGAAGCAACAAGTGAAATTAAAACCCGAATAAATGAAGCTCCTGTCTCCTGCCGATGCTGGGTCTGCTATAGTTTTATTATGGTTGGTTATTCTTATGAGTTCAAGAAGTCTTTCAGAGGAAAATCTGAAACTAGGGGAAAATAATCTACAGATTACAGCAACAAGAGTATTTGGATGTAAATGAGGATTCCTCCCCAGCGTCTCCATGGCGACGCTCATGGATGTAAATGCTGTTTCAGGCCCTGAAGGTCCGCCAGGCTGACGTCACCAGAGAGACTGTTCAGAAGAGCGTCTGCGTCCTCAGCCGGGTGGTGAGTCACAGGAGCAGGAAGTAAACAAACAAACAAACGTGTAGATTTTAGTTTTGCTTAAAGAGTCTGAAGCATCAGCACACAAACATGTTTTTATTTACCACATCTTCTCCACTGAAGCTCTATCTGTGAGGGTTCTGCTGCTCATCAACGGGAAGCGTGGTTTATTATCCGTGTTTTCCTCCTCAGCCTCTCTACGGCTTACTTCAGGCTAAGCTGCAGCTCATCACTCACGCCTACTTCGAGGAGAAGGACTTCTCGCAGATCTCCATCCTGAAGGTGAGGGAGCTTCCTGACCCAGATCTGGCCCAGATCATGCCCTGCAGGTGTTTCACTTCCTGTTTCTGCTGCAGGAGCTTTACGACCACATGAACGGCTCCCTCGCGGGTTCGGCTCTGGACGGGTCGCAGGTTTATCTCGGTACGTTTTTTTTTTTTTTGTCTCTCGAAGCTGAAAACCTAAAGCAAACTCTTCATTCCGCAAGTTTTTTTCCTTTCAGGGTTATCGCCGAGAGATCTGATCCTGCACTTCAGGCACAAGGTTGAAAACGAATGATTTAAAATAGAAAATATCTGGTTTAATTATGAGTGTTTGTACTGAACCAGTGCTCTTTTGCTTTTGAAGGTTCTCCTCCTGTTTAAACTCATCCTGCTGGAGAAGAAGGTGAACCTCCAAACTAAAACGTGACTTCTTGTCCCCGTCGTAGCTGAAGGTTCACCGTATGACTCGTTTGTTGGCAGGTCTTGTTCTACGTGTCTCCTGTCAACAGACTGGTGGGCGCTCTGATGACGGTTCTGTCACTGTTCCCAGGTCAGTAACGGCCTCGGAGAACCGGGATGGCTCGGATTAATCAGAATGTTTGTCTTCACGAGGAGAGTTTAGGTGAAACTGCCTCTCGGTCAGCAGAAACATTCTGTTTTCCTGAAGTTTGGTTTATTTCTGTTGGGCTTAGTTTAGAAAAACAGATTAGTCGAAGTATTTTTAGTTTACACAGATTGTTAAACAGCGTTGGGACAGAACGGAGGTTCAGCACTGGACCTATTATTTTAATTTGTTCACTTTATGAAAATAATTTTCTGATTTATTGTAAAAATGGTTTGTTGGTGAATGGTTTGAAGAATCTGAAGGTGCTTTATTATAAAACAGAAACTAATGGAATAAAAGTGTCAAACTCTATAGAATAATATTGGACAGCAGTTCCAGTAGGTGATGTTTAAAGGTCACACAGATGACCTGCGTCGGTCTGAAACACCTGCAGCAGGTGTTACTGAGAACGTTTAAAACGAGGAAGAAAAGGAAGTGACGGGTTTGTTTCAGGGATGATGGAGCACGGCCTGGTGGACTCGTCCCATTACAGACCCAAGAGCAGCATGTCGGAGGACCTGGGTCTGGTGGACAGCTCTGGAGCGGAGGAGTTCATCACCGTCTCCGTCACCGACATCGCCGCCTCCAACCTGGAGCTGGAGGGGGTGGAGTCAACTCAACCCGCTGTCGAGTCTCTGTCCTCTGGGACCAGCACAGAGGGGGACAACCACTACCTCAAACCCCCCTCGCGCACGTCCCCAGGGTCCTCTGAGAGCGACTGGGAGACCCTGGATCCCAGCGTGTTGGAGGAGGGAGTTCCAAAGGAGGTGGCTGATGTGGCGGCGGAGCTACCGGACACCTTTGAGCCCAATCCAGAAATGCCCATAACCGTCCAGCCGCAGGCCGTCAGCGGTCAGGGAGGGGTGACCCAGGGTCTGGTGTCGGGTTTGGAGGAGGATCAGTACGGCATGCCGCTCGCCATCTTCACCAAGGTAACAACTAATAGTAATAAAGTTCCTAAAAGCTGTAAAACTCTCAAATCTCAGATCCATGTTGGATCTGGTCTCAGATCTGGAATCTGGTCTCAGATCTGGGATCTGGTCTCAGGTTTGATCTGGGATCTGGTCTCAGGTCTGTTTTGGGATCTGGTCTCGGATCTTTGGATCTGATCTCAGATCTGGGATCTGGTCTCGGATCTTTGGATCTGATCTCAGATCTGTTTTGGGATCTGGTCTCAGATCTGGTCTCAGGTCTCAGATCTGGAATCTGGTCTCAGGTCTGTTTTGGGATCTGGTCTCGGATCTTTGGATCTGATCTCAGATCTGGGATCTGGTCTCGGATCTTTGGATCTGATCTCAGATCTGCTTTGGGATCTGGTCTCAGATCTGGGATCTGGGATCTGGTCTCAGATCTGGGATCTGGTCTCAGGTCTGATCTGGGATCAGCCCAGCCAGGTCAGCTCTTGTGAACTCAGCAGCCGTTGTCTCCTGTTGCCAGGGTTACCTGTGCCTGCCTTACATGGCTTTGCAGCAGCATCACCTCCTGTCGGACGTGACCGTGCGAGGCTTCGTTGCCGGGGCGACTAACATCCTGTTCCGGCAGCAGCGGCACCTCAGCAATGCTGTGGTTGAAGTAAGTCTGGGGTAGCGATGTTATTCCAAAGGGGAGGAGCTTGGAATTAAATGTTGATCCTGCTGCAGGTGGAAGAAGCTCGGGTCCAGATCCAGGACCCCGAGCTCCGAAAGATCCTGTGCTTGACCACAGCCGACCTGCGCTTTGCGGATTACCTGGTGAAACACGTAACCGAGAACCGGGACGACGTGTTCCTGGACGGGACGGGATGGGAGGGCGGAGATGAGTGGATCAGAGCCCAGTTCACCCTCTACCTGCACTCCCTGCTGTCGTCTGCGTTACAGGAAGGTAGGAGATCCAAGAGCAGAGAAGAAAACAACTCATATTAGGCGTGTACCACCTCAGCTGTAGTTTTAGGGTTAGACTCACACCTGGAATGTTGGGACGGTTCACAGCTGGAATGAGAGTCGGCTTTTCCGAGCTTAGACCACAGTAAAGAGGTTCCCTAGTTGGGGAAGATCTTGGTAGACGTTCCAACAGATCAGGGCATCATCTTCAGAAATGACTGTGCTGATTCTGTCTGCTGTGGTGAAACGGAGCTGAGATCTCCTCATCTCCTCCTGGTTTTCCTCCCTCTGGAGGTTTCCTGGACTAGGAGGAGACCGAAGACTCGCTGGAGGGATTAAATCAGCTTTCTGTCCAGGGAACATCTGGGATTCCTCCAGGATGAGCTGGAGAGTCTCTGGGAAGAGGGAAGTCTGGGTTTTCCTCCCTGACCCATCCCTAAATAAACACACTACTCTACTTCCTGTCTTGTGTTTAACTCCAGATAACGAGAGGCTTCTGGCGGATTATGGAGCTCCTTTCGTCTCAGCCTGGAAAATCACCCACAACTACCGAGTTTGGTTCAGCAACAAGCATCCAGGCATGACCGTCATCACTCCAGGGTGGGGGGGCTTCCTTTTCTCTCTAAACTACATGGAGGAGTTGGGTTAGAGACCTGGTTGCTGACTCGTTTAGTGACCTGGTTAGTGACCCGCGTGTCTTCTCTGTTGCAGCCACCCGTTCCAGGGCCAGTACGGCGTGGCTGATGTGAAACTCCGACTCTCACAGTGAGTGCTACATCAGGGTAACCGCCCTCCTCTGGGCGGTTCCTTCTAAACGCAGCTCTGCTGCCCTCTAGTGGCCACGATGTGAAACAACAGCTCAAATCCAGGAAACTTTCTGTTTTATCTTGAAAACTTTGTAACTTACCACAAATCTTTAAACAAACAAACAAACATTATTTTGTGATTTTAATTTGTTCAAATACAAAATAAAATAAGCAGAAAGTCTGCAAACATAAACAATGCTGGATAGTAACGCAGAAATTCACCCGAACAAAGCAGCAATACAATATTTACTCTGTTAAAAATATAAACCAAATTCTGTTATACAAATAAAAATATGAATCTCATAATATCTAAATAAAAATGGAAATTATTTCCTAAATGAGATAAATATACCACAGATCACAGAGATGTGCAGGCCACTTTATTAGGTACATCTGTTTAATTGCTCTGTGCATTTAGTCGTTTGAAGTTCTGAGCATCAGAAAGAGGATGTAAGGGACACTGATCTGATTGGTTCAGAATCTGCTGATGTGCTGGGAGTTGAACCCACAACCACCTCTGTGGTCTGCAGAGACTGGCTCCAGGCTTCCTACCAAGCTCTGCAGAAACCAGCTGCTCCACGTAAACTCCAGCAGCAGAGATCACAGCAGGTGTCTGGCCGGCTCTGGCGTTTTCGTTGCTTTGATGCGTCTCTTTAAAACTCTGCTGATGGGATTTCCTACCCAGCTGTTGGTAAAAGCTGCAAGGAGCCCCTCACTCCACTCTAGTCGCAGGGCGGGGGTTTGCCGTGAGGACGAGGGGCTCCTAACGGCCAGAGTCATTAATAATGTGTGAGTTTCATTCTGAAAAACGGAGCTGGAAACTCCATCGGCCTCAGATCCGTTATCATTCTGGGAAGCGGGGATGAAAGCCGACTCCGTCCACAGCTGGAGCGCCGCTCCTAGAGTTACGCCCCCGAACGGAGAGCACCGTGCCCCCCTTCGGGTCACTTCACCGGGCTCTGGCTTTACGTTCAGGTGTCAGGTGTCAGCGCCGGCCTAAAGCTCCAGTAAACAAACAACCCAGCTGCTCCACATCGGAATCAAACACCAGACGTTCAGCTGGTTTAGTAAATTATTCATGAAGATCAACTTCAATTCTTCAGTAACTTAATTGATTGAACAAACTTTGCTCTTTATTATCTTTGTCTTCGTCTTCGTCTTCCTCCGCTTATCCGGGTCCGGGTCGCGGGGGCAGCATCCCAATTAGGGAGCTCCAGGCCGTCCTCTCCCTCTTTATTATCAGGATTATAAATAAAGTGGACAGCTGAGCGTCCCTCTGGGCTAAAACGAGCTGTGTGGTCCCACTTCCCGCTGCTCTCCGGTAACTTTGGGAATTCTGTGTCATCGTTGGTTCATCCTGAAGTTCCGCACGGGAACGTGAGAGTCCGCCTAAACACCCGGCAGCGTGTCACCAGAACTGGTTTCAGATGGGAAAACTCGATCCTGAACTAGTTTATGAATCCTCAGATTCACTTATTCAAGAAAGATTTTGCTGCATTTTTAGTTTTTAAATGTTTTATTTTAAATTAAAACAAACAAATTCAAGCAAAACAACATGAAAATCCCACAGAAGTCTCGGCACGTTACGGTTATCGACCTAAAATGTTTTGTAGTTATGAGTCACAACTATTATTGTTAGTGTTATTTACTTTTAAATATATTAAGACCTCTTTAAAATGTCATTTCAAGAAAAAAGTCCAATTCAACTTACGGTTATAAGAAGTCCCACTGGATCCTGCAGCCGGTGAGGACTGGGAATGCTGGTTTTGACCACGACCCTGCAGCCGGGCTTTCCTCCTGGACTTGGACCTGTGGTGCTGGTCAAAACTCCAACATCCGTGTTTGTTATAAAAACCGTAGAACGGTAATTCTACGTCTAATTAGACTTTTGCTGCAGGTGAAAAACTTTTCTCGTCTCGTCTCTCGTCGTCTCGTCTTCCTCCGCTTATCCGGGTCCGGGTCGCGGGGGCAGCATCCCAACTAGGGAGCTCCAGGCCGTCCTCTCCCCGGCCACCTCCACCAGCTCCTCCGGCAGGACCCCAAGGCGTTCCCGGACCAGATTGGAGATGTAACCTCTCCAACGTGTCCTGGGTCGACCCGGGGGCCTTCTGCCGGCAGGACATGCCCGAAACACCTCCCCGGGGAGGCGTCCAGGAGGCATCCTGACCAGATGCCCAAACCACCTCAACTGGCTCCTTTCGATCCGGAGGAGCAGCGGTTCTACTCCGAGTCCCTCCCGAATGTCCGAGCTCCTCACCCTATCTCTAAGGCTGAGCCCGGCCACCCTACGGAGGAAACTCATTTCGGCCGCTTGTATCCGCGATCTCGTTCTTTCGGTCATTACCCAAAGCTCATGACCATAGGTGAGGATTGGGACGTAGATCGACCGGTAAATCGAGAGCCTGGCTTTCTGGCTCAGCTCCCTCTTCCCCACGACAGATCGGCTCAGCGTCCGCATCACTGCAGATGCCGAACCAATCCGCCTGTCGATCTCCCGATCCCTCCTACCCTCACTCGTGAACAAGACCCCGAGATACTTAAACTCCTCCACTTGAGGTAGGACCTCTCCCCCGACCCGGAGGTGGCAAGCCACCCTTTTCCGGTCGAAAAACTTTTCTGTAAAACAGAAACTTCAGAAACGTTAAAGCTGCAGCCAGTGGCTCATCGGGGTCACCATGGTAATCTCCAGTGGTTTGTTACCGCAGTGACTTCTAGTAACTCATTTGGGTCACCATAGAAACCATAAATAACTCATTTGGGTCGCCATGGTATCCGCCAGTGGTACTATAAAGCCGAGGGCGGGGCTTCCACACCTGGTTTTAGTTACAGGTATGTTTCGACAGCGGTGCCGTGTGAGAGAAATGAGAAAGGATATTTTCTAAACCCCACATTGGGCCTGGGAAAGCTTCCTGAGAGAGCACAACCTCTCTGTTGAGTTATCTCAGACTACCTTGAAATGTAGCTCTTCCTGTTTTCCTGTTTGGGTCGACTTGGAGAGCTTGTAAACGTGGAATCCGAGCCTGGATGGCGTAGGGAGAAGGTCTGGAGGAGGGTAGATGAGGAGGTAAAAGCCGAGTCTGTCCTCTCTCAGCTCATCACAGAAACCAGAGCCAGCCCCGTCGGCGAGCGGCGCCGACACCAGGCCGGCCCTCGTCATCGGCGCGGGCCGAGGAGCAGCTGGTGGCAGAGATGTTTTTAGGAAGCTGGGTCACGTGACGCGGCGCGCCGCCACAGGCGAACACACGCTGTGGTTCTTTATTGTCAGGGCACCGCATCACGCTGCATAAGGAGATGTTTATTTGGGTCAGCCAGCTGGACCCGCTGCTCCTCTGACTCACTTCCCTCTCGGAGACCAACACAAAGTTAAAATGGATTCCTGCTGTCGGGAATGACCGTCTGCAGCCGGGAATCCCGCAGGATTCACGTCTCTTTACCTTACATGTTATGGTTCTCGGTGTTAGTTTGACCTAAATGGTTCATTTTCACTCATTTGACCAGAAATGCAGTGAAAAAACAAACAAGAGTGCCCCATTAACCTTTTCAGTCTTGTATTCAAAGATCTCAGCGTGTTCGTTCTTAGGTGGGTGAGTGTTACTCGGGCTAGCTCAGAACAAAAAACAAACATCTAAACTCCTGTTGGAGTAACAAGAGGTCAGAGGTCAGGATGGGTGGAGCCTGTGGTTCTGCATCTCCTGCTGTAAATGTTAAACCCCAGCGCCTGGTTTTGGTTTAATACTTTTAAATGTCTAACTGGATTAACTTCAGTCAGTCCCATTAAAGATGGCCGCCAAAGCGCATCTACACAAAAATGGTCGTAGCTCAGTCGGTTTTAGCCATGGAGCTAGACGTTGGTGTCGTAGTTACCGAGAGTCGTTGACACCAGATCACACAAAACGGTTTTTATTTCACTGAAATATCTCATCTCAGTGATGCGGGCGTTGCACCGGTCTGTCGTGGTGAAGAAGAGCTGAGTCAGAAGGTGAAGCTCTCGATTTACCGCTCATCTACCGTCCTACCCTCACCTATGGTCACGAGCTTTGGGTAGTGACCAAACGAACGAGATCGCGGATACCAAAATGAGTTTCCTCTGCAGGGTGGCCGGGCTCTCCCTTAGAGATAGGGTGAGAAGCTTAGTCATCTGGGAGGGGCTCGGAGTAGACCCGCTGCTCCTCCACGTCGAGAGGAGCCAGTTGAGGTGGCTCGGGCATCTGGTCAGGATGCCTCCTGGACGCCTCACTGGTGAGGTTTTCCGGGCACGTCCAACCGGGAGGAGACCTAAAGGTAGACCCAGGACACGCTGGAGGGACTATGTCTCTCAGCTGGCCAGGGAACGCCTTGGGATTCCCCCGGAGGAGCTGGCCCAATTGGCTGGGGAGAGGGAAGTCTGGGCCCCTCGCCTTAGGCTACTGCCCCCATGCCCCGACTCTGGATAAGCGGATGAAAATGGATGGATGGGTGAAATATCGTAGAATGATGTCATTTCTAGACCGTTGCCAGAGCAGATTTCCTCTACATGGAGTGAGGTCCTCCTCCGGTTGGCTAGTTAATCAGAAAAGGTCTTTAATAGTTTTGTGTTCTGTGCTCGGAGCAAATATGTGCTTTAAAATCTGATCATTATGACCTGAAGAGTAAAAATCTAAGCAGTAACCGGGCCTGCTGCATGAAGATGTTTCACCTCTTAAGCCTAATTCAGAGACAGTCTTCTGGTCTGTGGTAAAACCAACATGAACCCAGGAGGAGATGAAACATCAGCCTTCTGTCGCTGGTTTACAGGAAGTTTCTGAGTAAATCTTTTCATTCTGCAGCTCGGTGCAGAACAGCGAGCGAGGGAAGAAGATCGGGAACGCCATGATGACGACCAGCCGCAGCATGGTCCAGACCGGAAAGATCGTGGGTACGGAGCCTCCGAGCGCCGGCATGGCCGAGGCGTTCGTCCAAACGTCGTCAGTGCAACTAAACCTGTCTGTGTCTGCTCCCAGGTCAGTCAGTGGGCGGAGCCCTGACCAGCGCAAAGTCAGCCATGTCCTCCTGGTTCTCCACGCTCGCTCAGCCCGCACCACCCGCCGCCTCCGGCCCAGAGCCCGTCGCCGAGGTGAAACCGTAACCCTCTGGCGCCGTAGCCTCTGGGTCAGCTGCTTCCGTTACCATGTGAGCAGAAAAACTATCACGTTTCCTCAAATTCAGATGGAAGCCTAAACCCAAAACCACGGCGGGCTCTGACCTTTGACCTTCGGCTGGAGATTCAACCGAATACCTGAACGGTCCACAGTCACTGTGAGGTGGAAGCTGCCACTGCTTTTGATCAGAACCACAAAACTCGGACCACCTGTTTCTGTCTCTGAACACTTCCCTGAGGCGTGAGCGACGCTGTTTGGGTCCGCAGCGTTTACGCGTCGCTGCGTTTCATTCCGTTTGTCCAAAACTGTAAACCGTGTCGAAAACGCCAGGATGTCCTCGGAAACGAGAGCCGACGCGTCCTAAAGACGATCAGGTTTTAGACTCGCTCGTGTTCTTCTGTAGTAACATTTTGGTTGTTTGGGTTTCATTTAGCAACCATCGAGGGACGGTACGGAAACACGGAGTTGGTAGTCATAAATATTTATTTTTTTTATATTAGTGCGAGCATGTTGCCATCACTGATAGAAATCAAGTCAAAAATACCACAGAAGCAGAAAAATTCAGGCTAATTATACAAAAGAAATTATTTTTCTGGGAACAATAAACAAATTTCTATTTTTATAAATGAAGCTAACAGCTAACGAGATCAGGAACACAACGAAGTGCTCAGACGCTTCCGTAACGGGAAAACTGTTATTTAAACATAAAGTCTGTAGTTCCAACAGAGCAGCTAACATCAGATCCTTGTGGTTTAGTCACGCAGATGCTAACAGACTCACGTTTTAGCTAACGGTAGTTATTTCAACTTCATGTATGACCGTGTTGTAAGTTTCCGTCCTTTAACTATAACTTATATGGTATCTTCAGAGTACTTTATTATAAATTAGCATTTTGGTGTTAATAGAAAATCATTAACAGAATAAATTTTAGCAAGTTTTTTACGGTCTTATCAAATACTCGACCACAGATTTATTTAATGCCTCAGTAGTTTTAAAACAACCTCCTGAACTGTGATGATGAACAGAAACGTACGGAAGACCTTTATTCCCAAATCTGTAAACATTTAACAGCTTATTAAAGCTTATTTTTAAAATCTGATCATTTTAGATTAGTATTAAAGCTGAAAGGGATCAACACACACGCACACACACACACACACACACGCACATACATGCATACACACACACACACACACACACACACACACATACACGCATACACACACACACACACACACACACGCATACACACACACGCACACACACGCACACACACACGCACACACACATACGCACACATACACACACACGCACACACACGCTACATTCAGTCTTAATAGATAATTAAAGCGATCTTTCTTAAAGTCTTGAGTGTGTTTGTGTGGAAAGTCAGAAGCATTTACTAAACTAGCTTCCTGAACAGCGTCTATTCAGAGAAATAGTTTACTTCCTTCATGGCTGATAAGCTAACAGCTAGTCCAGGAACAAATTATTCTGCTGTTGTCCTAAAACGGCTCAGATCTCCTAAATTTCGTACAAAGTTATTTTATGAACTAAGTCGACTGGAGCTGGAACACGTTGCTCCTGGCTGCACCACGACTAGCCATTAGCCTATCAATCCTGAAGACCGTAAACCCTATTTCTCTGAACAAAGGCCATGTAGGAAGGAGTCGACCAGTTTAGATATTATTTCTAACACGCTTTAGAAACGTCTCTTTGGACGTGATGTCTCCGCCGCGCCGGCGTCCTGAAGCCACCAGCGTGTTACTACAGAAATCCTCCTGAACCAAAATACTCGCCTGAGCTGCAGGGCGTCCGTAACCGTCCTCCAGGCTCTTTGTACTTCGGTGTTGTGTATAAATACATATATATTCATATATATTTGAAGAACTACATTTATTAAAGCCGAACCAGTCTGAAGTAATTTATTGTGTGATGTCCGTGTTTTGTCCGACCACACCGGAAAAGTGGACCTGTGCGTTTATTTGCACAAAGCGGTGGTTTGGTTCTCTGGATCTGGTGTTTCTGAACCTTTGAGCTGCTAACCGGGTCTGTCCGCTCCTCGAGCGTCGGATTAAATGTGTTCCCGCTCGCTCGCTCTGTCCTCTAAGCTTTCCGTCCGAGTGTTTGTTTTTAAGTGTTTGCGTCGTTTAGTCTTTGAGCCGTTTCTGGATTCTGAATCAAGTACGATAAGTTTTTATTTTTTAATTATCTGATGATTTATGTTGATTTTATATTTAATGAATGTTTGGTGAACCACGTTTTACCGTTATTTTCCTCAGATGCTTTTACTGTACTGGAGAAGGAAGTGATGTGTTGCTGTAATGAAAATAAATAAAACTGCACTTTTATTTTTGGTAGCAGTGGTGTTGTGTCCGTCTGGTGTGATGGTGAGCAGCTTGACAAAAGCACTTCCCTGACAGGAAGTCGTGACCCTGCTGACCTCGGCGAACCGCCAGGGTTCAAACAAATCACTGCAGGGTGAAAAACGCTGGAAATGCTTCTGAAATGCTGAAAACTGTTAGATCTGTTGAACAAAAGACACAAATAAAAGGTAATGCGTGAAGTTTTCTTAGGCTAATTTAATTTTATCTGTATGAAAATGTTAGCATTTTGAGAAAATATGTATTTAATATCTTAACATAAAATGTTAAAGAGCAAGTCACCCCTCGCCAGTCTTACTCCACTCCCACTTCCTGTTTGAAAAATGCAACAAATGCTGTTGCCTAGCAGACCGAGAAGGCGGAGCCGCTAACACACACACAGGCTCACAATGACATTGTGACATCATATGGTACCAGCTAACGTTCTAGGGTACCTCTTAGCCAATAGCGATGGCAGATTTAAATTCAAATGCAGTGCAGTTTTTACCTGACGACGGCACAACCCTGACAGTTTTATGAGCTCCACACGGGAGGCGACATCGCCTCTCCTCCATTCATTTTCAATGAAACATGCGCGACAAAGCGATAATCGCGGGTCTCCCTCCTACCAAGCGAAACGCGAAAAACGTGCGTGTGAAATGTTGCGCTCGTGCACGTGTCGTGCACAGGCGACCCGGCGACACGATCCCAGAAAGTTGAAACATTTTCAACTTTTCGTTGCTGTCGCTCGGACGAGGACCAATCAACGGAGGTTTCATTCACTGACCAATGAGCGGACAGGATGCTCCGTAGACCTCCGAGCAAACATGGAGGAGAAGTTGATTATTATTATGTTTTATAGTAAAATCAGAAGTAAGATTTCACATAACTCTAGCAGCACCTTGTGAAACATCATATCTACCACTTTTTAAACTCTGAACCGCTTAAATAACCTTAATTCCCTCCAACCTGACACAGCCAATCAAAACAACAGAAGATTCGATTTCGCCGTGGAACAGAACGCGTCGACGGCTTTGCCGCTGCCGCGGGTCGCCTCCCGTGTGTCGGGTAATAAAAGCGACAGCGACGAATTTCGCTGATCGCGGTCGTTTGTCGCCTCCCGTGTGTCGAGCCCTTTAGGCAGATTAAAATTTTAACTAAGATGCACTAAAGTGCCAAACTGTTGACTACACACGTCTACAGCACGATTAGACACGCATTTATAGTTTATTAGAGAACATAAGTTGGCTTGGGGGTGACTTGCTCTTTAACAGAATAAATGAAGATAAAGCCCAGCTCTGGCTTGGTGGAACCACTTGTACCAGGTTAACTTGGCTCTGGTTTAAACCAAGTCTCCTCTGACACGTGACCTTTGTTTTTACTAGAACTGAAGCAAAGACTCGGGAAGTCGGATTCGACACCGCGGTAACGTTCTACGGTAAGGTGGCGTTTCCTGAGCCGTGACTCGGGGTTTATTTAAAACGCTGAACTTTACAAAAAAAACTCAAAGGTACATATAAAAACAGCAGCAGCACAAAGCGAACACCCACGAGTCCATTTCAGAACGTTTTTGGTACGTTTTTTAATAAATTAACGTTCATCCAAAATACAGTGCCAAAGGAAAATGATGCAGCCAAACATGCTAGTTACGGTTTGTCATGAAGCACCCGTGCTCCTGTTTTTAAAGTTGGAGAGGAAGAGCCCCCTCCCCACTGACTACAGAGGTTGCTGGGATGATTCCCAAACCCTGGACCCGCCCTCACGTCTCTGAACCAATCAGCAGCAAGGATTTCTCTGCATTTACTCAGAAAGACATCCTGGGATAAGAAAGATGGAGATCTACGCACAATCACACTACAGTAAAGTCTGGTATTAAATAAAAAAGACACTAATACAAAATAGACCTGGTTATTTCCACCTCCACACTAGAACAGCTGTCTTTAAACATATGAAAAATATATATTTTAGATTTATATATTTCAGCAGCTTAGAAATAAAAAATGCATGAGCCCAGAGCCGGTTTGTACTGCGAGTCGAGGAAAGGAAGTGTCGTGGCCACGTGACGATGGACACACTGAGGTGTAAACTGCTGGTTGTGTGGAAGGCCTGTGTGCAGCAGACGCGGTAGACAGGGGGCGGGGCCAGGGTGGAGGGGCGGGGCATGAAGAGGCAACTGGACCTGCAGCTGCCCGGTTTCCCGCCGCTCGTCCTGAAACCACAGCTGCCCCTCCGCTCGTCTGCGAGGCCTTTAGAGGAAAATCATCCTGGGTTTAAAGGAACACTCTGCTGAAAATCAGGTCCTTCAGACAAGTCTTTTTTTAAACGGCCGCCATGGTGGTCGGGAGCAACTTTGGGATGAATCAGAATAAAAACTGAGACACTTTGAGAGGAAAACCTGGACTAGAGTCCCGGTGAGCTCTGAATCCCACCCCTACGCCCCGCCTCACCCGCCTGGGTCGTCCTGCAGACTTCGCCTGCTTTCCTTCATCTGTCTGAACTGATTTATAAAGTCTTTATGCTTAAAATCCCCCAAACTTAAACCGGTGGTTTAGATTTCATAGTTTTTAAAGACGTAACCCGATCCACACACAGAATCGGCGCTCTTCAGCTGTGATTCGGATGTTTCGCGACTAATCTGACGTCCGGTTAGAAAGTCGGCGTTAAATCACATTTATATTAGTTTGCATCGGGTCTCGGGTTTTAACCTGGAGAAGCGCAGAGGTTCGGTTTTCTGCAGAGTGTTTCTTCAGCGGTAACAACAGGAGGACGACGGGGGGCTGAGGAGCTGAAAGGCGGTCTGGTCTGGTGGTGGTGCGGGGTGGGGGGGGTTTGGTACAGTTGCCGTAATAACCAGATGATTTACCGGTTAAGTGCATCTTCATCATCATCCTCCTCACAATATTAGTTTGAGATCATCACAATGGAACCAGTTTGACGGATAACGTCCGACCTAACAGAAGTCACGACGGCAAAATGAAACAAACAGAACCAGAACGGTCAGATGATCGGAGGCATCGATTCAGTCCGAGTGTCTTAAAGTCCGGCCATCCCTCCCAAAACGACCCCCCCTTGTGTTCAGGCCTGGGTATTACAGACAGGTCAAAGGTCAGGGAGGGAGGCTGGGTTAGGAGCTATACATGAGGGAAGGTCACCAGCTCCCCGTCCACCTCGAACTCCTCGGCTCCGTCAAAGAGGTAGGTGGGGGGTTTCCACGGAGACTCCTCCAGACAGGAGGGGTACAGCTTCCCCACGGCGCAGCGGAAGTCCTTCCCCAGATCCCAGAGCACGCGTTCCGACACGGGCTGCCGCAGGTACCAGCGGTCCAGCTCCAAGTCGTACTGGTAGATGGCGTACTTGGGGCGCTCGTTCATGTGGGTTTCCCTGATGAAGATGCAGAGCGCGTTGAGCAACACCACGGCCCGCACGCACGGGTCCGAGTAGCGCTTGGCGGGGATGTTGGCGGCCCGACGCCACTCATTTTTGTTCACGTCGTAGATCTCCACGGTGACCGAGGAGCCGTCGATGGTGCTCGTCGGCATGCGGATGCCGGAGTTGCTGACCACGTGGAGGCCGCCGATGTAGAAGATGAGGTTGCCCAACGCGGCGGCGGAGGCGAAGCAGCGGCTGGTCTGACGCATGGCCATCTCCACCCAGGTGTCAGCTCGAGGGAAGTAGCAGTACATCAGGTCATGGGTCATCACGTAGATGCAGTCGTGCGCCACCACGGAGGTGCTCCAGTTCCAGGCAAAGGGCAGCGGGCTCATCATGGTCCACTCGTCCTTCTCGCAGTCGTAGCGCTCCACCGTGCGCTTGTTCAGCTCTCCTCCAAAGTTGTCCCCGCTGATTGCATAGATGAAGCCGTCGCAGTAGACCAGCGAGGGCTTGATGCGGGCGCACAGCATGGGGGTTTTGGGCACCCAGGCGTTCTGCTGGGCGTTGAACCAGAAAAAGCTATCGACCGAGCGGAACACGGCCTGCAGCTTGCAGCTCTTGCCGTGATTGGCGATGGAGTTCTTGAGTGAGATCTGCCCACCGGCGATGTACACGTCATTGTCTGGAGTGACGAGGGTTCCCACCTTCTGCAGGTCTCCTGGGGGGTTACACAGCTTGTACACCTTCTCCGCCTGCGGGCTGTAGCACACTATCGTCGTAGGAACGGCCGTAGACATGACTGGTCGCTCGCCCTGCGACTCTGGCATGGCCTCCATGAAGATGAGCATCTCCTCTTTGGTCATGCCCAACCGAGGCTTGAAGAACTTGGGCATGGACTTGTAGAGGCCCTGCACCACCACGGACTTGTCGTTGGGCGGCAGGCCCTGAAACCAGGCGCGCTGCGTCACCTCCGACAGCGCGTCGATGCGGATCTGACTGATGACGGAGGACAGGTGCTGCGAGCGAGCTTCCATGTTGTACTCCAACCACAGCATGGCCGCCTCGCGCACCGTCTCCTCCTTCTCCACGTTGAGGTTGTCGCTGCTGAGGATGTCGATCAGCAGCTCGTGGGAGAGCTGCAGGAAGGCCTCCTGGCGGTAGACTCGGGGGAACTTGTGCTCCACCATGCGCTTGGCGCTCTGCTTCAGCTCGCTGCAGCTGAAGAGGTCGCCGATGCTCAGCATGCGGACGCAGTTCTCAGCGTTTATCTTCTTCACCAGATAGTCTCTGCACTGCAGCAGGACGTCTTCCACCTGGCGGGACAGAGGAGTCAGAGTCAAACGCTTCTCAGTTTAAACAGAGACGGTTAAACAAGCTACATCAGCAGACCCGAACCGGACCGCCCCCCCGCCGTTTCCACTGACCTGGAGGAAGCAGGCCGTCTCGTAGAGCGGCTCCACCGTGCTGTCGCTGATGGCCAGGTTCCCCGTGTACGCGTAGGTGATGATGATCTTCAGCGTGGCGGGGTCTACGTTCCTCAGGTGGACGTGGGTCTGCTTGCTCTCACTGAGGCCGCTCATGAACATCGCCCTGCGGGACAAAGGCCACGATGAGGACGAGCCTCCACTGGACGTCGTCAAAATAAGAGCTTCATTTATGAAAAAGACCAAACTAGCAGTTTTGTCGGAAGAAACTCGTGAAATCACGACAGACGCCGATTCCAGCGTTAGTTCGGCTCCAAGGACTGTAAAAATGTTTGTGATTCTCCAATTTCTTTAGCAAAAGGCTACAAAACTGATCATTCACTCGTTTGAGTCATTTTTGGCTAAAACAAACTATTAAAGTCCCACGGTCTGCACTTCTGATTACGTTAAAGTTGTTTCATGGAAACAGCTCAAGGACAGAGACTGTAGAGCAAAAACTAAATCAGCTGGTGATCAGCAGCAGGCTGAGGGCGCCTGAACGCACCACGGCGTGTGTAAACCTAGCAGTCCTGCAGGATTACCCCCCCCCGCCCTGCGTGTGAGCGGAGAGGAAGTGTGTTTAGCGGAAGCACTGCTGCACCTCTCACCCCTGAGGGGGAGACGTTTGCGTGTTCACAGCTGATAAACACAGTGGGGGTGGGGGTGTGGAGCGTTTCTGAGACATGATGCAGCGAGCTTCAGAGCTGCAGCCCGCCTCTGTCACACTCGGGTTATTGTGCAACGCTGCGTATGAACGAGGCCTCCAGAGGAACACGTCTGTTAGTCATTACGTTATTCGTTTCTATCCGCTGTAACGGCGGGGGCAGAGCTGCCCTCGGGCTCTCGCCCAAACCTTTTCATCTCCTCTGGTAAGAAAAGGTCAGATGTGCTGAACGAGGAGGTGAGCTATCCATCCAGAATCTCTGACTTCCTTCGGCCCATCAACAACAAAAGCTTCCCGCGCGCGTTATTCCACACCGGCGGTGTCGCACACTCACCTGAAATAGGAGCTACACGTGGCCAGGACCATCTTGTGGCACGGGAACTCCGTGTCCTCCACCAGCAGCACCACATCTGTCAGTAACTTCTGTTCGTAGAAGAACTTGAGCTGCTCCAGCAGGGAGACAGCGTAGTCCGTGTTGACCGGCCTGCGCTCGCTAAGATCCGACATGGTCGCATCCCACGAATCGCGCCCCAGTTTTGAAAACTCACACGGCCGGCAGAACCGGACTCAAGTCAACCAGAAGAAAAAATATTCCTGAAGCAGACAGATGTGAGGGAGGTGGGGGGGGGGAGCGAGCAGCTCCTCAACACCTCCACCGGTCCGAGTGGAGGTGTTCAGCCCCGCTGACAGCTGAGCCCAGTGGGCCTGACGAATGTGTCACCCTGTCAGGAGTCCACGGGAAGAGGGGGGTCCGGGGTCAGGAAGGTTTCCTCTCGAGGGTCTGTCATCTGAAGTCATGCAGCGAGGCACCAGAGGTAGAACACGGTTACTACGGCAACAGCGTCACAGCAGTGCTCGTCTGGGAAAGAGAAACAGAAAAGAGGAGAGGTGAGTCTTCGGTTCATCCACATCTCACCTGCTGGCAAAAGGTGTACGAAAACAGGGCGTGTCTAATTTAGAACGGCCATTAACGAGGTGAGAAAACACATCCAATCAGAAACCACCACAAAGCCGGATTCATGTCAGAGTTTTAGGTTTAAACAGTCCTGATTAATCTTCTCCTGTTCTTACTCCCTACAAGGTTATTAATCTGTTTCTTCTTAGATTATTTTAAACTCAGATGACTCAAATATTCCTGATAAAACCCTTTTTTTGTTTTTCAAAGGCAGAAAAACTGGCATGGTGTGCTTACATCACCACATGAACACAGGAAAACTACAGAATTCCTCTAAAAGAGAGGAAAACCACCACTTCTGTTTCACTGTTCACATAAAACATGTCGTGGGACCTTTAATGCATCTTGAGTAGCAAAGAGCTGCCTTCCAGAATAAATACAAGCACAGAACCAGCGAGTAGCAGTACTCCAAAGACTGACTTCATTTTTCACAGATTTCTATAGATTTGGCTTTTATCACATTTAAATGTCCCAAATCAGCAGACAGAGATAACCTGAGTAAACACAAAACACTGTTTACTGTGGTGGGGGAGCTACTGAAACCAACCCTGCTCTGTTAGGAGGGATTCCCTGCCTAAACCGGGAATTAACTTTCATAATAAAACACATTAATGTCTAAACGCGCCTGATCACTACCAAACCTGCAGGATTACGTAATCACATCTTAGAAGCAATCTGACAACAGGAAGTGGGCTAAAAGATCTCACACACCGAGCCCCGTTCTGAATAAATCCAATAATAAAAGAGATCAGAACAACATCTAAGGAACCACAGGCCTCATTAGGCTGCAGTGAAGGTCAGAGGTCACTGAAGAGTCAGGGCTCAAACCTCCACTGGCCCAAAACAATGCAAAGATTCATCTCATATCATCATGAAACGGCTTCATGTTCCTGAGACGTTTGGGAAAGACATCAACATCAAAGCAACAGTTAAACACGGCGGAGGCAGTGTGATGGTCTGGACCTGCACTGGGATCTTTGTGGTCTCAAGCACACAGGTCTGGACTGGACCCAAATCCAAACGAGGTGCTAATGCATGACCAAAAAGTATTTACTGATCTGAAACAATAATGTGATTTTCACAGAGGCAAGTGACAAAAACCGAACCTTCACCTTAAAACGTGTTTAACACGTCATCATTAAGTGGCTACGAACAAAGCGTGCCATGTTTAAAATGAATAGGATTGTAATTTCTGATATATAAACCCGTTTTAAGGACGGGTGTTACTCCATGGTGCTTTGTTGAGGTTTAGTTGACGTGCTGCAGGTTCCATCCTCAGAACCATGATGGGTTTGGACCCAGGGCTGAACGAAAGATGACCAAACATCCTCCACCAAAGGCCAGGCATCAAACAGCACCTTCACCGAGACTGGTCTGTAGCAAACACCTCTCTTCCTGTAAACCAGCTGGTTTATCCCACAGAAACAGGATTAACGCGTTAACACTAGTTTTAGTTTACATTTTTCAACTAGCCTAATGCTAGTTAGCTACGTTAGCACGTTTGCGCTGCTCTCTCCGACAAACCACGTGTGCTGATTGGATTTAGGCAAAGTAACAGTAAACAAACGGACTCCTTCGGGATCTCAGCGGTTGTTTTCCTAACATCTGAAGATTTGTGTTGAATTAAGACGCACCAAACGGGGCGGATTCAAACCGCGGGCAGTTAGCAACTTTAGCTTCTGTTCTCCCCTCAGTTCCGGTGTAGATTAAGGTTTAACCGATGGGGTTAGCTAACTGGTTGACGGCTAGTAAACAGACTAACATCGTAACCTCAACGTGTTGATATTATCACAGAAAAGAACGACCTGATGGCAGAAACCTGAAGAGAGAGTCGGATGGTCATCAGCTGAGCTGGAAGGAGCTAAACGCACGACCAAACCGCTTCACCTGGTAAAATCCTGGGTTTTCTTACTCTGATGGTCGGCCGGTCCCACACTCCGAACCCACACGGTAGATTTTCTCGTCAGCAGGGCGTGTAAAGTAGGACTCTGAGGGGCTAAAGTGTTGTTTGTCAGAGCCGAGCTGCGTACGAAAACTATGAGCGCATCTAAGGCCAAATGAGGATACTGCGCATGCACGCAAACTCAATGACCCGAGCTGCTGGGTGGAGAAACAGCGACCTCTGCTGGCCAGAAGGTGACACGCAGCGCGGACAACAAAATTATTAGAAATAATTATAATCACCGAGTTTGTGCGTGCATTGTACTTAAAGAGCAAGTCACCCCCAAATCAACTTTTTTCCCCTGATGAGTGTCTAGTCATGCTGCAGACACGTGTAGTCAATAATTTGGCACTTTAGTGCATCTTAGTTAAAATTTAAATATTCTGCTTAAAACTATCAGTGTTGTGTAGTTGTCAGGTAAAAACCTGCACTACATTTGAATTTAAATCTGCTATCGCTATTGGCTAAGAGGTACACTATGACGTTAGCTGGGACATTATGATGTCACAATGTCGTTGTGAGCCTGCATGTGTGTGTATTTGTTAGTGGCTCCACCCTCTCAGTCTGCTAGGCAACAGCATTTGCGGCATCTTTCAAACAGGAAGTGGAACAGGAGTAAGACTCTGCTAGGGGGTGACTTGCTCTTTAAAGAGCAAGTCACACCAAATAAACATTTTTTTGCTGATAAACTACATAAACGAGTGTCTAGTCATGCTGCAGACGCGTGTAGTCAATAATTTGGCACTTTAGTGCATCTTAGTTAAAATTTAAATATTCTGCCTAAAACTGGCAGTGTTGTGCCGTTGTCAGGTAAAAACTCTGCACTGTATTTTAATTTAAATCTTCCACCGCTATTGGCTAAGAAGTATGCTATGATGTAAACTGGTACATTATGATGTCACAATGCTGTCGTGAGCCTGTGTGTGTGTGTGCATTTGTTAGCAGCTCCGCCTTCTCGGCCTGCCAGGCAACGGCATTTGTTGCATTTTTCAAACATGAAGTGAGAGTGGAGTTAGACTCTGGTAGGGGTTGACTTGCTCTTTAAATACTATATAGAAAAATAGAAATATATTGTTACACTTTAAATGTCAGATGATGCATTCAATAAAGCAGAGAGCAATGAGGTTCATCCTGAGAGCTGCATGAGCTTTTGCTTGCTGTACATTTAGAATTCCACATTACTATTTGGGACCCCATACACTTTAAAACATGCTTTTGAATAAAAGAGTTAAAAAAGTAAAATATTAAATTTCTCTAATAAACTGAGAACAGATTCCTGCTACACAGAATAAACAGGAAAGACCCACGTCCTCAAATCAACATGCATTGTCACAGGAAGGATCCTTTAGAAATAAATCAACATATTTCTTAAGTTTATAACTCTAACTACTACATTTTTGAGCTGGAAATTATTTATTTCGTTTATTATGGAGTGTATGCTATTATTTCTTATGTTAAAGGTGTAGCTATGGAAACAACTAAAACATGCAAATTATGTAGCTATCATAATCTTTAAATCCTATATAAAGTCATCTTTTTTGTATTTTCCTTTTAAAATGTCCTATAATAAAAGGATGTTCTCGTTACTTTGATTGTTTCCCCTGAGACCAGGTGTTGGTCCGAACACACCGGAAGTGCGCAGCCGCACCTGTTTCTTATAGCGGTGATTAATTGCGGCGCTTCGCCTTGAATCTGTAGAAACGTGCCGCGGAGCCGAGAGCGACGCGTTTCTATTTCTGCTTGTAACAAAGTATTTGATGAAATAAGTGTGTTTTATTTCCGACGGCCTGAGAGGACGCTACAGAAAATGGACGGTAAAGATGAACTCATGTACCCATCCTGGCTGCATTCCGACAGAAGACGGGTTGACTCTGATACTGAACCATTTCCTGCAGATTCAGGCAAACCGCCACACTCGTTTGAGAACGGAGCGCAGAGGAGTCCCCACACCAGACCCTTCTTTTACGTCCAGCCTCCCTCCCAGCCCTACTACCTGTACCAGCACTGGCAGCTCAACAACCCCTACGGTCACTTCGGTCTGCCCGCAGGTGGGTGTCAGACCAACTGTGTAATACATCCCAGCTACATGGAATGGCATCAGATGTAGAGGGTTTGAAACTAAAATGCTAATTCAGACAGTAGCCTATCAAAAAAGCAGGACTATGTTTGTGTTTATTCATTTAGGAGACGCTTTTATCCAAAGCAACTTACAATTTATAACCTATAGGGCATGTTGTGATCCTTTATTGGAGCAGGGTGGGCAACTCTAGTCCTCTAGGGCTGCTATCCAGCATGTTTTAGTTAATAATAATAATAATAATGCATTGAACTTATATAGCGCTTTTCTTGACACCCAAAGACGCTTTCACACACTCTCACATTCACAAACTGCCAATGATGGTAAGCTACTTGTAGCCACAGCCGCCCTGGGGAGGTCTGACCGAGGCGAGGCTGCCATTTGGCGCCGTCGGCCCCTCTGACCACCACTAACACAGGCAAGTTGGGTGAAGTGTCTTGCCCAAGGACACAACAGCAGGATACCCCTGGCGGGAGCTGGAATCGAACCCATGACCCTCCGATCATGAGGCAACCCGCTCTACCACCTGAGCTACTGCTGCCCAAGTTGTTTCCCAGTTCCAGCTCGATGGTTGCATCACCCGTTCAGCAGCTCTGTAGAAGCCTTTCCATGATCTGCTGATTAAAATCAGGTGTGTTAAAGCAGGGAAACAACTAAAACACTCTGGATTGTGCCCCGGACCAGGATTGCACATCCCTGAGGTATAAGTCAGTTTAACCCTGACTTGTTAACTCTGCACAGAGAACCCTGACTGGAACACGGGTCATTATTCAGAGAGGATGAAGCCAAATGGTTGAAGGAATCAACCATCTAACCATCTTTTAGATCGGAGATCTTCTCACCTACTTTTAGTTTGGAAGGTATCTTCTGACAGTTGGCTAAACGCGTTTGCTAAATATTTAGTTTTAAGCTGACACGTTGCTAGTTGGACTAAGTTAAATATGAGGTTACTTTGTGACCCGTTTACAGGTTTTAACTTTGGCCGTCCCTGCATGCATCCATACCCCTACGCACCGTATCCTGGCTTTGTTTTACCAAATGCTCCGTTGTACCCTATGGGCTACCGGCGGATGTTGGAGCCTCGTTTCCAAGCTTCTCCCTGGGGTGATGTGCCTCATCAGCACCATCATCATCCTCCTCCTCCTCCTCCTCCACAGCCACACGGACGTAGGGAAACGACTTGTTCAGGGGCTCAAACTGACCCCAGTGATGCCATAACCAAGCTCATCGAGTGCTTGGATAAAATCCGAGCTACGGAGCTGCAGAACGCCAACAGAGAGCTCGACTCTGGCATTGCTTCACAGTCCTCGGGAGTGTTTTCTCCTGGGGAAGAGAAGAAAACGGAAGAGCAGAGCCACGCCGTTCCTTCAGCGCCTCTCGATCGGGAGTCGTCGGCTGTGACCTCGAGTGAGTCCACGGTTTACAACAAGTCTAGAGAAATGATTTTAGACCCCCTGAACCCTCAGGGATGGGCTGGAAGGCTGGAGGAGGAACTGCCTCTAGATAGCTCATCCATCCAGGAAGAGTCTCCTGAGCCCTCAACATCAAATGTACAGTATGTCTCGCTTGAGAAAGAAGAGGTCGTGGATATCCGAACAAGTATCTCAATGACCGACTCAAGTGTCCATAGATTTGATGCCGAGGAGCACCGGAAGTCCTTTTCCTCTCCGTTGTTTGCCTCCAGTCAGCTGGCACAAAATGAGTCTAAAAGCTGTGAGGAAGTCTCGAAGCTAGAAGATCTGGTAGCATGTTGTGGCGAACCCAAACCTGTGGAGTCCTACCAGATTCTCAAACTGCCCTTTGATGGTGTATTATCACCTGGAGCTCGACACCTCTCCTCTCCAGGACCGCCTTACCACTACAGCTACCTCCCCATGCAGACCACGCATGAACGCATGAGCGTACTCAGCCCATCCTTAGATGAGCTGTCCTCCAGGGACGAGATGTTCTCCACAGATCTGGATGATGTGGATCTCTTTCCCAGCCACGTGTACGCCAGCAGGAGGCTCACTGAAGTAGTCACCGGATCCCCTCGAGCCACAAACGAGAACGATGAGTGGTTCTCTGGTTCAAAGAGGTCCAGCTGTGCTTGTTGTGGGAGAAGTTTGACAAAAGGAACAAGCAGAAGCAAAGTCCACAGCTCCAAGATGTACCAGGACGAGGGTGGAGACTCTGACGTGGAGGGCGGATATGGAAGAGGGTGTGAGCAGCCTGTCAGGGTGGTTGTGAGGAAGCATTCTGCACCCAGGAAGTCTCAGTCCACCCCAAGACATGCAGCCAAGCCTTGGTGCAAAAGAGACCAGTACAAGGAGCTCTCGGAGCTGGCGAAGCAGGAGGAAGAAGCTCGGAAGGTGGAGACCGCAGAAGCTGAAGCTGAGCTGAACAGCAGCGACCGCCAGTGTAGGACGTGTCAGGGTAAGACCAGAGCTCCTTTAGTATTTTTATTCTGGACAATCTTAATGCGTGAATATGTTCACAGATGGACTATTCCGAGAAGACCTGACCCCAGAAGACCAGGGTGGATGGATGGATGGAGACGTGATTCCCAGGAGGAAGCATGCAGCCCCTCTGCAGCGACAAGGTGAAATTCACCTGCAGCAACTAAAAGCTAACATCTTTCATTTTATGCATCTATTAAACTGTCCTAGTTCTGCACAGTGCTGCTAGTTTAGCTTGCTCCACAGGGTTGAGAAGGTGATCGTCTAGTCCAGGTCATGTGACTCAGTGTTTATCAACCTGCATCTTGGTTGAACTGAAGCTCATTTAGCTTGTTTTGTTGTGATTCTCTGGTGAATGAGGTCTACTCTTGTCCATTGTTCTGGCACATGACCTGGAAAACAAGATGACCTCGGCTTCACTGAGATGATTTAATGTGGCGAGTCGCCTGAAGTGTGCTTCCCATCACGGAGCATGTTCAGTAACCGAGTCTTTCAGTTCTGTGGCCCGAGGCGTAACGCAAGGTTTTGTTCTAGGACCCTTATTGTTTCTGTTAAACCTGCTGCCTCTCCACACGCTCCGAGGGTCTAAGGACATTCGTCACTGTAATGCAGAAGATGGTTTAAGCTACAGGTGATGCACGGATGCTGTGACTCTGTTTAATGGCGACGAACTTTCTCCTAGTAATCAAGATAAAACTGACGCCCATGTTTCGGCGGTTTGGACAGATGTTGGCTAAAATGTCTCCTAGACCAGAATTCGTTGTCCTTTTTATTTTAGAATTCTCTCATTCCTGAGTTTTGTGAGGAAACGTGTCCTCTTTCGGCTTTCTTTAGTCAGATGTGTGGTTCTGAGAGTCCGGTGGATTTTCAGTGATGCAGACCTTTTTAAATATGGTGCTGCCTATCCGAAAGGGGGTCGATGTGCAAAGGAACATTTATCCTTAAAGTAGCTTTGTTGTCCTGCGGGCGCAGAAGTGTCCACAAACCGGTTCACCAACAGCTCCCCCTAGTTCTGTAGGATCTTTCATCGTTCTTGCTGATGACTTCATTACTGTTGGATCATCTGCAAACTTTAGCAGGTTAGTCCTGAATTTGGTAGTACAGTTAGTGAAAGAACACCGGGCTGAGCATGCATCCTTGAGGGACCTCATATTTGGTTACATTTAAGTTTTGGTGTTTTTTGTTTTGTTGTAGTTGAAACATTTTTTTAAACATATTTCCGTTCTTTCTTCTCCTTGATCGAACAGAAACAAGCACTCAGTGGAAGATGATGTACCACCGGCCCAGAGACGAGAATCATGACCAAACCCCACCGTTACACTGGGAACGATGTAGTTTTCACTCACCTTCCCGTTTCTAACAAACCTGCATGCAGATGTTGTAGTTCACCTTTTGTTTTGCTTCTCCTAGGCTCACCAGTGAGAGACGAACCAAGATGCTAAAGTTCCTCGACCGACTTTTGACCAACCGATTGAACTGTAGGTTACAGTTGCTCTAGATGACAGTTTAATCGCTCGCTTAGTTTTAACACGTCGTTTTCATTTCTCAGGCCCCCCCTAAAGGTGTTCATGTTGAGGGATGAAGACATTTAATCACCAGGTGAAACGCACGGCACAAGAAGCATATTTTGTTGTAAAAATAAACAAAAAAATTGCAGTGATGCTGCCTTACACTCCAAGATGACTGGATATCACAAAGAGAAGGGCTGATGGTTGTTGCAGATGTGCCACTGTTGGGGGCAGTTTAATAAAATCCTGTCGTTTCAGTTTTGTGATGCATGTTTTTATTTTTTGGAATTAAAATCCTGACTTGGGTCTTCAAACTGAGGATGTGGCTCAGTCTCAGCTATCCTCCTGTCTCCCCTCAGCACTGAACCGTTTCTAATGGGACTTTAATCATTAAAGGCCAAAATGATCAAAAGGTCAAATTTATTTGTGGCTCAGCTTTTATAGAATAATGTTCCCTGGCCAGCTGAGAGTCCCTCCCACGTGTCCCGGGTCTTCGCTTGGGTCTCCTCCCAGTTGGACATGCCTGGGAAACCTCACCAGGGAGGTGTCCAAAATGGATGCCTGAGCCACCTCAAATGGCTCCTCTCGATGTGGAGGAGCAGCGGGTCTACTCAGAGCCCCTCCTGGATGACCGAGCATGTATCCGTGATCTCGTTCTTTCGGTCACCACCCAAAGCTCATGACCATAGGTGAGGGTAGGAACGTAGATCCACCAGTAAATCGAGAGCTTCGCCTTCTGACTCAGCTCTCTCTCCACCACGACAGACCGGTACAACGCCCGCATCGCTGCAGATGCAGCACCAATCCGCCTATCGATCTCACGCTCCAGTTTTCCCTCACTCTTGAACAAGACCCTGAGATACTTAAACTCCTCCACTTGGGGCAGGACCTCGTCCCTGACCCGGAGAAGGCGTTCTACCCTTTTCCGACTCAAGACCATGGTCTAAGATTTAGAGGAGCTGATTCTCATCCCTGCTGCTTCACACTCTGCTGCGAACCGCTCCAGCGAAAGCTGAAGATCACGTTCTGATGAAGCCAACAGGACCACATCATCTGCAAATAGAGACCCGATCATCAGGCCACCAAAACGGATGCCCTCAACACCTCGGCTGCTCCTAGAAATCCTGTCCATCAAAATTATGAATAGAATCGGTGACAAAGGGCAGCCTTGGCGTGGTTCAACTCTCACCGGTAAAGAGCCCGACTTACTGCTGGCAATGTGGACCAATCTCTGACACCGGCCATACAGGGACCCAACGACCCGTATCAGAGAGCCTGGTACCCCATACTCCCGGATTACCCCCCACAGGGGCCCCTGGGGGATGCAGTAAAACACATGTAGAGTGGTTGGGCGAACTCCCACGCACCCTCCCAGGTCCTCAAAAGGGCATAGAGCTGGTCCGGTGTTCCACGGCAGGACAAAAGCATCCCTAGTTTTACTTAAATCGTACACCAATCAGAAAACGTTTGGTGATCACACACTGGTGAAATGACCGTTCCCCATGGGGAGCGGAGAGCTGCAGCTGCAGTCGGGAACTGTTTGGTTGTTGAATGTGACTTCCTGTTTGCTGCTGCAGAGTAAACAACCTGTTAACAGGCCATGCATTAAATAATCTCAACACACCACTATAAGGTACACCTGAGGCAGGTGAGCTTCTGCATAAACCCACAAACTGGACTCTTCATTTTTGTTTCCTTTAGTTTAAAAGAAAGGTCAATAGCTTAACAAAGATAGTAAAGATGAACCAGATGAGTCACTCCGACGCCTATCTGGGCTTTTCCTCTTGATTCTGGTGCCAGCTGGTTCAGCTCTTGACTCCTCATTCCTGTTTTCTCCCACATCTTTCCACCAACAGGTGCTTCTGCTCAGGTAAACGGATGCATCATGCTGGAAAGGAGCCTCTCCTATTGGCTTTGAAGGCAGCTCATTAGACTAATTGGAGCTTCACCACCTGGAGCTGAAACAGCCAATCAGTAAAGCATTTGACAGACTCGTTTCTGCTCTTGGAGTCTTCCTTTCTAGAAAGAAAATCTGTTCTGGATGTTTTCTTCATTGCACGTGAGTGTTTCTTGTGTTCGTGTCATGACAAAAACACACACACACACACACATTAAATCACGTCTTTCTTTGTTCAGGTATGGAAGCAGCCACGTCTACCTTCCATCATCCGTACGGTTTGGGCCCTGGCGGTCCACACCCCAACCTTGGAGCTGAGTCTTCTCAGAGACCTCCTGAACCAGCTCCAGGTCCAGGTCCACCTCGTCCTGACGGGCAGCACCACAAACCGTTCTTCTACGTCCAGCCGCCGCAGCCTTACCTTCCCATGCAGGGTCTGCAGTGGCCTGTCCCCATGGCCATGCCGGTGTCCTACAACCCTTACTACGGATACCCGGGCCTAGGTAGGAGCCTAGTTTCACAGTTCGGATGTTTGGCTTAATTCAGGCAAAGTTTTCATTCAAATACTGTTGTTGGATCGAAATGCTCAGAATGTTGAGTGTTTCTGTGCTTTCTTCCTGCAGGATTAGACTTTAACCTGCAGGGTTGAATTTATGAAAGTCATTTTGATCAAACACGAATGTCTTTTGGGGGGGGGGGGGGGGGGGGGGCTGTAAAAACCATTTTTCTTGACTTTTTATGGAATTTAAACTGTTTAGTTAACAGAAAACAAGAAGCACCATTTTATAGGAATAATTTACCAGAACTTCTGGATAAATTTTAGTACAAAAAAAATCCTATTTGAGTTTTTAAAGTGAATCTGGAGAATTTATGAACCTCAAAGTGAAATTAACTGTAGATATTTACTCTAAGTATTGATATTTAAAAGGACAAAATGGAAAATATTTTATTAAAATGAAACGCCGCATTACTGCCCCCTGCTGGTCGGGAGTCTGAGTCCTGGTTTAGGACACTTTGGATCAGTAGTAGTAATGGTAGGAACCCTTTTAGTAGTAGTAACCCTTTTAGTAGTAGTAGTGGTAGTAGTAGTAGTAGTAACCCTTTTAGTAGTAGTAGTGGTAGTAGTAGTAGTAGTAGTAGTAACCCTTTTAGTAGTATTAACCCTTTTAGTAGTAGTAGTGGTAGTAGTAGTAGTAACCCTTTTAGTAGTAGTAGTGGTAGTAGTAGTAGTAGTAGTAACCCTTTTAGTAGTATTAACCCTTTTAGTAGCAGAAGCAGTAGTAGTAACCCTTTTAGTAGTATTAACCCTTTTAGTAGCAGTAGTAGTAGTAGTAACCCTTTTAGTAGTATTAACCCTTTTAGTAGCAGTAGTAGTAGTAGTAACCCTTTTAGTAGTATTAACCCTTTTAGTAGCAGTAGTAGTAGTAGTAACCCTTTTAGTAGTAGTAGTGGTAGTAGTAGTAGTAGTAGTAGTAACCCTTTTAGTAGTATTAACCCTTTTAGTAGCAGTAGTAGTAGTAGTAACCCTTTTAGTAGTATTAACCCTTTTAGTAGCAGTAGTAGTAGTAGTAACCCTTTTAGTAGTATTAACCCTTTTAGTAGCAGTAGTAGTAGTAGTAATCCTTTTAGTAGTAGTAGTGGTAGTAGTAGTAGTAGTAGTAACCCTTTTAGTAGTATTAACCCTTTTAGTAGCAGAAGCAGTAGTAGTAACCCTTTTAGTAGTATTAACCCTTTTAGTAGCAGTAGTAGTAGTAGTAGTAACCCTTTTAGTAGTATTAACCCTTTTAGTAGCAGTAGTAGTAGTAGTAATCCTTTTAGTAGTATTAACCCTTTTAGTAGCAGTAGTAGTAGTAGTAATCCTTTTAGTAGTATTAACCCTTTTAGTAGCAGAAGCAGTAGTAGTAATCCTTTTAGTAGTATTAACCCTTTTAGTAGCAGAAGCAGTAGTAGTAGTAACCCTTTTAGTAGTATTAACCCTTTTAGTAGCAGTAGTAGTAGTAGTAACCCTTTTAGTAGTATTAACCCTTTTAGTAGCAGTAGTAGTAGTAGTAGTAACCCTTTTAGTAGTATTAACCCTTTTAGTAGCAGTAGTAGTAGTAGTAATCCTTTTAGTAGTATTAACCCTTTTAGTAGCAGAAGCAGTAGTAGTAATCCTTTTAGTAGTATTAACCCTTTTAGTAGCAGTAGTAGTAGTAGTAGTAACCCTTTTAGTAGTAGTAGTAGCCCTCGTAAGGCTGTGGTTTAGAAAATCAGAGCTCTGATTGGCTGCTTCCACTGGTCTGAGGAGACTGAACTGGAGAGAGAAAGCTTGAAGCTGTTTTTCCTGGACGAGTCTCTGATAAACTTTAGGAGGGGCAAAATCAAATCGAGCCATCTTCAGATCCTCGTTATCGGATTTATCGTAATCATTTCTAGACGGGATAAATGGTGAAGGGTCCTAGCGGCTCTAGCCCTCCCCCCTCGGTGGGACCAGTCTGTGTTTTTGATTTTTTAATCTTTGTCTGATCCTGAAGGTTTTGGACTGCCGATGATGCCCCACTACCAGCCCAGCCCCTACCTAGATCCACCTGGTTTTGTGGTTCCCCATACCCACCTTCACCTGATGGACTACAGGCGGGTGCTGAACCCCCAGTACTACCAGGCCATGGCCTACCACGCCCGCAGGTTCCGCTACCAGCACAACTCCCCCAGCAGGCACACCACCAGCTCTGAGGTCCAAACTGAACCCCTCGTCTCCGCTCAAAGGACCAGCACCCCGATGCCCAGTGAGCGCCCCGACAGCGCCGCCCACAGCACCTCCACTGGGCAGCTGCTCTCACCTGTCTCAGATGTACAGAAGCAGAATCCTTCCATGGAGCTCCAGAAGGTTCTCTCTCCAACCCCTCCAAAAGGCAGCTTTGTGATCCAAACGGAGGAGTTGAGGATCGAGTGTTGCACCACACCAGTGGGACTACAGCTGCTGCACGATGCTGCAGACATGTCCCACAGCTTCCCCCAGGGCATGGTCCAACACAACTCTCTTGTCCTTCAAGACGAGGGGCTCCACGTCCCCGCAGACCAGTCTGAGCAGGAGCTCCAAGTTTGTCCCGACATCTTGTTGGTTGGGAAGCCGAGCACCGGGGAGGTCCTTCCGCCGGAGGAACCCAGGAACCAGGTGGTTCCCGTGAACGTCTCCTCCAGTTTAGGATTTCCAGAGCTGGCCTGTCCTAAAAGTGAGGATACGGGGGACGTCTCGCCTGAGAACTTTTACCTCAAAGGTGTTCACCTGCCGTTTGATCCAAAGTATCTGGATGAGCTGAGGAAGATGGAGTCCACCGTCTGGTCAGCAGAGGAAACTTTGATCTCCTCCCCTGAGCTGCTGATCCAGAACTGCTTTGCAAATTCTGATGATCTGCTGCTGTCCTCAGAAGTGGTGGAGCCAGAGATGCTGATGGATGAGCCTCCTACCAAAGAGATAATCCATGTGATCGAGATGTTTCCTCTTGAAGAGGATGACCTGCAGGAGATTGTCTCGACTCTGGAGAGCGAGATGGTGTCTGATTCTCCAAAGGCGGAGCTCATCGGCACAGAAGAGGTGGCGCTGATGGACCGTTCACCTCCAGAAGCCAATGGAGACCAACCAAGGCTGGAAACCAACGACCATCCAGACACCTCGTTTGAGTCCCTCCCTACCTACCTTCCCTCCAGCAGCTGGCTCTCGGACTTTGATCATATCTACCACTCCACCAAGACCCCGCCAGCTCCCAGGAAGCAGATCAGACCGCAGAGCTGTTGTGGTTCCGATGGACCAAAGAGGAGAAGGAAGCTAGACACGGATCACAGGGAACAACCAGCTACTAGAAAGCCGAAGGAGCGGTACAAACCCAAAGGAAAAGTGGATTGCCTGAGCTTCTCCGACCACGACTGCAGCGTCAGCAGGAACGCCAACGAGAACTCGTTCAGCCCCTATGCTTCCAAGAAGGAACAGCTCTGTTCCAGATGTTTGAAACGTCGAGACTGCACCTCGGGTTCAGGGTGTGATGGTCGAAGCTTGAAAAGAAAAGCCGTTCCCCTCCAGCAGTGGAACCACGCTCTGCTACCAACGTGTGAAGCCTGTAGGTCTCACACCAAGAGGCCGCTGAGAGGAGGTTCCAGTCCAGATCCACGACGGAACACCGAGGAGGAATCCTCTGGGAACAGCTCGTGCCACACATCTCCACAGTGGAGACCCGCTGGCGACTCCGTGAAGTCGAAGGGCATCGGCAGACGTCCTGCAGCCGGCCGTCCCAAGCTCAGGGAGAAGAACTGCTTCTGTGGTGACTCGCCGCGCCAGTCGGCCGCTTGGGAGAGGCTGCGCCACTGTCCCCATGGCAACACCATCCAAGAAGTGGATGAAAACTGTTCCACGTCCGTTTCCCTTCCGAACAGGCGGCACCGATGGCAAACAGGTGAGACCGAGCTGCTGCTGCTGCTGCTCTCCGGGTGTGGTTGTTGGGGTAAGGGTGTATGAAAGTTCCAGGTGTGTTTGGGTCGGACCTTATGGTTCTGGCTCTCTGCTGCCGTTCATGTGGGTTTTTACGGCAGGGCTGTGAGCTAAGGTGATTTCTAAAATGGTCGTATTTCAAATTTCCTCCAACAGCGAAGCCATGGAGCGACGTGATTCCCAACATGATGAACGAAGCCACATCCCTCCACTCGTTTAATCACAAGACGACACAACCACAGCCACAAGGTCTGGTACTCGATTACTCTTCACCCATAAACTCATCCTGTAGCGAGGATCCTAGCGGTGCTCGGCTTATCGGAGAAGTTCTCGGTTCAACAGGAAAAGTGGAAAGTACCGAGATCTTCTCTGAATGATCAGGTTTAGGAATGTCTTAAGAGACGCTTCAGATTCAAAAGCCTCCCAGATCTGATTTTAATCTTGTATTTTAACCCTTAAAGACCCGTGGTGACGCCGGTGTCCCGCCCCGTCTCGAGCTTCTGCAGAACGGGTTCAAATATCAATTTTTTATTTTCTATATTTATTTATTCCTGTTTCTAAAGTGTTTGGGTTCTTAAGGGTTAAATTTGAAGAAACTGAATTGAATGTTTGCTAAAACATCTTAACCCTTCAAAGGCAGATTTATAATCCTCAACGTTAACGTCTGCCTCATCCTTCTGACTTGTTTGCAAACATGATTTATTTTTACTGCTATAATTCAAACAGCTGATCTGTTCATGCACAGAGCTCATTCATACTTTACTGGACATGCAGATCTGTACAGAACACTAATTATTTTATTTTACAGCCATCTTTAGACATTCAGGATCATTATTCAGTCCAAACACAAATCCTGTTATTAATCCGGTTTTATTCAGAATAAGTTAACTCTGAAACTTAATAACTTTTTCTTTTTCTCTCCAGGAACTCGCACCAAAGACACCAGATGCTGATATTTTTATTTGCACACGAGCACGATGCAAAGTGAGAAACATGGATTTTAAATGATCACGTATTTTTAATCACTATTTAAGCGTGTATATAAATCACAATGTAAATAAATCACAATGTAAATAAATCACAATGTTCACTATTTAACATCAAAATAAACACAGCTTTGATAATTTTGCAAACATCTTGTTCTTCCTTTCTTCTCTGAATGTGACTAAATGTGTCCGCTAGATGGCGCCACTGCTGTATGGTTTCAGCAGGGGGGCTGCCAGAGATTTTGGACCCCATGAAAAAATATCAAGTTGGGCCCCCTAGGGGCTCATCCATAGCCGGAGCTGGGGTTCCAGGTTGAATTTAACCACTCACTAACTAATTAGTCAAAATAAAGTAGGGACCTCTGAATAAATACACATTTCATAAAGACTTAAAGATTGTTTGTTTGATGTCTTAAATGAGAAGAAATACTGCAAAATAAAGTATTTGTGATTTTTAAACTATATTTTTTTATTCAACTTTGAAACGTTTTTGGGCCCCTGACAGCTGTGGGCCCTAAGAATCTTCCTAATCTTTCACCGCTTTACGGTGCCCCTGGGTTTCAGTAAATGAGAACATCTCAAACATCGAGTGCTCTCCCGCTCCGGACCCTATGGGGGGAACCGAGCTTTGGAGAACACGTAGACCTCATCCCGATGAGTCAGGGGAAGTGGGCTCAGTCTTCTGGGATTGTTAATATGGAAAATAATTACGTTTATGAAGTTAAACACTTCCTGTGTGTGTTTTTAACATGACATGACCAGGAGGACATCGGGTTAGCCGGGTCGATCATGGTTTGTTTGAGACTTTGGTTTTTTTTATCTCATCAGAACTCCAGCCGGTCCAGCAGGTTCTACCATCCAGGATTTAGGAAGCTTCGTCTTCAACCTGCTGCTTCAGAAATGAGAAGTGATCACGGCTTAAAGTAGATGTGACAGTGAAACACGCTGGGGCTGGGGAGCAAAACCCCTTGAATAATAACTATTTGCAGAGCGTGCTGTGTGTGTGTGCCGTACCGGTTACTCTAGCTGCAGCCTTGCTTTCTGAAGCTAAGGACACAAGCATGAAGCGATGGTCTTCAAGTGTTAAATGGGGACGGGAGAGCTTCCTCGTGTCTACAGCTGATGAGGTCACTAACGAGACCTCATGACGGACCATCAGCACCTGCCAACGATGACCATCTGACTGAAGTGCCCTGCAGTGGGATTCTGAGTCCAGCCTCCTAAAGTACTTACTTTACTCAGATTACTTAGATGGACAGTCAGAATCATAACACATGTGACTTCTGATAACAATAAGTAAATTTTATTTCTATAGCACTTATCACAGACATAGAATCACAAAGTGCTTCACATAGACGAAACAGTCATAAAATCATAAACAGATTAACATAAAATCAAAATGCTCTGAAAAAACAGAATTAGATTAATAAGGAACGTTGTTCCCAGCATGGGTAGGCTGGAAAACTCCCACATGAGCTATTCTCAGAACAATGGTTGTTGCTCCGTCTGCGTAGGCTGCAGTTGGGTTTGGAGAGAGGAACCCGTCCAGTATGGATGCCGATACGGCCCTCTGGGACCAGGACTGCTGCATAAGGCCTAGTTAAAGAGCAAGTCACCCCCTACCACATTATTAATCAACTCCCACTTCCTGTTTGAAAAATGGAACAAATGCTGTTGCCTAGCAGACCGAGAGGGCGGAGCCACTAACAAAAACTCACACACAGGCACACAATAACATTGTGACATCATATGGTACCAGCTAACGTTCTAGGGTACCTCTTAGCCAATAGCGATGGCAGATTTAAATTCAAATGCAGTGCAGAGTTTTTACCTGACAACGGCACAACACTGACAGTTTTAGGCAGAACATTAAAATTTTAACTAAAATGCACTAAAGTGCTAAATTATTGACGACACGTGTCTGCAGCACGATTAGACACACATTTATATAGTTTATCAGAAAAAAATACCTGATTTGGGGGTGACTTGCTCTTTAAATATTCTACCTAAAACTGTCAGTATTACGCCTTCTTCAGCTAAAAACTGCACCGCATTTGAATTTAAAGAATAAAAACATTACAGCTCATCAGCAGAAACTGTGTTTTATGTCTGACTTTTCTTCCTTTTCAGAGATTTTACAGGAGAATAGATGTTTTCTCAGGACTTGGTCTCAGTCTTCTGTATCAGCGTTGGGAGGAGCAGCAGCTTACATCACAGCAGGTGTGCTCTGGGCCGTGCGTCTAAAAGGAAAGGAGGGTGGGATCAAAGAACCTGAACACACCTGGTACCAGTTCACGCTACAGTTAACCCGTAGAAACCAGAAACACAAGACTGAAAATTCTAGATACTAATTTTTTAAATGTCTTCATTCACAAACATCTGATTTTTTATGTTTTTAAAACCAGTTGAACCCAAAAATGGAAATTTGTATCCTATTGTGTTTTGTAGGTGTACAAACACACACACACACACACACACACACACACACACACACACACACACACACACACACACACACACACACACACACACACACACACACACACACACACACACACACACACACACACACACACACACATGCATGCACGCACTCACACACCTACACACGCACACATGCATACAGGTACGCACACACACAAATATACATGCACATGCATGCACACACGCGCACACACACACACATGCATGCACGCACTCACACACCTACACACACACATGCATGCACATACGCACACACACAAATATACATGCACATGCATGCACACACGCGCACACACACACATGCATGCACGCACTCACACACCTACACACACACACATGCATGCACGCACGCACACACCTACACACACGCACGCACACACACACAAATATACATGCACATGCATGCACACATGCACACACACACACATGCATATGTACGCAAGCACGGCACGCACACACCTACACACACACGCGCACACACACATACATGCATATGCACGCACACACACACACACATATGTATATAGACACCCACCCACCCACACACACACGTTTGTGTTGTGTGTAAAGTTTGAGTTTTCAGTAAAAACATCAGAATAGTTAATGTAGTTAAATTTTGTGCTATTATTGAGTTTCTGGTGTTGATGTTTGTTGAAACTTTGAGTCACAAAAAAGTGAAAAAGCAAAAATTCTGAGAATGAAAATGAAGTTTGTTGGTAAAACGCCTCACATCTTTACAACAGAAGACTTAAAATGTAAAATTAAATCTGCAGATTTATTCTGTTGCTCTGAAAAATAAATAATTATTTTATTGTAAAAAAAAAACAAATCAGCTTCATAATTCCGACAAAATCAATTCAGCACTTAAACCGTTTAATCTCTCATGTTCGAAATGAAGATTATTCACTTTAATCTGAGGTGAGATTGTTTCATTTAAAATTTAACAACATTCCTCAGCACGTTTGTTGTTTTGTTGCTAAACACGACAGATTTAAAGCTGCTGGAGTGAAGACAAACTAAAGATTTTCCTGGAATCTTCCGGATCGGCCCGAATCCTTTCAGGAAGAAAAGCTTCAGCCGTGGAAAAAGCGACGCCACAGCTGAAGCGTCTTCCTGGACCAGATCCAGAGTCCAGACGTGACCCCCACCATCAGCATCATCAAGGTCTTCATCAGGACCAGGAGGACGTTTGGTCTGGAAGGAGGCGGATTTCCTCCTGGACACGGAACACCAAAGTGTTTGCAGGTCTTCAGGAGCCACGCGGTCTCCCAACGAGACCGGAACGCCGTCTCATAGAGGAGACAGGAGAGGACGAGGACAGCAGGGACCACATAGAGCACTCCAAACCCGCCCATCCTCACCATCAGCTTCTCCATCTTCTCCGTCCCGGTGCCGTCCTGCTTCACGACGGATCGGATGTGGAACGCCGACACGAAGCCGGCCAGCAGGAAGGAGGCACCGATGAGGAGGTAGATGAAGAGCGGAGTCAGGACGAAGGCTTGAAGAGAGTCCAGGTTGGAGATTCCTACGAAGCAGACCCCAGTGAGAAGATCCCCCTCCACCTGCCCCATCACCAGGACCGTGCTGGTCTTCAGCGCCGGTACCGCCCAGGCTGCCAGGTGGAAGTACTGTGAGTGGACCTCGATGGCCTCATGTCCCCACTTCATCCCAGCAGACAGGAACCAGCTGAGGCACAGGATGACCCACCACATGGAGGCGGCCATGATGAAGAAGTAGAGGATGATGAAGAGGACGGTGCAGTCCTCCTTCCTGGTTCCCTGGACCACCATCCTGTATCCGTGGTCCTGGAACCGGTCCCCACACACCACCCGGTCCTCCAGCAGAGCCCCGGTGCTGTGGACCAGACCCACCATGAAGTAGCAGCCGGACATGAAGATGACGGGTCTCTCTGGGTAACAGAACCGCCTGGAGTCCAGCAGATACGTCAGAACCGTGAAGAGGGAGCTGACGCAGCACAGAACCGACCAGATCCCGACCCAGAACCGGCTGAACTTTATCTCCTCCTTACTGAAGAACATCAGCCCACCGGGTCTGGAGCTCTCACATGGAGCTCCACAGTCCTTTACCCCCAGGAAGTGGTACAGGAGGAAGGGGGGCACCTGGAGCTGCTGGGGGCAAGAGAAGGGCGGCCGGGTCCAGGTGGAGGAAGGCAGCGTGGCCGGGATCAGATCAGAGGCAGAACCTTCAGAGCCACTCGTGTTCTGACCCACACAGATCTCTCCAGCTCCGTGGAGCGGGAAGTTCTGGCAGCGCAGCCTCTCGGGCCACTGGAAGCCGAACTTGTTCATCAGAACCTCGCAGCCCTGCCGAGCCCGTTCACACAGAGACCTGCAGGGTGGGATGGCCCGGTCCAGAACCGTACACACCGGAGCATACATGGAGCACAGGAAGAACCGCAGCTCCGTGGAGCACTGGACCTGGACCAGTGGGTAGAACTGGTGGACCTCCAGCCCAGCGTCCTCCTGGTTGGTGTGACCCAGCAGGTTGGGCATGATGGTCTGGTTGTAGGCCAGGTCTGTGCAGAGCGGGATGGAGATGGGCCGGCAGAAGCCGTGATCCGGGATGGGAATCCCCTCCTCATCCTGAGCGGTACCAGGCTGAACAAGGAGCAGCAGAATGAAGACGGCCCTCCGGAACCAGCTGCAGAACCTCATCACAAAGAGTCAGAGAGTGGAACCAGAGAGCAGCAGAGACCTTCAGAGACCAGAAGCTTCTGAAAAACAGATCAAGCAGCCTTCAGACTGGAGTCTTCTCTGGTCCGGGTCCAGAGACGAGCTTCCAGAGAACCAGAGTCCAGACCAGAAGGTCCTGATGTTCCGTCTCTCCACCTGTGAGCTCTGCTCAGACCCGTTTTCATCCTCTCGTGCTCCTCTGGAGCGGGGAGGGCGGGGTCTGGAGAATCATCCTCCAATCAGAAGCTTAGTGAGCTCCTTAACACTGATTCAACTTCAGAACAAGACAAAGTCCAAACTTTCATCAGAGTTAAAAAATGAATAAAACACAAAGATTTACTAACGAAGATAATAAAACTTGATGTTTGAAACAGAATCAGGTTTGACTTTTAATCACAGACAATGTTTACGTGTCAAATAATATTTTTTTATTTTTTTATTCGTTTATTTCATTCAAAATAAAAACAAATAAAACATATAACCAGTAAGAAGTACATAACAACAAAAAATCTAATTTGAACGAAAAGGAGCAGAATGAAGAAAAACATCTTATAATTTCTGCCCCCTTTTCCAGTAGAAATAATCTATTTATATATATATATAACTACCATTAGTCAGACACACACACACACACACACACACACACACACACACACACACACACACACACACACACACACACACACACACACACACACACACACACACACACACACACACACACACACACACACACAGATTCATTTAAACTGTTTCCTGTTCTTAATTCCAGAGCGATCATGATCATTGATTTAATTTACATTTTCATAATTATTTAGTACACTCCTTTACATTTTTGAATATATTAAATGACAGTTTCTTTTTATTTCCCTTTTAAGGTTATTCCATAATTTAACACCATTTACAGATATATTCCACTCCTTCATTTTAGTTCTAAATCTAGGTTTTGTAAACACAACAGTGTCTTTCAGCGTGTAATTACTAGTTCTCTTTTCAAATATCCCCCGAATGTTTGTTGGCAGAGTACCTAAACTGGCTTTATACATGGTTTGTAAGATTTTCCAGTCTTTTAAATCATGACATTTCAGTAATTCATATTTAATAAACAATGGGTTCGATGGATCTCTACAGCCACTATAATTGATGATTCTCCGAGCTCTTTTCTGTAAAATAAATAAGGGTTGTGTGTAGTTTTTGTATGTTGCTCCCCAGATTTCTACACAATAAGTCAAGTATGGAACAATCAGTGAATTGTACAACGCCAACAAACCAGAATTAGTCAGTAAAAACTTGACTCTATGTAATACTCCTAAGGATTTGGCAATTTTACCTTTTATGTAACTAACATGGGATTTCCATGACAAGTCTTCATCAATAAGAACTCCAAGAAATTTAGTTTCTTTTACTCTTTGTATTTCAATCCCATCTATTTCCAGTGACACATCACTGTTCTTTTTATCATTAAACAGTAAAAAATTTGTTTTATTAAGATTCAATGTCAATCTATTTATATCAAACCAGTTTTTAATTTTAATCCGTTCATCATTTATCACTTTAGCCACCTCCTCAATATTTGATCCTGAGTAAAACAGTGTTGTATCATCTGCAAACAGAATGGTACCGAGTGTCTTAGATACATTTAACAAGTCGTTAATAAACAAAATGAACAGTTTTGTTCCGAGGACCGACCCTTGTGGCACTCCACAATTAATACCACATAGTTTTGATGTATGGTCCTTTATCTGAACAAACTGTTTCCTTTTTTCTAGATAAGTTTTAACCCATTGATGAGCCACGCCTCTTATTCCACACTGACTTCATTTTCAAAGTAAACTTGAGTGATCAATGACGTCAAAAGCTTTTTTCATATCAATGAAAACACTAACAAAGTCATTTTTAATGTCAGTTGCTGTTGATATTTTATCCGTTAATTCCATTATTGTCATTGCTGTGGAATGTTTAGTTCTAAACCCATATTGTTCATTGTTTAAAATATTATTTTTTTTGATGGATTTATCCAACCTTGATACAAATACTTTTTCCAGTATTTTAGAAAACTGTGGAAGCAGTGACACCGGCCAGTAATTACTGAAACTATGTTTATCACCACTCTTGTACAAAGGAATGACTCTCGCTGTTTTCATTGCGTCAGGAAAATTTCCAGTAGAAAGTAATAGATTACAAATGTAAGTGAATGGTTGAATGACAGATTCTATGATGGTTTTAACGGTTATCATGTCCAGGTCCTGATAATCGGTTGTTTGTTTCCACAGTTTTTTTTACAATGTTTCGTATTTCTTCTTTATCTACTTTGTCAAGGACAGTACTACTGACAGTACTAATCATTGTGGTCAGTTTATCTTCTATTATTGGTTTTTTCTCCATCAAACTCCTGCCTACATTTACAAAAAAAATCATTAAACTCATCAGTGATTTCTTTATCATCATAAATATCTTTTTTGTCCTTGACAAAGTGATCTGGAATACTGGATTTTGTTTTCACTGTATTAGTCACACTGTTTAGTATTCCCCAAGTTTTTGTGTTATTTTTCTTCTGATTCAATAGATTACCATAATAATCTTTTTTTTTTTGCTTCATAATTATTGTTACTAATTTATTTTTATATTTTTATATCTATCTTCTGCTTCCCTTGTTTGCCATTTTAAAAGACTCCTATATAAATAATTCTTTTTTTGCACACACATTCTTTAATCCCTTAGTCATCCAAGGTTGATTTTCCCTTTTACCTGTAGACTTGATTAATTTGCAGTTATTATATGACTTCAACAGTATTTTCATGAAGGATGTGTAGGCAGCGTTGACATCACTGACGTGTACCTCCTTCTAATTTTGTTTATTAAGATCTTTGTTTAATGCCTCCATGGCTTTAGCGGATTATCTCTTCTGTAGTTCATGGTGACATTTTGTTTTATGGAACGTTTGCATTTGAAGACTGCAAAAACAGGTAGGTGGTCACTAATATCCGTCATTTATATCCCAGTTTTCCTGACATCATCCATATTGTTAGTGAATATATTATCAATGATTGTTGCGTATTAAAACGTCTGTTGGAGGAAAAATACAGAAGATCGTTTTTTAGACTCATCACAGATTATAATGATGAAATTAGAGAAATATGGAACCTTAAAAATGTTCAGTAAATAAAATTAGATGTTAAAAGAAGGAAAATTTGTGTTTTAAATAACAGGAGACAATAAAGAAAAAATCATATATTTTATTTTAATTGACTTTTTTCAATATAAATGTTAGATTCTTGTTTACTTTTGGAAATGAGAAAAAAATTAAATTCACAACATTTTAAGCAAAAAAATAATTTCAAAACTAAGTTGACATAAATAATTAATTAAAATAAAGAGAACAATTTTTATCACCTGAACTAAGATTACACATAATAAGTAAAGAAAAGAGTAAAATACATTTTAAAGATCAAGATTTTTACAAAAACAACAAATGTGTGTTTAGTTGTTTAAAATTTAGATATTTTTCTGTTTGATTTTATTTTTAAATGACTTGATTTTTATTATCTGAGCTGGATTATAAATAAATCCAATTTTCATGATAATATTTATTTATTAAAACCTTTTTTAAAACACTGAAAACAAAAAGTTTCCGACAAACAGCAGAAAAACACGATAAAACAACAGAAACAGGAATAAATAAATGATAAAATAACATGAATTTAATAAAAAGCGATCGTAAAACTGATGAAACTACAGGAGCGTTTTAAACTCTGTGACTAAAGTTTGTGATGATGAAGATGATGAAGCTTCAGACTCACATCAGCTGCAACCTTTTCTCTTTATTTCCACGTTTGTGACTCTTTTTTCTGCTGAAAGTCAAAGAAACCCAACGCTGGCGTTCAGATCAGTCGCGTTAAACCCAAACCAGCAGAAGAACTCAGCTTTAACACATTTCTGCTGAAACTCTGAAGGAAAAGTTGGTTTCAGATGAAAACGATCATCAGTCAGTCGGCCGTGGACCGACTCTTCAGAGGCCACAAATCAAAGGCTGCTCAGATTTCTGATTTATTAATGACGACGTTCAACTGATGAGTTTCCTCCAGAAACACAAACAGAGATAAATATGCAGCAAAGTCCTGGTTCGTCTTTCATCTCCGGCTTTTTCTGTCACTCAGAAGCATCTGAGACGTCTTCTGTCGGATTCATAACTCTAGATTTCTATAAAAGCTGCTGAAAACAACAGGACAGGAGACTTTCTGTTGTTGTCGGAACAAACATGACAATCGGCTCCTCTGATGAAGGAATGAAAGGAAAACCGACAAATCTTTGTTCAGAGAGCAAACTAAATACAAACAAGTGAATTATAGATGCTGCAGGAACATCACAGTGAAGTAAAACTACAGAGTTTTGGAGAGTAAACATCCTGATGTGAGGAAACTTTATAAATGCACTGTTATTGTTGTGTTTTCCTGTTTCAGATGTTTTCTGAGACAGAGGATCAAACGTTCCCTTCATCAGCTGCATCAGTATTCCTGACATCCTGAGACGATGCTTCCGTCCTAATCTGGTTTAAATCTGCTCATTTGGGTTAAAAGATGCTTAAAAAGATCAGATATAGTAAATGTGACCTTCTTCTGTCCTCACGCGTGTAGAACATGAAACACGCCCCTCTAAGGCTGCTGGTGGTTAGCACCGACCGCAGAAGGCTTGGTCTGACTCTGTTTGTGTGTTTTTACCTCATCAGTCAGATGGAGGAGGACACAGCTGGGGTTTGAAACACGCTGAACTCAGATCAGTGTGGTAGCGCCACCTATGGGGCACCGGCGGTAAAACTCCTTTCTGCCAGTTGGTGAGCATCAGCTGGGAGTCTCATCAAAGCTTCATTATTTATTCACGAGGTCGTTCAGAGACAAACATGCTGATTGATCTGCTGAATGCTAATGATGCTAACAGGAACCGGAGGGACGCTTCAGAAGAAACCAGATCCAGGACCAATCAGCTGAAGGTCCTGTCTGGTGTCAGGTCGGTGGTCGGCAGC